CATTTTTTATAAGCTACAAATAATAATTCTTTTATTCTTTGTGCTTAACAAATAGAATCTACGACGTCGTCGTTTTAGGTCGAATCCTGTTCAGATCTAGCCGTTTTCAAGCACGAATAACTGATGCCACATAGCGTTTTGGACGCTTGGAATAGCCCCAAACGACTCTTCTTGGCTAAGCTTTGCATATTGATGTCTTATCTCAATTTTTTTTTGGATCATTGCAAATTCATGAAAATCATCATTTTTCCATGAGTATTAGCAAGGGAAAATTCTTGAAAATCAAACGATCGCGTTTTTCACCTTAAGAATGAAGACTTTTTCTATGATACATACTAGATCAAATTGACCGTAAAGATGATATGCAACATTAGAAGCTCTTTCTATGAGACTTGCAAATGCTAGATTTTGACATATTTACAGAAAACCTGATTTCATATTTTTGAAAATTGCTCATTACTTTTGGTCTGAAAGCTGAGAGTAATCAGCATCGTTTGGTGCGGCTTCTTTAGTCCTCTAGAGATGTATTAGAAAGTCGGGTGGGACAACGACAGTTTTCATAATCAAATTTACCAAAAGAGTTTAAAGGATGTGAGATTAAGTCAAGTTTGAACACGAAAATACCTACTACTGCACGATTTTAAATTAAACTGCAGCAGTTGCGGCTGCCACGGCAAAAGGTTGAGGCCAAACCTGCTGGCCGTGACGTCGGGTAAGGTGCCCCCTCATTTTTTCCATTCCCCGTTTTTTTTTTAACCCTTTTTGCAAAACGCGTTTAGTATCAAACCATGTTGGTTTTGGAACCCTTTTGATTGAAAGTGACACTCTAGCTTCTGATAACACTGCCTTGTACTGTTAGAAAGACTTGACACTGCTTCTTTCAAGTGGAATACGCTAGGTACCGTTCAATAACGAGCATTGGAAGAAGGCGTGGAATTAGCACGAATTGAATTTTATATATTAGGTTTTGATAATTCTTTTTGACTGTTTGATGCGGGTTTTGCTGCCATTACTTCTCTGCTACCTCTGCTGTCTGCTTCTTTGGTTCATCATGTCTGGTGGCTGCTTCTTTGGTCTTTGTCTGGTCTCTGATGTTGTTCATTCTTCGATTTTTCTATGGGGCTGGTGTTGCTGCTGCTAATCTGGTTTTTCCTGGTCTACTGTACTTGGTGCATGCTTGTTCTCTGATCTGTCTCCGGTGATTGCCTATACTCTTCTGGTCTATCTATGGCTGTGGTAAGTGGTAAGTATCTTCTTTCTTCTGGTCGCAGTGATATAAAACTTCTTTGAGTGCTTATATTATTGCTTCCTTTCTCGTAATAATGCATTCATCATGTTTGCCTTGTTGCGCTTTTTTCTTCTTCTTCTTTTATTGGTAGTGTTTCCTCTGTAGCTTTACAGGAAACAACATTAGTCATTATGTCGTATCGCAAACGTATAATACCACTTTGCGTATTTGTGTCATGTTGCTTTACGGCCGACTATTACTACCAAGCGCGTTGCTTATGTATGCATTTTTCTTGCCACAACAACGAGATGTTCTGAACTTCTCTGATGTTGTGTTTGTTATACTTTTCTTTGATTCACTTTGTGTGAGTATCCCTTTTTTTTGCCTACGTACTACTATACTCCTATTGTACTATGTTCTTTTCTTTTATTATGTTTATGTTTCTTTGAAGCATACCTTTTTTACGTTGTGTGGATGTGCCTATCCCTGAAGCTCAACAAGACTCTATCCGAGGCTAGGAGGTAGATAGGCTGCCTCCACTTGGTTATCGCTACTTACTTTAGTGATGATTGAGGGTCTCAATGCCTGAATTTAAAGCTAGGTGGTGTAAGTAAGGCATGCTCTAGCACCTGAGGGAAATTTGATGATAGTAACAGCTATATTGCTATATATATAGCGGAGCTTAAAATTTTGCCTCACATCAAAACAGGGGGAAACCCTCGCAAATTTTTTTTTAGGTCAGCGGAGTTTTTAAGCGATTTGATTGGCCCAGAGATTGAAGCACCGAAGGATTCTAGCTAGTTGATCTCCTATTGAGCTGTCATTTAGCATTACTTTGTGTTTGTAATCAAAAGGTATCCAAATAGTTACAAATTATAGTCTTCTTTATTTAAAAGTATGATAAGGTATAAGCATTTATTCTAGCATTCATTTCGCAATAGTTTGATGTGAGGAATGTCTTTTAAATTTATCATAAAAGGAAAGTTATATAATATATACTACTTCAACACAGTGTTGTTTGTGTTGTTGTTACAACAGTATTATTCTGGTCAAGCCGCCACCAGACGATTGTTATAATTGCTAAAAACTATAGTGCGACATTGTATGTTTTAAGGAGTAGCAGTATACCTTTTCCTCAGCCATCAATGCAGCAGTGCTATTATAGATTTATTTGATTTCGCAATCTCTTTGCAGACAAACTGGCTGCATGAACCCAATTGTGGAATTTGAGGCTTGATAGACTAAAATTCACGGAAAAAAAAGAATAAAAAAACAGTAATGTCAACTTGATAAAGGTATGTTTTATTATCAAACTGACAGGTGTAAAGTAAACTGAAGTCTCTCTACTGGCCAGGTAGATGGTCCTTCTTATATACTATAACAATGGATAAAAGTTCTATTAATTAGATTGACAAATAAGTCAACTCAGATCAACTAATGTCTAATCATGCTAAAAGACAACTCCAGCAAGCTAATCATGATTTAGCTCTGTCTGGATGAATAATTAGACTCTCATCCGAAGTACCCTGATCTATCCTTTCCATAAGGATAATTAATATCGATCTAGTAGCATGTATCCGATAGGTACAGTCTTCTTAGTCTATATTAATAGTACATATCTGAGTCTATATCGCTAAGCATACATCTTTAGCATGTATCTGGATATATGGCATGTCTATAGCATATCATATGCATGTCTATAGCATGTCTCATATATAGTACAAGTCTGTAGTACATAAAGTATCTGTAGCTAGTATCACGGATATAAGCATGTGTCTTATAGCGTGGATCATAAAGTGCACATCTGAAGCAACAAGCTCATATTGCATTAATCTTGGTGCCTATCCAGATATGGTAAACATCCGTAGTCAATGTCGGAATACAAGTATAAGTCTATAGTGCCATCCATGTCCGTGGTGCCATCTATAGCCTATATCTTATATAGTATGAATCTTATAGTACTAGCGTATCTGAAGTCCATATCTTCTTATAGTATAAATCGATATCGTACATCTAATCCAGTGTACATACAGTTTATATCTAAATCTGGTAACTGGATGAACTGTCGGAATGCAGATCATAGTGGATGTATTCCACACCAATGAATCTGTTAGACAGTTACAGTAGTATCATTTGCGGCATTGATGTTGGGCTATAACCTGCGATAGAAAGACGCCCTAACAAAAGTGATTTCGATTTCGAGGTTGGGGCCATCGAAAATCGCATTTTTGAAATATTAATGCTAGAGCTTTGACAGTAGCATGTTTCTGTGAGGGCCTGTTAATTACAAGTGATTACGAGTAATAGATCAATGGATGTAACGTTGGAAAACGTTGTATTAAAAACCGCTTGACTATGCGTAGCTCAGTTGTGGTTTAGCAAAGAGTTGTTGCTGAGAATAAAAGGATTTTTGTTCTGTTGTCAGATATAATAGGTGAAACTCATGAATGAGAGTACATAAAGCACAGAACAAGGGATAATTTTCTTTTTGCAAAGTGATCAAGTATGCATAGGCTTTTGTGTGTGCAACGTTTGGATTATTGAAGATACTGAATCAATTTGAAAGATCATTATTGTTGTATCTGCTAAATAGTATGAATTGCTTTCTTTCTAGTTGGCGATCACTGCCGAGATGTAATGCTTCATTGAGGGATACTAGCCTCGCTCCATGAATATCGAAACAATGATCTCTGTAAAGCCGACTTGTGCGGAACGTATTATTGCATACTTTGAAATGAAAATTGAGATGCGTCAAGGTAGGTAGCTGATTTCTGCAAGTTTTGTATTGCGGATCCAACATTTTAATGGCTTTGGTGGACATTCTATGACAATGTGTGCTTACAAGAGATGTCACAGTACTTTGAATTATTCCAATTATTTGAGATATCTGGCAGTAATTAATGGTTTTTCCTTCGTATTGTGCAATCTCCATCGATGTGTTTGATACAGCTTTCTACGCTTGCACGTCCATTTGCATGAAATGCAGTGAACATTGGAATCATCATTTTGGGATCACGTTTGCGAAAGATTGATTTGAGATACGTTTGATGTGTTTTTTCTTGAATAGGTGCTGTACTCTTCTTTGCATTGTAACATTTTTCGCAGCAAAGGCCGAAATAATTAGGGCCATGAATGTTTGGTTCCAGGTTTGCATGCTTGAAATGCAAATCCACCGCTCGAAGATTGTAAACTGATTTGCTCTGATCTAGTACTGACATAAGGCTGTCGTTCGTTTCGTTGCAAAGGCGGCAACGAAATTAATAGCCTCTTTTGGTGAATTCAAATATATAATCTATGTGTTTACTGTTTATTAGCAACGGCTTTGTCACATCAATAAGCTATACATGTCTTACCTGAAGCTCCATTCTACATCTCCATGTTTGGTGATGTAGTAGGTCTTGTTTCTATACTGGCTTGATCGCCAAAGTTGTCATCTGTGGCGTATTCTAGATTGACTTGCTTATAGTCCCCACTGATTCGGTCATCTGTCGAGTTGTTTTCGTCTCGCCTTCAATGGAAGCCTTCTGAACACCCTATTTGACTTTTGCTTATTGATTTGATACTGAAACACAAAAGAAAAAAGAAAAAGTCTTCTTCTGTAGTAGTAGTTCATCTCGACTTTACAAATCAACGTGGTGCAACCTTACAACAATTATACAACAGACTGTAACACAGTGTGAGGTTGACAATAAAGATGTATTTATTCATGTCGCGATGGTGATATAAAGAGTAGTATATTATTATTTACAGATATACAAAAACCAGATCAAGACTATGTAAAAGTGGTAGTAGTGGTATGTTCAACAGCTTGACTGGGATATGCTTGTTTCGAAAATGCATATAACATGCGTCCATAAATTGAGGTGGCAGATGATTTCTTTTTCGCGGGTTTTTTCGTGATCGAAGCTGTACTGGCTAAAGATGTAGTGGTTGAGAGTGCAGCGGTTGAAGCTAATACAGCCTCAGGTAGTGCCGGTTTTACAGGCGATTTGAAATCTTGCAGAACCATGCCATCCACATCTTTAGACACAACACCTACTGTACTATGCCGTCTAATAGCTGCTGGCCTCTTCTTGACTAGTGCTAAATCTTTTATGGTGGCATTCTTCTTGAGTTGCACATTTTCTTGCTTGAGCTCTTCCAATTCTACCTTGAGCGACACCAATGACTCAATCAGAGCCATTTGTCCTTCATTTACCATGTCGAATTTACTCTGAGCCATTTCCAATTCGTGATTTAGTTTCGCGCACTGCTGTTCCAATTCAAAATTCTTCACTTTGACATGGATCAACTCTTTATCGTGTTGGTGAGGGTTGTGATGATAATAGAAGGTGAGACTTGTAGCAGGCGTCATGGCATTGTCGTCGTCCTCTGAGTACGCTGTAGAGGCAGTAGAGTTTTTTCGACTGGATCGTGTGCTCGACATATAGGAAGTAGCAGTTGGCAGCATGACAGAGCTCTCCTCATTGGCCTTTTTTTGCTGCTGTTGTTGCTGTTGTTGCTGTTCTCGACATCGCTCAAGTTGTATAATCGTTAATTTCAGAGCATCTCTTTCACATTCTAAATCCTGTTTGTCATGCTCAATTTCGTCCAGCTTAGCTAGTGTTTTAATGTGAATTGCTTTTAAATTGTGCAACTCTGTAGCCATCACATGTGCTGTAGTTGTTTTAGATGATGATGATGGAGGTGGGGGTGTTGCTGTGAAAGGTACAACGGGTGGTTTGTTGTAATTCCAGTCTCCAGGCGACGAAACAGAAGACCATCTCTTTTTGAGCACAGGTGGTTTGTTTGCACTCGTGGTTGACATGACTGTGCTACTAGTACTGGCACCAGCTGCACTTGTTGATCTCTGAATATCCGGTTTCTTGCATGTTGCACTGCGTTGTTGTTGTCTTCTTCTCTTCCAGAACCCAACCTTGTTGCTATGTGTAGTAGTCATCACGGCTTGTGGTGCCTGCTGTAATTGCAGTTTTTCTTCGTCAGACATCATGTTGTACTTGGTAGCAAGCGAGTCCATCTTGGCTCTAGTAATCATGTCAGATAAGGCCATGGCATCTCGTATCACATGGCCGTAATTGTCTGTGTAGGGATCACACAACTTTTTCGATGTGATAAAGTCCAGTACATCTTCAAATTCAGAATTGACTTGATACAGCAGCGCATCCTCCGATCGCTTCAGCATAGCAATGGCTACACGCATGATAGTTTCTGCTGCACCCTCTGCAAAAACAATGTCGTAGATACGTTCGATAAGCGGGATAGGAAATGCATAAGCAAACAATGTCAAGAACCATTGAGAGGCATACATGGCGGGGTGAATAGCGTGCGAGTCTAAATAGTGCGCTAGTTTGGGCACAATGTCATGCAGCAAGCTGGAGAACTGGAATAAGCGAAGTTGCAGTCCTTCCATGTTGAGAGTGAACATGGACCTCATCTCATATGTCTCCATCAGCCTATGAAGCAAGGTAAGCCTATTTTGCCGTCTTGGATCAACACACGCTATGCACTCTCTTACCTGACAAACACACAAAAGGATTGAGTTTCAGGTATCTGCAATGTGATGAGCGTACGGTTAGTAGGTAAGTGTATGTGGTAGATCCTTGTTTATCCAGCTTTTATATACATTACATTCATCAAGAGCGGCCCCACCAAAAAAGCTAATCCTTGACAATAACCCACATCAGGATCATACAAACTATACGATTCCAGAATGCGCTTCATTCTACTCTGTCCTTGGCCATTCTCTTGCTTGAACAAGTCAATGCGTGGAAACGTCCTTGCCAGATCTCTTTGAATGATCCTTTCATGCGGTGATTTCTCTTTACATAGCTGTTCGTAGACTGTTTCCAGGTGCAATGAAGCAGATTTCGACATGGCTTGCCACATGAGTCCTCGCACTCGTGCTGGGATACCAGATCTTAGCTTGAGTGACAGCAAGTGAGGTAGTCGCAGTGCAACCTGATCTGAATCTTGAATGACAGCTTCCCAGAATCCCCAGTCAATTTCTTCTTCTTCAGACCCACATGGATGGTCATCGTGCGCTACTTTGACTAGTTTTTGAACAGTGGAAAAATGGGCTATAAGTTCATTGGATTGAATGTAGATGGACTTTGGGTCTTTTTCTAAAAGAATGTTTTGCCTTTCAATCTGTGCCAATATGAATGCTGTGGAATCCTTTTTGTCATTGATTTAACGTCCATTTCTCAGGGGAGAATCAAGGGGATGGATAGGGTATCTTACCTGTGGCGGTAGTAATGCATTTTCCTTTTGAAGTCTGTAGAACAAGCCGTCTTCGTTATCGTCTCTTTGCTGAGTGTCCATTGTTGTTGCCATCGTCGTTGCTGTTGTGAATTGTTTGCAGAAGGGAAGAGAGAGAGAGAGAGAGAGAGAGAGAAACAAGGAATATTTAATTTGATTCTTTATTAACAAAACAGAGAGTTTATTGAAAGATCAAAAATGCAAGGGGTTCTTTTTTTTTTGTATTTTTTGATTTGTATATATATACTTAGGGGAATAAATCGAGAAATAAGGGGATGCGATATCTACACTGATGAAAGAAAATGTACAGACAAATGCTTTTTGTTAATGCCATGAAAGCAATCGAGTGAGCTTGGTGGTGGGTACTTCAAAGAACGAGTAGCCTACATGTCAATTTTTGATAAGTATGTGTGTGTGTGCGTGTGGCTATGCTCTTTAGTTTGACTGTATACCTTTGCGTGCTATCAATATCTCCATTACAGGACTCAACACGCCCTCGTAATCCATATATGGATCATTCAAACCAGATATCTTACTTGCCCAATCTCTCTTGATCACTCCCCAATTGTACATGTCGTTTGGTGTAAATGTACATGGAAATGCCTCCAACAATGGACCAAACAGCTCTGGGTGTGTATGCAAGTCGGGATAAACGTCGTTTGTCATGTAGTAAATCGGATAGCGAGTATCAATGTCCTTTCTGTATTGGATGCAAGCCGACAATAACGAGCTTCTTTCGGGGGCGGCACTCTGCGACAACAAGTCTTTCAGCGCTGACTCTTGGAACGGCATGGCAGCTGACAGGGCCTGATGGATGGGCATATCGCCTGTCAATTCACGCACAAGCGACACCATCAGCTCTGTCTGCGTTGAGTGGTCCAGTTGTTGTAACAATTCCAAAGATGAATAAGGTGTTCCATCTGCATGGCTCTCTTTGAAGTGCTCGACATAGGTGGTGCCATCAATTTCAGCATTCTCCATCATCATGGATCGTTGATTGGCCAATTCCGTTTTGGTAACAGCTTCTAGATTCATGTGGATCACATTGTAGATATTGGCGCCTCCCATTTTGGCAGTAGTTTTCTGAGCAGCTAAATTGGTTTCATGGAATTTGTTTGGTGATGTGAATACGGTACTCCTCAGCCCCTTTTGCAGCGCACTCTGTTTCTTGCTCGTACTGGTCTGAAACCGAAGCCCAAATACCAAGGATCCAAACTGAATGTAGCGTTCATTCAGCTGCAACAGTTGATCTGCAGTGACCAGCATTTTAAGAGGAGACACTAGCTTTTTGCTGGCCTCCACTTCGTCTAGCACTTTCCCTTTTCCGCCAAAGATGCCACTAAACCACCTGTGGCCATCTACCACCTTTTGTTTATCCTGCACATCCCAATCTGAACCGTTGCTTGGAAAACTGTTTGGATCTACAACCACCACGTCTTGTGATGAGAGCTGTACATGGGCCAACATGGACTCTTGAACGCCCCAACCATGTCCCCATGTACGTTCATAAACACGAATACCAAATTGAGTTTTGAGTGCGTCTAAATCGAAAAAGGTGGACCAAGGCAGTTCAATCCACTGATTCAAATCTCTGCAGGGCTGATATTCTGTGCGCCAGTTGGGTGTGTTGGATAAACAGGATGCTTTCAGGGATTCCTTGTCTTGCGATTCATAGTACTTTTGTAGGATGGGATACGGTGCCCAGGGTATATCACTGGTGCCTAGTCGAACTTGAGGTAGAATAAGTGTGCGGTTTGTCTCCAACGCGATACGGAAAGCGTTCCTAACAGCTTCATGCTGAGTAGCAAAATCGCCATGGGGAAAAAAGGACATGAACTTCTCGTCGGTTGTGCTTGCTGTCCTGTAGTGCGTAGCCGGAGGAGCAACAACAGCAGCAGGAAGGGCATCATCTTGAGGGATGCTGTTGTTTGATTTGTATACAAAATGAGTGAATAGGAATGTCACTGTGACAAACAGAGCTACTACAGTTGTTATTCGCAGTGTATTTCTCATTTTAATCAAGTACAAAGAAAAAAAAAAAAAAAAGGAAAAAGAGCAAAGGAGAGAAAGTGATGTTTAAAACAAGCCCTTAATTTAATTATATTTATAGTGTCTTGATGCATATAGTATTTGTTTCACCTGCTGTAATTAATTTGCGACTTGTTATATAAAGAGAGCTTTATTTGATAGAATGAGGTATATTAATACTATGATACATGTTAAGCATCAGGAAGGAAAGTGGATTCCACAATAATGTTGGTAACTCTATAAGGGTCAATGTTGGAAGCAGGACGACGATCCTCGTAATAGCCTTTGCCCTCAATACCAACATGACGAGGAATACGGATAGAGGCACCACGGTTAGCCACACCGTAACTGAAATCATTAATGTGTCCCGTCTCATGTCTGCCTGTAAGACGCTGATCATTGTCTTCGCCATACACTGCAATATGCTCTGCGTGACGGAGGCTCAGCTTCTTGATAGAGTTTTCAATGGCTTCAATACCGCCTTCTTGACGCATGGCTTCCGTAGAGAAATTGGTGTGACATCCGGCACCGTTCCAATCACCTTTGATGGGCTTGGGATGAATCGACACGACAATACCGAAATCTTCAGATACACGTTCAAGGATATAACGAGCAACCCAAAGATGGTCTCCCATATCAATACCAAGACAAGGGCCTACTTGGAATTCAAATTGACCTGGAGCGACTTCAGCATTGACGCCAGAAATGTTGATACCCGCATAGAGACATGCTCTGTAATGTGCTTCAACAATATCACGACCAAAGATTTTTCCTGCACCAACACCACAATAGTACTTGCCCTATGAACAGCATATATTAGCTACCACAGTCAATGAGATGAGGGACATAAATCTTGTCATTTACCTGGGGTTCAGGGCTATGATGATGAATCAACAAATGATACGTTAGCATACACATACAACACTCCTTTACATGCCAATCTCTCTACTTACAAACCATGCATTGGCCAACCATAAGGCTTTGCAGTCTCAGGATCAAACAGCATGTATTCTTGCTCAATACCAAACCAAGGTTTGCTGTCAGCATGAAGCTCCATAGTCTTTTTACAAGTATGACGATAATTAGTAGCATGAGGCGTACCATCATTGTTAAAAGTCTCACATAAAATCAGCTTGTTGTTACCGCCACGGAAGGGATCAGCAAAGATGGCCACTGGTTGAATCAAGACGTCCGAGTCATGGCCTTCCGCTTGTCCAGTAGATGAACCATCAAAGTTCCATTCAGGTAACTCGGAGGGTGATTTGGGCACAAAATCAAGCGTACGAGTCTTGGATCTCAAGCCATTGTTTGCATCAATCCAGATGTATTCGGCCTGCACTTTATCATGTTGAGCGAGAGAGAGGTATTTTGAGAGAATGCCAGAGTTGGATACAACAGCCATTTTTGTTTTGAGAGAGTAATGATTCAAACGAAAGAGGAGGAAGCGAAGCAGGACTCGTTGCTTTTATATACATTGGCATAGTAGATTCCATCATGTGGTTCTGATATAGTTTGATATCATTTATATACAAGACTTGAAAGGGGGATTATCTATTCAATTACCAAATGTTGGTTATTTGTGTGCCCTCTTTTTTTTTTTTTTTCCTATCTTTTTTCTTGATTTGAACCAATCTATTTCTTTCTGTTCCTGACTGATTGGATCATTTGTACATGCCATGTATCTTGGCTTGTGATTGTATTAGACTCTTTCTGAGAACGTAATATCTCTTTGGCATGATGGAGATGCTCTTCCTTGCTGATGTAGGGCTAGATAGCAGCCTTTGATATTTAACCAACTGGCAACTCATTTGTGTAACTGTAAACAGAGGTTGTAGTATAATCTTATCAAGTTTCTTATCATTAATTCCATGAGAATATATATATATATATATATACATGTACAAAAGCAGACCCAGTTTTGTGTGTATACCTATAGCGCACTATCTAATGCAGGCCAATGGCTCTTATCAATACGTGTGATCCTTAGGGATGATTGGTCATTTTATTCACCAAATGTTAAAAAAATATCTGGAAAAAGGGGATCAAGCTTTTGTCATGTTGAATATGAGCCTAAATGCATGATGTTTGAATCACATTTGTAAATGAGAGAGCTCTCCGGTTACTTATCTCTTTGTGCAACTGTGGACATGAATTGGCACTATGCAAATCACAGGGTCAAAGCAGGCAGGCATCTAAGCAGGCATAGTATCTATACCGTTGAGTGTGTGATGGCTTGCTCTTTTTTTTTTTTTTTTTTTGATCTACATGACACTCTGTCATAGAACTCCACTACTATTGCATCCATGCGTGATTTCAACAAGGTGCAATAAAACGTCATTGTCATCAGATGATGAAGCATGCGATGGTCCACTCTGTCGTTCATTCTCTGCTTGGACGCATTGATTGGCTTTTCACATCAAATTGTGACATCTTGACTAGAGCTCAATTGGCTACATGTACATTGCCAACAAAAAGATCTTATCATTTATAGCCATCAAAATCGAAACTTGCTTGAATTTCCATCAATAGAATAGTTGGAAAATCAAAGAAGAGGGATGGCAGAGAATGATGTTGAGCATAACCAATAACAACCCAACTGATGTATTTGCGAAACCTCGGCAACTTGTTTCGATCGCCTGTTTGATTTTGGAGCCCTTCCTTCCATTGGGATTATATATATAAATATATATATATATATATATATATATAGATATAGATATGGTCTAGGTTATCAAGTGAGTTTCTTCAGGCATATAAAAAGAGTTTATGCGTCTAATTCAAGCAAAGTAGGATAAAATCATTTGACATGATCAATCTGTAATAGCTTTACAATGATGGACCATTTCTAGCCATTTTGCATACAAAATGCAATCAAATCAGAAGCCAGCTTTACACGGCACATACACTGAATCATTAGACAATGTCAAGCATTCGCTATGGACATAAACTAGTGTTCTCATTGTGAAATCCTTATACTAGCTGCAGTTTTCTTATTTCCTAGTTTCATTGCAGGCTTTGAGCTAATTGGCTGATCAATCAAACATAAATTTGCATAATTGCTTCATTCTGTCAAAGGGGCCCGTCATACTCTTCCTTTTCTGGGGCAGGCCCTGTTCAAATAATAATGATATGGAGGCATATTGTCAATTTATGGTTTTATTGTTGGAACAGTTGTAAAATTACAAGAAAGCGCCATTCAGCAAATCGATCCAAGCAGTATAGCGTACTCTATCTACCATGTACAATTGTCTTTCTGATAAATCCTTTGTTACAATCTCAAGCAACAATCAAATGTCTCTCTTCTCTTCTGGTGTGGGGAGCCGTTTTGAGCGGATGCATTGTTTAAAAGACGCTCCACATTGCTTTTCAATTGAATGAGGAGCTTTTTGGTTGATTAGAAATGTTGAGACATCGTATCAAAAGTAGTGTAATACGGGCACCTTCTTGTATGTGATTAATTTCCTGCTTTAACATTTATACGATTGTTGGAAGATCAGGGAAAACTAAAAGACCCCAAGGAACAACAACTAGACTTTTGCAGTCCAAAAATGACAAGAGAAGCTGATCAACTTGTTTACGCCCACTGTGAAGGTCACGAAAGCAATCCATGTGCCTATTTCACTAAAAAGTTGTATACAGAATTATACGCATAATCCTCAAACACCCAATCCTCTTCTTCTATGAAATTGCGTGTAATATCTTGGCTCAGTGCCGTACGACGACTTTGAATCTCATAACCATAGCACTAAATATCATAGCCATATAGGGGGACCCATGAAAATGTCACCCATTGAATATATTATGGATGGCAAGTATGTGGTTTGTCAGTTGTATGCAAGTCAGCCACCTTCTTACCAAATCAATCCCGCCCAATATCGTGTTGGGCTATACTTGTTGCTTATTGTGTAGGCCATGTAGCGAGGCTGCAATAGCTAATGAGTAATGGCAACCGTTTTACTTTTGATAAGAGGAGACTGAGTAGCGTTTGTTTTATTCTATATGATTGATACACCAAAAGGCTATATGGTAGTTCCAGCCTTTGCCTGTTTGTGCTGCTGTTGTGCCAGCTTGCAGGCCAAAATCACGAATACTCGATAGCTATATAAGTTTTATTTCATTTAGACGATCAACACTTATTTTTTTGAATAGTAAAGTGGCTAGTGATTTCATTTAAAAACTACTTAAAAAGTGTCCTGGATAAGTCTCCTCACTCTCAACAATTGAATCATCGGTATGACCTCTTGATACGACTACTTCGCCATAACAAGTCAAACGTCCTATCTTTCTAAACTGAGGAGGCCATTCGTCTGCTAGGTATTTTGCCAGTGACATTAAGCTCTGTGCATCCATCTAAATTATACAGGTCGGCCATCCATGTTTTACATTTTTGTTGTCATCTACATACCCCTCTAAGTATAGCTGGCGAAACGACTTCAGGCACAAACAAAACGTGCACTCCAACATGCTCCACGAGATACATAGAATTGACACAAAGGCCAATAAATTGATGATAATAGAGACTGTTCTTGCTAAATGCGGCTAAGAGTAGCACATGAGACAATATTCATACTAGTAAAAGAAAGAGTTATTTACCTTTCAAATGATGAAACAAACTTTTTTCCAACTGCTCCTTGTCTTTATGGGATGATTCACGCAAAAGTTGCTCTGTAATCTTTCCAATTTGATAAGCATGCAGCATCTGTCGGCATTTGTTGAGATGTGATTGATATCCACTGGCTACTAAACCAATAAACTCATTCAAAGGCTTCCTGTAAACTTGCATCACATCTTGTACATCAAAGGTGTCCAGAAAAGCTTTTTCCTCGGCTGATTTTGGTTCGTTGATAGCCTCCATTCTCATACGGAATATCGTATTGCCTCGTTGAGGATAAGCCTTGATGAGTTGCATCTCTATTTGACCCCGTTAGACAAGAGTAACATTTGCAACACGATGAATGTACCTGTGATTGGTTTGGGTAATAAAATCTGTTGAAGAGGCTTTTTAGTGAAACAGGTTCCTTTCAAGCTTGCAAGTAAGGTGATGGTGGTTGTATCTGATTCAATCTAGGGTTAGACTCGCTGCCTCTGCTTCTTCCATGTCGTTGTTGATACTTACACTTTTCAGTCCTTCTACGATCCTTTTTTGGTTGAGGGGCTTGTATGTCATTTACTGCTGATAGAGCCGAATCCATTGCAGCGTGATTCTCGACGCTTTCGTTGTAGTTTCCAGTGCTTGGTGAGTGACATTCAATATTTCTCAAGTGGTTTTCATCACTCGCTAGGTGGCTTTTAATGTCTGTAGCCTGGCTTTTGGTCGCTAATGGGTGGATTGTAGTAATTCTGAGGGAACTTTCATTGCTTAATCTTTGGCCAGTCGTCGATGCATCTGCTTGATGGCTCTCTGGGACCACAGTGACGCTTTCGGTGATAGCTGTATCAAGGACCTCCTGTTCACTTGAGTGCATATACGCCAGCAATTGCTCTTGGTCATTTGCGGTTCTATATCCCATAGAATTTTGAAATATCTCTTGGAAGATAGGATACGAGATATCTAACATGAAAGCAACCGTTAGCTGTACGCAGCTAGGCATTGATTCAGCAATTCTTACTCCCATCAATTTCTTTAATGGAGATCAGTATAGCCTTCAGCTGCTCCTTCTCGTCCAAGCTCATGTCAATATTATTCTCAACATCCCGTAGCTGAATATCAGTGTGTAGATGGTACAGGTCGTTATCTATTGCGCGAGTGCTTCTTTGAGTGTCCATGCTTGATTGAAAAGAGTAGCTATTTCTTGATGTTTACTCTTTGATTTTTGAGGCGTTTGAATCGGACTGTTCCGCTCCTTAATGCAAAGTTGGGTTATAATGACATGCTTGTATTAGGCCAAGTAAGAGCAGAATCTACGTTTTGAACTGGTTTATTTGTCAGGTTTGCGGTAGTTCGTCTGATCATACTACAAAGCATGGGTTTAACCTTGCCATTATATACATGTATTTGTAAACTGTAAACATTAATGAATAATAGACTATTCTGGAGTTGTGTATGAATGGGCCCATAATAGTATTTACACTCATATCCAACAAGGCGATGGGATACAATGTATGTAGTAAGTATTTGATGTTATGCAGGAAGCGTAGTGCGACATCTGTTGAAAACCATCGCCCTGAATTGTGTGCACTAATTCAGAATTCAGGGCATCAGCTTCCAAAGGACTATGTACTACTGTTTATTTGATAAATGTATAGAAAGATATAATACCATGCGCTAATTGAGTATTTGTGTGTATTGACAAGATTTGAGAATTGTGCATGAATTTGTAAAGTTAGGATTGCGAGTCTCCGTTACTGTTTTTTGGATGATTTGGGAATGCAGAGTATACAATAAGACATATTCTTTCCAAGAAGTGACCAAGAATGAGATGTATGGCGACAAGAAAGCTCATGTATAAACCCGTCTTTAATGGATGCTATGTCTTGATCTCCTCACTTGTACGAATACTTGGCTGTTTTTCTTCTTTTTACTACGAGTTTTTGTTGTCCATACTCTTCCAAGTTTCTATGCTCCTTCTCGAGTACGGTTTTATAGGGTAATGCTGCTTTGGATTTAGGGCCTCTGCGTCGCTTAACTTTGACTGACACTCTACTCATCTTGGGATCATATAGCAGGCGCTCTAGCATGTTTTTATAGACCTCATTCTGTTTGCCATCTATATTCTCTGTGTGGTGTGTGCTTGTGTCACTATGCAGCTCAACATCTTTGGCAAAACGCCTGTTTGGCGCTTCCAATGTCAGAGTTGTAGCTTCGCTTGTCAAAGCTGTGGCTTCGCTTGCCAGAGCTGTGGTTTCCTGTGTAGTTTTCGTGTTTGATACTTCGTTTATCATGGCTGTAGCCTTGGATGGGATTGATTGAAGGGATTGATTGAAAATGCTATTTATGATGGGACGCAACGTGTCTATGCATGTTTGCTTTAGACGTCGCTTGTCTAACCCTACCACTATCACTTACTTCCGTCTACGTTTTTACAGGATTTCAATAAAGTTTTCAACGCTTGCTTCTCATTCTCCTTGTAGAGCAGAGCTCTGTTTGATTCTACTATTCGAAGCTGATGCATGATATAGAAGCGGTACAGGTTTTGATCTATTGGTTGTAGCCCCTTCTCTTGCATGGTCATTGTAGAGAAAGAAAGTGAATAGAAGAGAACAAAAAGTGGTTGATGCTTTCAAACAAATAGTTTCAGGACGGCAGGTCTACGTCTGGTTGTACAAAGTTGCAGCCCAATCAATAGAAATGTAAACTACGGTTTTTACATGTGGATGTCGATTCTCATCGTAGGCAAAATGTTGCAGAATTTTGTTGAGTGTCTATCTAAAAGCTTGATACTGCTTCATTGGCCTCTACCTACAAGAGCTGTACATGTCCTCAAAGTTTGAGAAAATAGTGATATAGCTATGATGTTTCTTAACTTCACCTGTCACAGGTAAGGGCTTCAAGCAGCTTGGATCTCCGCTTCTAGGATGAATAGATCCAGGTACAGGTAATGCAGACCCGGATGCTGATTCTATGGAAGTCATCAAAAGAAAATACAAGGTATTTTTATAACTCCAGCTACCTATTGATATTCGCATCTATTATACTAAAGAGGTGTATATGACGCGAAAATTAGATTATGATACACTGTTAGTCTTATTTAATGGGAGAATGTTACTATAAGACCCCCACTAGATGGTAGTGATCCATCTCATGTAGCTAGCGGTAACTCAAGCTACACGAGCAACACCAAAGATTTGATATGTGAGCTGAAAGTTACAACAAAGCAAGGCTCATAACTGTATTCTTGAGAGAAGAATCTGGAAACAGCTCAAGTATTATAGTATTAATGAGGAAGGCAACCTAAAAGTGATTAAGCAGACTGCAATGGTACTATATACCGAGTTTATAGAAGTATTAGAATAGTTTGAAACAAGAGTGCGAGTGACGACCGACTACACTATTAGGTAAAAGGTATGCCCACAAGACTGGTGTTAGTCATGTAGTCGTGAACAACCCAGATTTATGTTATTGACGTATATGTGCTCTTCTGTTTAGCCTATAATAATAAAGAGCGTCAATAGATAAAGCAAAAACAACAATATTTAGTACGATAGTTTGCCTTCAAAAGAACTCAATCATATATTCAGGCGTGCTTCATTTTTAATGCCCAGGTATGAATTGGATCTATTCACAGAGCACTAGTAACAAATGTCGTACTAGATGTAAAATAATAGAGACAGTAGTATAGAAAGTGTCATCGATACCTACCCAGCAACGAGCACATACTCAAGTAAGGCTTGCCGTCGTATTGTTCTCAAAAAAATATATGCTTATTTAGATTGTTACGATACTCTATCACAGAAAATTTACAATACTATGTATAGGATCTCACTGCACAGGAGATTGTCAGACTCACTGTACTGCCATTCCAAATCAACAGATGATCTAATTATGGCACCCAAACCGTATACCACACTGCAGGAGGAACTCGAGTTTCGCACAATGGAGATCAAAACGGCATTATCTATGCTGGAGAAGGTACTTGAGATACACTATTCATGTGTCAGTCAATGGTAGTATGACTAACCTTCTTTGGGAATCAGGAAGCAAATAATAGTGAAAAGAGATCATTGTTTGAGCAGCAACGAAAGCTTTTTTCTTTATTTTTCACTGATCCTTTATCATTCGAGATGTTACATACTGATTACAGTTAAAAACTGCTGCTTGCGTCGCCAAAGTTGGAAATATAACCATTTGTTGCTTGTATTATCTTACAGACACTACATGGAAAATGAGAAACAAGTTGTTTGTTAATATCCGAAAAATAAAAGCCTAGGAATCAAAGGTAGCGAACTCAATCGGAACCTGACCCTAATAATTATTGCTGGTAGTAGCTCTTTACATGCTGAACCACTTGATACTACATCTATCCAGGTCAGCCATCCTTAGAATATTTCTAACAACGGTGATGGCTTGGCTGCTTAACGCTAATACAATCAACCATCATTAGAACAACAACGGAGATTAGTAATCGATATATTTTAGTATCCAAAACACTGAACGTGATAATTAAGAAAACTACCCATCTACTGTAGGGGGAAAAACTGTCCCGTTCGTTTAAATAATCTTGACTTTTACCCAGTATATTGCCAAAACTCGGAAAACAAAGCCACCCCATACTGCGTTCGATAGAACAGCCTATAGGAATTACAGCAACATAAAAACCTTATGGCTGGAATATATTTTAATCCCAGTATAACCAGCTAAAGTGAGACGTGGCAAAAATGTTAGGTGGGTAATTCTAGATGATATAAAATGGTTGATATCTCTACTTCCAACAGGCGTATTGAAGAAATCTAAAAAACTACCCGCGGTATGCTCAGGATATTTAATATCCCAGGAGCACTCTAAAAGTGTAAAAGAAGCTAGTTTCTTCATGTATTTTCTTTATTTCTTTGCTTTCTTATTTTTTTTCAAAACTTTCATTTTGCCTGCTCGTTTAACACAAGATTTGCGCAACATTCTCCAATCTTTGCTCTAACGTGGTCTTTCGCTCTCAAAGATAAAGAATTTGTATCCAGAAGTGGGTAATTCTACCCTTACAAGGCTCAGAAAACTATATTGTCCTGACCCAGCTAGACCTCTTGGCGGAAGACCAAAAAAACTTGATGCTAAAACTATGTCCCTAGTGTCAAGAGGACTTCGATCAGGTGCTTTAGATAATCCCCGAGCAGCACAAGAAATTTTAAGATCGATGGGCCATGATATGTCAATTAATGGCATCCGCAAGTCATTGAGACGAAATGGACTTAAATCTCGTAGAAAAGTAAAGACCAATTTTGTTAGTAAGACAAACAAGCGGCTTCGATTGGCGTGGGCTAAAAAGCATAGGCATCTTACTATTGCTGATTGGCGTCGTTGGGTGTTTTCGGATGAAACAAGAATAAACCTTTGGGGCTCAGATGGTAATTCCTTTTACTGGACGAATGGTGGCCGAATCATGCAGTCGTATCAAGTCAAGTCTCAGTTGCAGGGAAATGACGGTGGGGTCATGTTCTGGAGTTTCATAACAGCGGAGGGGCCTGGTTATGGTACTACCATTATTGAAGACGCAATAAACTCGGGCTTGTATGTCGATATTTCGAAGACATCATTGAACGACACTCTTGCGCACTTTGGGAAGACACCATCTGATGTGCGATTTCAACAAAACAGAGCAACACCGCATACATCGGGCATTACTAAACAATGGTTCACCGACAATGGGTTTAACCTAGACGAAATCATGGATTGGCCACCCCAAAGTCCCGATCTTAATCCCATTGAACATGTCTGGCATCTCCTAAAGCTTCGTCTTAATAAGTATCCTACTAGGCCCTCTACAAAAGAAGAATTAGAGCGGCGTATTAACATTCAGTGGTACAAAATAACAAAAAAAGAGTGCCAGAAATATATTGATAGTATGCCTGCCCGAATCAAGGCTGTCATCAAGAGCAAAGGTGGTTCAACTCACTATTAATGATTTTATAATAAAATGTACATTTTTCTATATTTATTTTTTAACCAATAAAATCATTGGATTTTAGTTTTTGAGAAAGTTATAATTATGTATAGATAGCACTACTTTCTCTCATTCAAACGATATATATATCGACTTTGAATACAAAGAAATGACCAAAAACTTGTGCAAAAAGACAAAATTTTAAACGAACGGGACAGTTTTTCCCCCTACAGTATTAGGTTACTAGCCCAAACCTCACATGAAAGCGCGCCCATTTTCATCTCCTCTATCCTCCCTCAATAACTTATATAAAAAATCATACCAAGCTGTTCAAAGTGTCTATTTTCTTTTGGTAGAACGTATTTTTCGAACTCCGATTTTTATTTCGGATTCCGATTAGGAACCCTGCTCTTGTCCTCTAAATGATGGTGCAAACCAAATTTGTGTAGGTAGCATGGTTGTTGATAAAATAGAGATTTTAGAAAATAGTTAATTTTGAATAGATGCTGCTAGTAAAACGTTTAAACCCTAATAAGAAAGAAGAACATGATTTTTACAAGGGATGACCTCAATACGCAATGATTGGATGTAAAAATTTAGGAATACGCTCTAACTACAAAGATACAGTCTACCGCTACGACATTAATAAACTTTTACTCTGAAGAGTCCAATCAAATCTGATTTTGACTGTGATATCGCAGCTAATCCATCCTCTCAAATGTGTAGTAGAGCAAGGCAGCATCAAGTGTGCAAAAGCAGGGTGATTTTATTTTGGATGAAATATACACAGATTCACAAACGCACATATCGTTACATATTGCTAGTAGCGTTTAGGCTGCCATCATCTTTAGCACTACCAACACCGGCTATGGTAGTTTAATTGGCAGTTTAAGCAAGCTGAACAATACCATTGTCTCTAACTTCACTTACTTGTACTTCTTCAAATGTTGATTCATTCTCCTAAAAGCATTTGAAATGTTGTTTCCAAAAGTTAAATGTTAGCCATGACCAAAACAAATAATAGGAGCTACTTACCAGAAGATGGCTTCTTGCCTTGTTTTCTTGCTAAGACACATTGGGGTTGGCATCAGCATTGGCAACAGCATTGTCAACAGCGTTGCCTTGTACCTCTCCACAGGAGAAGCTCTGGCCCTTCCGGTAGGGTTTGGTTCCATCGCCCGAAAGCCACTTCTGTTGGTATCAGAAAGTACCGTATACCTGGCTTCTGTACAACGGATCCAGGATGATTCTTGTTGCCAAATTGCTGCCAGCGTCTTCCAATGGTGACATGAATTGTTGTCGAAATCCATCGTTCAAGACATTCAATTGTACGCCTTGTTGGCTGACTTTTGATCTCATTGCCACCATCTCCTGCAAGAGTCTTGCATTGAAGCCAATACTGGTAGCACCGCTAGAATTGTTGTTGTTCATGATTCGCGTTGATGAGAGAAAATTAGTAAACAAAGAAGAGATATGTTTAGAGTTGTGTTTTACCGTATATCTCGTTGCCCACAACACACCGCTTCTTTGTTAACGTCATTCGGCTTACAGGCCTCATGCAAGTGTGTGTAGAGTACCCAGATATTGATACAGTTCTAATAACATGTTATGAACTTTATTCGCGAGTTTCAGCTTAAACCACTCACTTCCAGGAATCTCTGCTCGTTCTCAAAACTTCTCTTGTGTTATAAAACGTTTAATACATTTGCCTCTCAGAGATGATCTGTATCCTAAACAATCGGGTTTGCACGAAGCAAAAACAATACTATAGCTCTACGTTATATCTATTATAATGTAAGGGTTTCAAGTACCAGATGTACGTCCCCTTTATAAACTCCCTCAAACTCTTATATTTTATGAGCTACAAGCCGAGGATTTTCTAAACTAAAAGAATAAATCTATAAAAGCCATATCATCGTATAGAGAATTGAAAACGAAACAAAAGCTACTAAGCTTCAAGCTCGCATCCACTTAGTAAAATCTTGGAGTACGGCTAATTGACATCGCCCTCTATAAACCCACATCAAACAAGGTACCTTCTACAACTTTCACTATACAAAAAATATGGTTGTATATTACAAAGGAGACATTGGATGTTCAATTCCAGATGAACTAGTGATTTGAGTTACTTAAGAGTTTATACACCTACTCCTCCAATAATATTCTTCTAGTAATCTTAAAACAAAAATTTAACGATTTGCCCTCGGTTCTCTGTAAGTCATGGAAAAAGCGTTTATAAAAGCGCAAGATGAGAGGCTCATTCTTCTGATTCAGAATTTTGAAAAATGCTATATCGGCAGTTCTAAAGAATTTGTCGATGTACTTTACCAGAAAAAACCATTTTGAGTCGTATTACGGTTTTCGAATACGACCAGAAACTACCAGTGGATGTAGTGAAAAAATCGAGATTAAGCTAAGGAAAAAAAATACACATACACCTACCGAATTATCAATGGTTTCTTGGCGTAAGCAAAAGACTATATGTTTTATAAAGATTATGGCCGACCGAACCTCTCAAGACAAACGCCAAATCTATAAATCCATGTATGCAAAGCATGTCAAGACATGTCAAACACAATTGCATTCTAAAGAGAAATGGCTTCTCGTGAAGTCAGCTGATTCAGGGGTAATTAGGAACTGTGACCAGCACAAAACCTAGAATGTGTAAACAAATGAAGAAAAAAGATATTTTTGTTCTTTTTTCTTTCAGCAAAGTTAAAGAAAACGCAGCGTTACAATGTAAAAGGCAAGTGAGGAGAGAAGTAATACCAAGTAAATAGAGTAGAGAAGAGCAAAGAAATAGAGAATACAAATGCAAAACCCATGGAATGGTTAATACAACGTCTTCAAAACAGAGGCAGAGAGATTTTACCAGTTTGGAGGTTCATGGAGATTGACTAAATCATATCATACAGGGAAGACCGGACGATGGGTGCCACGGTTTTATAGTAAACAAACAGCTACCATTCCAACAATTCAGTACCTCGCGTATCACTTGCGACAAGCGAGAACCCTTCATCAGGCAGACAAATAAATTCCATTTCAAAAAGAATTAAGCACACTGTAGGCCACCAAGAGGCCCATCGTAGATACACTTGCTGGTGTTGAGAGGATGCTGGAGGTGGTTTCTGGAGTGTTGGAAGTTGGTTCAGCATATAATCCAAAGGATTGAGCTGGGCACCGCGAGGGGCATTTAGTCGATCGGCCATGGAAAGACAGGAGAGCAAATGGTGGCGAGAAGCATGAGGATGCCCACATTGGCATGGTACTGGGCGAGCAGGAAGCCAACCCATTTTCCATCGACAGAGCCAACTATGAGGCCAATTATCCATAGGGAGGGGAAGTATGGGATCAACACGGATAAGTCGGATTCACGAGTAGCGTGGTACCTTGTTGACCAAGATGTGTGTGCTGAGAATCACCAGAGACACGTTTACCGTAGGTATGGAACTGTTGCCAAGTTGTTGGGAAGCGCAAAGGAGGGAGCAACCATGTTTCAGTAATGAAAATGAGAGAAGAATCACTGAGATAGTCAGTGACGGTATTGACCGTTTGACGGACAAGACCATTGGCATTCCAAGTTATTAAAGTGAAAGCAGGAAGAGCAGGTGAGGATGGCGGTAAAGAAAAAGAGAGGGAGGCGGATTCAAAGACTAAAGGAGCGGAATGGGGAGGTCATCATAGATGGCTAGTTCACCAGCACCAGTGTGAAGGGCTAGAGAGGAGGTAACGGAAGAAATGCATGTTTGAGAGTCCATGTCAATGTCTCCCAAAATCGAAGAAGTAGAGATTGAGCCACCGCGAAGGATGACTTCCACTTGTTCACGAGACAAGAAGCCTTGTTGTGCAACGTCTCGAGCAATAGCAGAACGCAGGTAATGACGCATATTCTGGATGCCGTGAGCAAGGCGAATTTGCTGAAGTTCTTTAGCTTTAGCAACACGAGCAGCGTCGTTGAGAGAGGTAAATGCAGGATCATTCGAATTTGCGGCAGCAAATCGACCAAAGTCCGTGATGGGTTCCAGCCTATTATGTGAGGCCAAGGTCTCAAGGAAGTCTTTTGAGTATTCCTTGTCGATCAGCATTGCAACGATGCCCTTGGCAGGGTAGTGGATGTCCAAAATACGGCCACTGTCAAATTCGAGGCGTTGAAGCTCGTTCCGATAGGAGGCAAGTTTACGACGATACCAGCATGGTACGTGGATGTAACGGTACTGAGGACCGTCCAAAGTGGAAGGATCAGTCTCGCGAGGTGGTTCAAACATGCTCAAAATCGTCTTGATAGATCTCTGCTTATGTTTAACGGGTTGTGGTGCAGCGTTCTTTTGTTTAGGAGAGGCTGGCTGGGACGTTCTTGGCAAAGTAGGAAACTCCTCGAATGCCTAAGGAGATGAAGCAGTACCAGTAGTTAGCTGGGATGATGGTGGAAGCGACGCATACTGAGGAGCACTACTGCCTGATTCGATGCGCACCAAAATTTGCTTCTGAAGGGAGGCGACTTGAGCATTTGCTGCTGCTAGTTCAGTTTTCGTGGCGTCCAATTCAGACTTGAGTCTGACAGTCTCTGCCATAGCGTATTCCAAGGATGCGATGCGTTGCTCATGAGCTCTGAATTCCCTCTGGAAATGAAACACCCACTCTGGCGTGTTGGCAGAAGGGGAGAAAGATATCTGGCTGACCAAAGGTGCACCAGTATTGTCGAGTGCTGTCGCAGATGGTGCTGGATCATCGTTGACTGAAGGAGTGCTATGCTGATCTTCCTGCATTGGTTGATCTGCATTGTTGTTTGCTTCCTCGACCGTGCGTTGCAGCTTGTCGGTGGCTGTGTTACGTGCAGTTGGTTTGGGCAACAGTGACGTACCACTTGCTGATTTCTTAACCGAGCTGGGGGTGGTTGTTGTGGTTGTGATTCTCTTTTTCAAGATGTCCTTTTCAGGAATTTTGTCCTTTTTTGGGTTACTTACTTTGATAACTTTCGATGGTAAGCTATCCGCAGTGGTTAGGCTGTGTTTACGCTTGCAGGATTTGGTAACTGGGTTGTCAGTTAGGGTGTCCTGAGTGAATGGATCAAACGAGGTGATGTCGGTGGACGGTTCAGTTGAGACTGGATGGTCTAATTCGTCGTGCGACTTTGTTGCAGGAGTTGTGGACTTGAAGAATTCTGTTTGAGGAAGAAATTCAAAGGTAGGTGCTGTTGAGCTGTTCGCTTTGTTTGCTATGGGTTTGCTAATTGTTGGTGCTATTGTTTGTATGTGTGTACTTGTAAAGGTCTTCTGTTAACGTCACGTGTATCTCAGGAGAACGTTTATTCTTGCGGAAAAACAATTTGCCCTAATAAAAGTGATAAAGAAGCGAAATGTCGTCGTGATAGATAGATCCAATGGTAGGAGTTAACAAATAACTTAGAGTGTAACCAATAGATTGAGATTATGTTCGAAGATGCTGTTTATTGAATGCATTTACAACTTATATTTATACTATTTCCACGATCGATAATTAGTCAATGGAACTTTCGAGTAGATATAGTACTTGATATAGCAACTGATGATCAGATCAATGCATGCTATCAGTTTCCAGTGTTTAGAATAACGAAATATAGACAGAGTAAATACAATTAGAACTGAATATATTTTTTATGTTATTCCAAGATTGAATTGGGATCAAAACTGGTGTAGATATCAAAGGTATTTATAGTTATTTGACAGTGCCGCAGCAATAGGATCTTGATCTTGAATGCGGGATAATTGTATAAGCCTTGAACCAGTAACGAGGATGTGCTGCATAAGAACTCATGAACCACCAGTCAAGGATAAACAACAAAGATGATCCAGGATAGAATGTTCTTCCTAATAGCTTTGACGGAAGAACATTTGTCGGAATTGAAACCCACTTCCAGGGACGAAAGGCCATAGGCTACCACTCTCTAGGAACCAGGATATAGATTAGCCATTTGATGGCACCACTCATGTTCCTTCGTGCTGCTTGAATAAAGACCTCTCACTTCTACTATGCATCTCAGCTCATTCTCAGATCCTCTTATGTAATATACAACGCCTAATACATTTGCCTCTCAGAGATGATCTATATCCTAAACAGTCGGTAAGCCTGATAATGGTAATGGAAATGAGAAAGCAAATATGCTATTTAAACACTAAGGCTTTACATTTTGGCTTCGCTACGGTAAAACCACCTTTAAAATCGCTGTTATCATGTATTGGGCGAGATGCTTGAATACTATTTTGGTATTGCACCTTCGCCTCCCTATGATAAAAACCTTATATAAATTAATGCTAACAAAAGTTGGATTAAATGCTTGATTATCATGGCCATTCACCTTCGTTTGACTACGGTATAACCCCCTCAAGGCCAATGATACCAACAAGTGTTGCCTTGAAACAACATATCACGCAATCCATAGCCAAATAGCAAACAAGAAATCACTTGATCAGATACACTATGCTCTGGGAAGAAGAGCCTTTAATCTCTGATTAACTACGATGGCGCTTTTGTGTTCATATTTTCCAGTATCCGATATATGAAACCTCCGTGGTGCTATACCATACCATGGCCTAGAGCTTACCTTGATAGTAGTTGAATGCACGTTTATACAGTACAACTCCAAAAGAATTCACTCTGAATTTGCTAGTCAGCAACCAGCAATACTTATATTACCGGAATAATTTAAAGAACCTTCTGCCATTACATTATAACTAAATTATTTTCCGTTATTGGGAATAGTCAATTCGATCAAATCAATTTCAAACTTTTCAATTCATTACATTCTTACCCATGAAAATGTGATATATTTAAAAGAAACCACAATTTGACAATACTAAGATTTTCTCACCATATATAAGAATTCAATGTTAGTTAAATATCAGACGTGAGACCATCAGCGTCTTTATATAAAGAAGTGTGGCCCAGACGTGAGCTTTCGGCGTCAGTATAAAAGAAGCAAGCTCCCCCCCCTTTTTTTTTTCATTGGCAGGTGTCAGGTACACACAGACTTTGTGTGTAACTTTTTTTAATTTAGTATAAATATCAACTTAGTTTGCAAAACAATAAAGATCATCTTATATCTCAATTCTATTCTTTTATATACATTTATCTAAGTCTACTCTAAAACTATACCTATACACACGACACAGGTGCACACAGACTTTGTTAGTAACTTTTATAGTTAATATGAATATCAAAAATAATAAAGGTTATTTTTTTTTCTCACTTATACTGCTGAGACATATACATTTATCTAAATCTGTTACTTATACTCACAACACCATTAAATAAAAAAACACTTTGTAACATTCTATGCGGAAACTTTTTGATAATCTTACATTTATCTGCCAGTAACTTTTAAACGAATCAGCTCTAGTACACATTCAAAATAACATTCATATATTACGAACTGTTCAACAACGCGATGGCATAGTAAAAGCGAATATAGTACCACAAAGTTTCGAGAACCTAATTCCACTACAGTAGCAGTTTATGAAGATTATTATCTGCAGTCTGATTGGATTATTTTGTATATTTCACACGGTCATCAAGCGATTGAGAAACAGTATCTAATGAATATTGTGGCAAACATTGTATCGTATAGTATTAAAAGACAATTTTTCATGTAAGTTATCTTTTTACTATCTCATGCCGTGCAACAGATAGCATCCTATTAATGAAATTAAACAGTATGGGCCCGCTTCTGCAACAAAGGCAACATAATAATGTGTGCTACTCTTTGGGGCATTCAATGCATGCATCTTTAATAAACTCAGTAAATTTGTAAGCCATGTCTTTCTACGTGTTGTAATCACATATAATCCAGTCCAGCCTTTCATAGTATTGATCTATACGAGGGCTTGATTGTTGCGAAGCGAATATGCAAAATCGTAGTATCTTAGTAGTAAATTCGATTTCTCTCCTTCTTTATTAATAATGGATTGTTTAAAACCTACATTTATAGCTGTGTTTATTACTGTTAATGATTTGGAATGTCTACGGCGACAGCCCGCAGGGTGACACCGTCGTCAAGTGTAGTGATATTGCATCTAATTCAACATCTGTTAATATTAGTCCTAATCGATTTTACCGTAGCCAAGCAAAGGTGTACAACCATAGTGTTCAAGCAGCAAGTTTGGGTTCTCATTTGCATTGTTAATAATAAGCTTACCAGCAACATAGGGCATCAAAATTCGCATGAATTAGTCTTACAAAAGCAATATGTCTCCTGTTAAAATTACAAGCTGCACAGGTTGCAGAACTGCCCTTCCAGACGACTTTAGCTACTAAAGATGCGGTTCATGCCGTGTAAATAAAAGCCATAAAGCAAAACATAACCAAATTGGACAGTTTTCAAGCCTTCATATCATGACATGTAGACCTTCCTGAGCCACCGGAATAACGCCAAACAATTGCACTTGAGTAGTAGTAACTTTCTGACACCTTTGCTCAACTTTTTGAAGACCTAAAAAATATGACCAAAAATCCACCAAAAAACATGAGGTACCCCTCATGGTTTTTTACGAAAATCAAAGGATCGCATTTTTCGCCTTGAAAATAAAGACTTTTACTATTGCATATATCAAATCAAAATATTTCTCTCGATCCAGAGCAACCTCTGAAACCACTGTTATGAGGCTTTCATATACAAAATATGGCTATTTTTGCTAAAAACCTCATTTCAGATTTTATTGAATTGCTCAATAGTTTCAATCAAAACACTTATTACAGTTAGCACCATCGGAAGCGCCTTGAAAAGTACTTCAAGAATGTATTAGGAAGCGTAGGGTGATTATCACAGTTCATATAGTCGAATACCAAAAGATAGATAAAAGAAGTCGAAAAAAGGCGAAATCTGTCCAATCTTGAGCAGAAAAAAATAAGCTGAGGTTGAATTAATTTTGGCGGCGGCATTGCTGATGGCTGACCTAAATGCTTTTCTGTTGATGATAATGATGATTGCGATGTTGATAAAATGGGGATCATGGAATTGAAAGGGTAATTGCTTAACCCAAACACTTTTTTGGGTGCTTTTGTTACAAGCGAGCCTATTGCAATGTCAACATCTCAAAAAAGTCGTTGTAGATCTTACACAAGTCCTTTATTTACTTATGACCAGCTTTATGTCGCCATCTTATTAAGAGCATCAGCAGCAGTGAATGATATGACAGTTCTATTATCAAAAAATGGCATTTGTGATATACAAATACTGCATAAAATTTGAATTTCTTTCGCATTGTCCCAATAATAGGCTTTGTTTAATATCAACGTAAGCAAAAAGGATACTAACGGAGATACCTCCTCTCCTTCTCCTGGCTCTGATACAACCTTTCTGTTACTAACTAACAATAAATTGTTTAAAATCTACTTGATATACCAAAATGTTATAATGTCTGATTTAAAACGGCTTCGATGAGAGCCCGCAGGGCGACGCCGACATCGAGCGTAGCGAGATGAATGTGCAAGTAATAAATACTGGAAGCCTTGAACATAAAAGCGTCGTAGTAGCAAATTAGAGACTGCAAGCCCTTGTCCCAAGAACACACTGCATCTAATTTTAATGATGTTATACCTGCTATACTTAGCTGTGGATTAAGTGATTTGTGGTGTCAAGGCAACATTTGCTAACCTTGACCTTAAACAGGTATAATAACCCTAAGGAAGCAGACGTGAAAAGCCATAATAAAGCAGTAAATTTGGTTTCTTATTTTCATTTGATGCAATTCACACCATAATCCATTATATTACACCTAATACAACCCATCAACATCCCATCGGTTTTTACATACACTACTAAACGCACATCAAACTACAGTCTACACGCACATCAAGACCCAACAAATAGTCAACTAGTAGGATGACTATTACTGAAACAATACCATTTAATTCAATGACATACAAGAACGGTTACAATTACACTTAACTGTAGATTATCTACACATATCATTTACAAAAATCTACTGGATCATCACACTTGACTTTACACCTCAGGATTTGACATTATTCACAAAGATATAAATGGGACCACACAATTCACTCAATAAAGGATCGTCTTAATTTTGCACAGAATGATAAACTGATAATTCGCTGATACATTTATTTGTATGATTTTAGTTATTTACAGTATTTGTCAATCTAATTAACAGAATTTTTATCCATTGTTATAGTATATAAGAAGGATCATCTACCTGGCCAGTAGAGAAACTTCAGCTTACTTTACACCTGTCAGTTTGATAATAAAACATATTTTTATCAAGTTGACTTTACTGTTTTTTTATGCTTTTTTTTCCATGAGTTTTAGTCTATAAAGCCTCAAATTCCACAGGTTCCATACTTCAATAACAAACATCACACTTTAAACCATCAAGGTTACATTAAACCATGCTATGACGATAGCTCACCCAAGCCCATCAAGGTTACTCAAATCAACCCTTATGGCCAGTGCTCTTGCATTGATTACCACTTTAAATCAAACGTCAACAACATTTGCCAGATATCGCAGTAGCAGCACCTATTGCTCTCTAACATCACTAATTCTACAAGCTAGTTGCAAATGTATAAATACTCTTCTTTTTTTACTCAATTCCAGGATCTTCAGTTCATTTTATACACAAATAAAATACTGTTGATTTCTATTGTATTTTACTATTGCTTTATTTTTTTTTTTGTGAAATCTATTCAAACCTGATTTCACTGCAAGAATAAAAGCATCAATAACTTAGAGATTGAGCTCCGTACAATGCAGAACATCAGGGACATTAGACCGAATTGTAATGCACTTACTCTTCTGGCAACGCAACCCACTACACCGTCGTTTTAGGTCGAATTCTGTTCAAATCTAGCCATTTTCAAGCACGAATATCTCATGCCACAAAGCGTTTTGAGCGCTTGAAATAGCTTCACACGCCTTCTCTTGGCTACTGATTTATCAGAAATAAATTATTTATAAAAAGGAGTATGAAATTAATCAGGTAGTAAAGAATATCGTTTATTACATTGAAAATAAGAGGGTTTATATACTATTCGAATTGAGGGATTTGATGTGAGGATAAGGTATTAGATGGGTTGATTTGGGTGATAGGATAATAGATTGGATCTATTATCCTGAACATGCCATGATATGGATCGTAACTGAATCCTGTTTCATGTCAAAGTTTATGGTCTGATGTGATCGGTGCTTGAACTGCTTGTTTCTACGCATTTGGAGATCCGGTTTAGAAATGATACATCAGTATGAATCTTATAGTACTAGCGTATCTGAAGTTCATATCTTCTTATAGTATAAATCGATATCGTACTGTACATCTAATCCGGTGTACATATAGTTTATATCTAAATCTGGTAACTGGATGAACTGTCGGAATGCAGATAATAGTGGATGTGTTCCACAATTTCGGTGAGACTAACTCATGTAAACTTTGATGCGTTATTATGTTGTCGGTTGTTTAGAATAACGAAATATAGACAGAGTAAATACAATTAGAACTGAATATATTTTTTATGTTATTCCAAGATTGAATAGGGATCAAAACTGGTGTAGATATCAAAGGTATTTATAGTTATTTGACAGTGCCGCAGCAATAGGACCTTGATCTTGAATGCGGGATAATTGTATAAGCCTTGAACCAGTAACGAGGATGTGCTGCATCAGAACTCATGAACCACCAGTCAAGGATAAACAACAAAGATGATCCAGGATAGAATGTTCTTCCTAATAGCTTTGACGGAAGAACATTTGTCGGAATTGAAACCCACTTCCAGGGACGAAAGGCCATAGGCTACCACTCTCTAGGAACCAGGATATAGATTAGCCATTTGAGGGCACCACTCATGTTCCTTCGTGCTGCTTGAATAAAGACCTCTCACTTCTACTATGCATCTCAGCTCATTCTCAGATCCTCTTATGTAATATACAACGCCTAATACATTTGCCTCTCAGAGATGATCTATATCCTCAACATTCAGAACCTTCGAGTATACGCTGGCGCCTTTTAGTCGCTTTCTTCAAATCTGGCTTAAACCTAAATTTAGGCACGACAGAATGTCAGGGTTGAAGGGTATTCTGACAGTAAATTTAGATCTGCAGGATATCATTGACAGAAAAATAAGAAGCGCAGGTTTAAACCTAGAGCGCCAGCTACCAGGAACATTAAACAGCGATTAACCTGGATAACGCACAACATTACACAAACTATATTGGATAAAATCAATGTTCAAATCTAATATTAATAAAGCACCTTTTTATCCATTCAACTAAAAGGCTATAACATCTTACTGCACACTCTCTATATCTACTTCCATTTATATCTCGATCAGTTCTCAGGTTGCATATACTATCTCTACGTATTAGCATGTGACAAAAATGTCGTGCCTAAATTTAGGTTTAAACCAAATTTGAAGAAAGCGACTAAAAGGCGCCAGCGTATACTCGAAGGTTCTGGAAACTGACAGCAAGCACTGATCTGATTATCAGTTGCTATATCAAGTACTATATCTACTCGAAAGTTCCATTGATTAAGTAATTATCGATCGTAGAAATAGTATAAATATAAGTTGTAAATGCAATCAATAAACAGCATCTTCGAACATAATCTCAATCTATTAGTTACACTCTAAGTTATTTGTTAACTCCTACCATTGGATTTATCTATCAAGACGACAAAAATACCAATGGTTTCTTGGTGTAGGCAAAAGAGTTTTTTTATTATATAAAGATTATGGCTGACTGATCCCATCAGGGCAAATGTCAAATCTATAAATCCATACATGCATGATATGTCAAGACATGTCGCACATAATTTGCAAGCTGGAAAAGAGAGGGCTTCTGTCAAAGGCTATCTGATTCAGGGGTAATCAGGGACTGTGACCAGCACAGAACCAAGAGGGCGCAAATGAAAAAGGTAAAAAAAATTGTTTTTTTTTTTTTCTTTAGCTTTTGTACAAGACAAAAGAAGAAGAGGACAGCAACACCATGTAGACAGCGTGTGAGAGGAGCAGTAATACTAAGTAGCGATATGATAGTAAAGGAATAGAGAATACAAATACAAATCCAATAAAATAATGGGCAATTCAACGCGTTCAAAACGAAAGAAGGGAAAATTTTACCAATGTGAAGGTGTAAGCGGATGGACTAGATCCAATCATACAGGGATGAGCGAACGATGGGTGCCATTTGCTTGTAGTAGACAGGCAGCAACCACTCCAAAAATGCAAGTCCTTGCGTATCACTGGCAGCAAGGGAGAATTCTTCATCTGGCAAGCAGATTGTTTCCATCTCAAAGAGAATCTGACACACAACAGGCCACCAAGACGACCAACGCAAATACACTTGCTGATGTTGAGACGACGTGGAAGGTGGTTTCTTGATGTTGGGGAGCTGATTGAGCACATAATCGAGAGGATTAGGCTGGGCATCATGAGGGACATTCAGTCGATCAGCAACAGAAAGACAAGACAGCAAATGTTGACGAGAAGCGTGCGGATGACCACATTGGCAAGGCACAGGACGAGCAGGAAGCCAGCCCATTTTCCATCTACAAATACGACTGCGAAGCCAATTATCCATAGGGAGGAAAAGGATGGGATCCACACCAATGCGAGGACGACAACTTGAGAGGAGCACCGGTGGTGTTTGATGATTCAATGTACTAGTGAGATTCTGATGGCGAAATTGTGAGATGACAGCCTTGACATTGTTACCAGTGGGCGAGTTCAACCAATCCATTATACAAGTGTAAGCGGGAGCAGCGTCAGGATCGGATCCAGGTGGATGGCAAATGAATTTCCACAATGAACTTTGAGTTAGCAACATGGGCCAGCGAAACTTGACATCTTTGCGTGACGATTCGATATGAGGCAGCAATGATCCGAGTAGAGTATCTGATGGCAATTGAGTAGTACGAGTGATGGTCTTGAAGGCCAAGATGGCGACACGCTCATGGATATGAGGAAGAGCAGTGAGATGCTTGTACACCTGTGTGGATGCAGCAGCCTTACCACGAAATAGCAAACGCAGACAGATGTCTTGAGCTTTTTCAAGTGATTTGGTGTGCTTGACAAGGAGCTTTGAGATGGACAAGCCATATTCCAGCTTTGGTCGTATAAATGTGCCATATATCTTTGCGGCAGTCAGTCGATAGAAGCTTGGGGAGTGGAAACCCAGAGGCTGAATACTGGTACGCATGGTGACAAGCGCAGATTGGATATTACGTTGTACCAGCATACCAGCATCTAGTTGTGCCTTGGTGTTGAAAGGGAGCCCAAGGTAGTTGAACGAGTCAGCAGCAGGGAGTGGAGAGCCGTAAAGACGTAGCGGAGATGTGCGACCTGTGTACATTGGCGGGTTGAGCACAATGCATTTGGCAGGGTTCCAACGGTAACCGAGCAGGTGAGAGTGTTCTTCAGCCTTCTTTAAAAGACGAGGCATGGTTTCAGCAGTGCCAATTAGCACGACATCATCAGCATATAGAAGCGAGTTCAGCCAGAGACTGTTGTATTTCCGTTGCGGAAAGGAGTCAAAGGAGCGAGATGAAGGCATTGATATCGTACGTAGGAGTGCAGGGAGAGTATTAATGTAGTGTGAGTACAAAAAGGGACTCAAGATGGATCCCTGCAACACCGCAGTAGATGGCCAGAATGAAGGAGAGCGAGCACCGGATACCAAAGTCTCAATCTTGACATTGTCAAACAAAGATTGCAGAATACCGAGCATGGGATCAGACACATGGGTTTCGAGAGTACGCCAAATGACAGGTCGATGCACTGTATCATACGCTTGTTTGATGTCCAAAAAGCACAAAACAGGCGGTTCACCATGATGATCCACAGTATGTTGGCGACAAAGTTCATGTAGGGCAAGAGCAGAATCAAGCGTGCTGCGATTCTCACGAAAACCACCTTGCACAGGATCCAATTCAGGAGCAGTAGCCAAGAGATCGGGATAGAGACACAATTCCATCAACTTGCGAAGCACAGAGCAGAGACTGATGGGCCTGTAGCTAGCAGGATCCAATGGATTGCCTTTACCTTTGAAGATGGGGACAACTTGTGCAGTGCACCAATCCACAGGGACTCGAGACCACATCCAACAGAGCGAAAAGAGAAGACACAACACAGGAGCGAGATCCTCAATCAACGGTATTATCAGCATTTCAGCACGAAGGTGATCAACACCAGGGGCTTTTCGACAAGCGAGTTTGCGTTGCAACATGAATGCTATACAGCCGATGGTAAAAGGGCAATCAGTAGCAGAGATGCTATCAGCCATGACAACAGGAGAGATTGGATATGACACGCCAGGGCAGTCAACGAGGTCAAATGTCTTGCAGAGATACAAGCGATCATGATCAGTGACACATGGGCCGTCGGGCAGAGATGGAGCAGAAGGACGTTGAGCAGGCAGGCAATTACCAGCAAAGACATTGCGTAAATGATTGGCCATTGTACGAGCAGCAGCAGCAGGACCCTCAACATGTGTGAACCCAGGTGTAATGGCACGATTGCGTCGAATGCGCTTGATGGTGGCAGCAGTGTCGGCAAAAGACCCATTCGAGAGCTTATCACAAAACTCTTTCCAAGTTTCATTGCGTCGGCTTTTGACAGCTTTTGCAAATGATTTACCAGCAGCAAGATACTCTTTCCAGAGCAGAGCTTTACCTACGCCCTCAGGAGCTCGTTTCCAAGCCCTTCGAGCGTCCTCACGTAATTCAACCAAGTGTTGGAGTGAATCAGTCCAGAACCGAGCATTACCACGAGGACCAGCAGGAGGCTTTTGGCGACCAACTGATTTGTCCAAACTGGTATGGATAGCCCGCGTGAGGCTATCAGCCAACATATCTACATCCGGTGGATGGGGTCTAGAGATATTTGAAGAGTTGGCGTGAGTAGAGGTACTGTGGTTGTGATTGAGCATTTCTAGTGTGTACTTAACTTCTGCCAAGAGTGCAGTTTTGATAGGGGATATTTCTACCCTAAACAAAGCCCGGTAGTGCTCTACACTCTTGTGATCATCCAATAATGACAATTTCCAGAGAAGACGAGGATGAGGAGCAGCAGGAGGTGGAGCAGTAGTGGGAACAAAAGAGAGAGACACAGGCACATGGTCAGAGCCAAGATTGGCATCATGGATGGTCATGGTAGGTTCAAGAAGGGGGGAGTAGCTGATGATCAGATCAACAATACTATTCCACGATGTATGCCCAACTTGAGCATTGTCCAACCGACTTGGTGAAGAGAGGGTAGGGATACCATACGCCAAAAGCGCATTCCAGCAGTGCAATCCATTGGACAGGATGAATTCATGCAGCCACGAACCACGAGTGTAGGTAGCAGTGTCACCAAGCAGGGCTTGACTTCGAGCATTGAAATCACCACAAAGGATGGTGTTGGCATCTTGTTCCAAAGCATCAGGGCCCTCAAAGAGAGCAGCTACTTCTTGATCCGACAAGGATGGTGGCAAATACAGGCAATGTATAAGGTATTTGGAGACACGGCAAGAAAAGACATAGGGAGAGCGGGAAGGCAGAGGCATGACTGGGTAGGGACAATTGGGGTTCACAAGAAGTGTGATACCTTGTTGGCCACGATGTGTGTGATGAGGATCACCAGAGACTCGTTTACCATAGGTATGGAACTGCTGCCATGTTGTGGGGAAGCGTAACGGAGGGAGTAACCATGTTTCAGTGATGAAAATGAGAGAAGAATCACTTAGATAGTCAGTAACAGTATTGACGGTTTGACGGACAAGGCCATTGGCATTCCAAGTGGTTAGGGTGAGAGCAGGAGGAGCAGGTGAGGATGGCGGTAAAGAAGAAGAGAGGGAGGCGGATTCAAAGACTAAAGGAGCGGAATGGGGAGTGGGGAGGTCATCATAGATGGCCTCTACACTCATTGGGAGTTGGCTGGTTCACCAGCACCAGCGAGGGAGGAAGCAGCAGCACCAGTGGCAAACACTGGGGAGGAAGAAGAAGAGGCAGCAGAGGATTCAAAACCTTGGGTGTCCATGTCAGTATTCACAGAGGTAGAGATGGATCCACCACGGAGGATGGTCTCCACTTGTTCACTAGATAGGAAGCCTTGTCTTTGAAAATCACGAGCAATGGCAGAACGCAAGTACTGGCGGGCATGTTGAATACCACGAGCGAGACGGGCTTGTTGAAGCTCTCTGGCTTTAGCAGCACGAGCAGCATCATCCAGAGTGAGGAGAGCAGGATCGTTCAGATTTGCAGCAGCAAATTGATCGAAGTCGGTGATAGGCTCAAGTTTGTGCTTGGCCAGCGTTGCAAGGAAGTCAGTTGAGTATTCCTGGTGGATCAAGAGAGCAACAATACCCTTGGCAGGGTAGTGGATATCCAAGATGCGTCCAGTGTCAAGACCGAGACGACGTAGCTGACTACGATACTTGGCGAGCTTCTTGCGATACTTACAAGCGAAGTGGAAGTAACGGTATTGAGGATCCTCCAAGATGGAAGGATCTACAACACGGGGTGCTTCAAACATGCGCAAGATAGATTTGATTGACTCCTTCTTACATTTTTTGACAGGTTGATATGAGGTAGCGTTCTTTGGGGAAGAAGAGGCAGACTTGGTGTTACTAGCAGGCAAAGCTGGAAACTCTGCTGGTGAAAGAGATGGAGCACGACCATTAGTAGCCTGGATTGTTGGAGGGAGCGACGCATACTGAGAGGCATTGCTGCCAGAGTCAGTGCGCACCAAGAGTTGCTTTTGGAGAGAGGCAACCTGAGCATTTGCTGAAGCTAATTCAGTTTTCGTGGCATCCAGTTCAGACTTGAGTCTGTCTATTTCGGCCATAGCGTACTCCAAGGAGGCAATGCGTTGCTCGTGAGCTCTGAATTCCCTCTGGAAATGAAACACCCACTCTGGCGTGTTGGCAGAAGGGGAGAAAGACATCTGGCTGACCAAAGGTGCGCCAGTATTGTCGAGTGCTGGATCATCGTTGACAGAAGGAGTGCTATGCTGATCTTCCTGCATTGGTTGATCTGCATTGTTGTTTGCTTCCTCGACCGTGCGTTGCAGCTTGTCGGTGGCTGTGTTACGTGCAGTTGGTTTGAGCAACAGTGACGTACCACTTGCTGATTTCTTAACCGAGCTGGGGGTGGTTGTTGTGGTTGTGATTCGCTTTTTCAAGATGTCCTTTTCAGGGATTTTGTCCTTTGAGTTTCTCATTTTGATAACTTTCGATGGTAAGCTATCCGTAGTGGTTAGGCTGTGTTTACGCTTGCAGGATTTGGTAACTGGGTTGTCAGTTAGGGTGTCCTGAGTGAATGGATCGAGCGAGGTGGTGTCGGTGGACGGTTCAGTTGAGACTGGATGGTCTAATTCGTCGTGCGATTTTGCTGCAGGAGTTGTGGACTTGAAGACTTCTGTTTGAGGGAGAAATTCAAAGGTAGGTGCTGTTGAGCTGTTCGCTTTGTTTGCTATGGGTTTGCTAATTGTTGGTGCTATTGTTTGTATGTGTGTACTTGTAAAGGTCTTCTGTAACTGTCACGTGTATCTCGGGAGAACGTTTATCCTTGCGAAAAAAAAGATTCGCCCTAATAAAAGTGATGGAGAAGCGAAAGAAAGTGGTTTTTTGGTGTAAGAAAAAGAGTTTTTTTTTATTATATAAAGGTTTCTTGGTGTAGTCGGTTATCACATCTGCTTAACACGCAGAAGGCCGCCAGTTCAAGTCTGGCAGAAATCATTTTTCCATTTATAATTTTTGGAAACGTCTTGCGAAATGCTTTTTATATGGTGTTACAAATCGACTTTGGTTTTGTAACTGAATCTCTCTTTTTGCTGTATGTTAAGCATAAAGAATAAAAGGACTATTATTTGTAGCTTATAGAAACAAGAAAAGATTTATTTGAATAAAATTAGACAGAAAAATTAAAGATTTATTGATGAAGACAACAGTTATTCTATTATTTATACTAAAGTGCGCGAAAAAAACGTTGGTGTTTTGCCAAATTGCACTTTTTACCAGTTTTCTCTGCAAATATCGAAGCTACTGGAGTGTGCTTAGTTTTCATAAATAGCCTAAGTAGTTGGCTATCAGATGATATATTATGCGCCTTATTCACGTAATTAGAAAAAGAATGGTAGCCTCATGAAAAGTGAAAAGTCGAATTTATTAAATTTTATAAAAAAGCTCAATATTTAGTTGGACCACCTTTACTCTTGATAACCGCTTTGATTCGGCGTGGCATGCTGCCTATGTATTTAAGACAGTCTTCTTTTGTGAATTTATACCATTCCTGTTCAATTCTCTCTTCTAACTCAGAAAGGCTGGTGGCCCTAGTAGGGTACTTGTTGTTCAAACGACGTTTTAGTTAATGCCGGACATGTTCAATGGGTTTAGGTCAGGGCTTTAGGGGAGCCAATCAAGGACACTTTGCACATATAATCCGTAATGTCTGAACCATTTCTTAGTGGGACCAGAAGTATGTTGACTTGCGATATCTTTCTGGAATCTAAACTTTTCTTGTCAACCCATAATACTCCATAGTGTCTAGCAAAAATGACTCCAGAATATCAGCATAAACTTCTGAGTTAACAGTTCCTTCGGTAAAGGCAGAGCTATAATTGAATTCCTCCGCTGTTATCATGCCGCAGAAAACAACACCACCACCATTTCTTTGGACCTGAGCCTCAGTTTGATGAGGCGTCAAATCAGTGGGTCTGTCAGTCCAGTAAAAAGACTTGCCGTCAGATCCCCACATGTTGACCCTGGTTTCATCGAAAAATCCCCGTTTACGCCAGTCGTCCGTAGTCAAATGGCGATGTCTCTTAATAATTTACACAAGACGCTTTTTCCGGTTCTTCGCACGCACGAAATTGGTCTTTACCTTCCTTTTAGCCTTGAGCTCTTTGCGCTTGAGTATATACTGTATGTTTCTCAAAGCCGTCTGAGCTCCCTATAAGCAAGGTAGCACCGCACACCTCTATTATGGCTGCCTAAATTACCATTGCGGAGGCTCCTCTGGATGTAGTTCATACTCTGCGTAGTGATCTTGCCTCGTTTTCCCAGTTTGGCATGTCTTGAATGAACGAGAAACTTTTTCCAATACAGAGAAAGTACACTAAGGGAAAAATTTGGGAAGATCCTTTGAATGCCATGGAGGGAGCAGCTCTGGTTGAAATTAGCCTTGACAAATTCTTGAGCCTCCTGAGGAATGGGACACGTCAGGTTAAGGAAAGCGTTCAAGTATACCGTGACCCACAAAACTGTCCCAATATTTAGCAGTCTTTACTGTCACACCTTACCACCGGACGGGAAGTTATCCAATAATAATGAATTTAGTATTTTTTAAAAGCTAATGTGGAATACATCCACTATGATCTGCATTTCGACAGTTCATCCAGTTACCAGATTTAGATATAAACTGTATGTACACTGGATTAGATGTACGATATCGATTTATACTATAAGAAGATATGAACTTCAGATACACTAGTACTATAAGATTCATACTATATAAGATATAGGCTATAGATGGCACCACGGACATGGATGGCGCTATAGACTTATACCTGTATTCCGACATTGACTACGGATGTTTACCATATCTGGATAGGCACCAAGATTAATGCAATATGAGCTTGTTGCTTCAGATGTGCACTTTATGATCCACGCTATAAGACACATGCTTATATCCGTGATACTAGCTACAGATACTTTATGTACTACAGATTTGTACTATATATGAGACATGCTATAGACATGCATATGATATGCTATAGACATGCCATATATCCAGATACATGCTAAAGATGTATGCTTAGCGATATACACTCAAATATGTACTATTGATATAGACTAAGAAGACTGTACCTATCGGATACATGCTACTAGATCGATATTAATTATCCTTATAGAAAGGATAGATCAGGGTACTTCGGATGAGAGTCTAATTATTCATCCAGACAGAGCTAAATCATGATTAGCTTGCTGGAGTTGTCTTTTAGCATGATTAGACATTAGTTGATCTGAGTTGACTTATTTGTTAATCTAATTAATGGAACTTTTATCCATTATTATAGTATATAAGAAGGATCATCTACCTGGCCAGTAGAGAGACTTCAGTTTACTTTACACCTGTCAGTTTGATAATAAAACATACCTTTATCAAGTTGACATTACTGTTTTTTTATTCATTTTTTTCCGTGAATTTAAGTCTATCAAGCCTCAAATTCCACAGCTAAAACTGTTTTCTTTATATCGTTTAATTTTTATAAGCACATAGCTGTAGAATCACAAGCTGTGATTGGCCAAAGTCATAAGGTACATTGGGACAGTATTGTGAGATATTTGGAAAAATCAAGTTTTATTATTTTATAGGACTTTAATACTTTGTCCATTTCCCTTTTGCTTTGATAACGGCCGCAATACGTTGAGGCATACTTTCTATAACCTTTTGGCACTCCTCCGGCTTTATTTGGTCATACCAAATCTCAGTTACTCGCTCATATAATTCATTCATACCCTTGGTTGCGGTTTCATACTCATTGAGACGCCTTTTCAACAAAGCCCACATGGTTTCGATAGGATTCAAGTCTGGAGATTGTGGGGACCACTCCATGACCTGGTATGGCTGTTCCAGAAGGTAATCCTTGACCAAATTTGAGGTGTGTTTGGGATCATTGTCTTGCTGAAATATCACTTGTTCACGGCTGAAGCCCAATTTCTCGATGGAAAAAGTGATAGTCTCTTCCAATTCGTCTTGCAGAATTTCTCTTTAGAGTGCCTTATCCATATTACTATTTATCTTGCACATCCAGCCAACACCAGCATACGTGATGGCACTCCAAAGCATGATACTGCCACCACCGTGTTTTACCGTGAGCTTGACATGGTGGTTTTGAAGCTGTTCACCAGATCGAATCCAGGCCCACTGTCGCCCATCTGAGTTGAAACGGTTAATTTTGGTCTCGTTTGTCCAAATAACGTGTTTCCAGTCGTCAACAGTCCAGTCTTTGTGCTGCTTACACCACGCAAGTCTCTTCTTGACATTAGCGTCACTAAGCAAAAAAGGCTTCTTTTCCTTCTCGATAGCCCCCAAGCCCGCAGTGCGGAGTGCTCTACGAACGGCCTCCGGGTAAACCTTCATCTGGAAATTCTTCTCCAACATTTTTATGACCTTGACGGCGCTTGAAACCCGTTCCTTGGTTACCTTTCGAACACAATAGCGCTTGTCGGCTTCAGACAACACCCTAAGACGACCACCTTTCGAGATTTTCACACCCGGACAATGCTCCACTCTGATTCGCCCGATAATAGACTTACCCAAAGATAGTTTTTCAGCAATTTCCCAAATCGAAGCATTGTGTTTGCAGAATTAACCTTGGAGACAACAATGGCTTTCATGGCTTGATAATCGACGTACCTGATATTTAGAACTCCGAGATGGATAATGGAGACTACTTGACCTACATGAGGCTTTCTTATACGGGGCTCTTGAGGTTATTCCAAATTGTGGGTTTGAGTTATCACCGAATTCGTGATTTTTCAAAAGATTTCACAATACTGTCCCAATGTACCTTATGACTTTGGCCAATCACAGCTTGTGATTCTACAGCTATATGCTTATAAAAATTAGAAGATATAAAGAAAACAGTTTTAGCTTTTAAAAAATACTAAATTAATTATTATTGGATAACTTCCTGTCCGGCGGTAAGGTCTGAAAGTTAAAACTGCTAAATATTGGGACAGTTTTGTGGGTCACTGTATAAAGAATTCAAAGGGTCTTACAAATAACAAATGTTTGATATAAGAAACGGAGTAGGTATAACAGCTAGTGAGCTTTATAAAGGATGTGTATTGAAATATTGGTAAAGTATAAGATGATTTTATTAATTGATTTTGAGAGTTATGCTTTTATACTATTTTGCTACTATTCTTTATGTCTGTAATAATGTCCTGGTTAACATAGGATTGATTTGTGGTTTGATATTATTTTATGTCCTGATATCCTTCGATGAATGATGAAGAGTTGCCTACTTAATTTACAAGGGTCAAGGTATATGGTTTCGTATGATTTGGTTATGTAATTGCAGTTCATAGAGTTAAAAGTGAGATTTGATATAAGATTGTCCTTGTAATGAAATAGCCACCCAAACGTAGCTTAATTGAAAACCAAAGTTCATCAAATAGCACTCATCCAAATTCATGCTATTTGGATCTATTAATGAAAGCGCTCAAATGTACATAAAAAAAAACCATTTAAAATTACTAAAGTAAAGATGCATGCTTATATCGCACATCGTGTGAATGAATCACTCCTGATCACAGCGTATTCAATCACACCCATGATGGTCGTAATAAGTGATGTTATCTTTATCCAAATAAAATCAAATCAATAACAAGCATATTCAAATATGGCAACTATGCCCTGCTGCCATAGTTGCACAATATCCCAGATAAAGGGTTCCATACTTCAATAACAAATATCACACTTTAAAACATCAAGGTTACATTAAACCATGCTATGACGATAGCTCACCCAAGCCCACCAAGGTTACTCAAATCGACCTTTATGGCCAGTGCTCTTGCATTGATTACCACTTTAAATCAAACATCAACAACATTTGCCAGATATCGCAATAACAGCACCTATTGCTCTCTATCATCACTAATCCTACAAGCTAGATGCAAATGTATAAATACTCTTCTTTTTTTTACTCAATTCCAGGATCTTCAGTTCATTTTATACACAAATAAAATACTGTTGATTTCTATTGTATTTTACTATTGCTTTATTTTTTTTGTGAAATCTATTTAAACCCGATTTCACTGCAGTCCTTTTTGGATACAAGATGCGGAAGGCAATGCAGCGTTAATCTGGGTCTTTAATTCATGCCCGGTTGATATGTAGCGCTTCAAGTTGAGATTGAGTTGTGGGCAGAGTGCAATTTAATCGTTACCAAATGTGATGTGTTTTGTTTGTATAATAGAAACAAACAGACTGAATGATTATATATGGTTGCAGGGAAAAAAAAGTAGTTGTTACGACTTGTAACAATAGGAAACATTTAAAAGTTTAATGTCAAATTGTAGTAACAGAAGTAGGATCCAATATAGTAAGCAGTGAAGCGTAATTTATTCAATAGTGTAGGCAATATACAGCAAAAAGAGAGATTTAGTTACAAAACCAAAGTCGATTTGTAGCAACATTATGTAATTTCGCAAGACGTTTATATTGATAGTTATGATAAAAATGATTTCTGCCAGACTTGAACTGGCGGCCTTCTGCGTGTTAAGCAGATGTGATAACCGACTACACCAAGAAACCATTGATATTTTTGTCACATGCTAATACGTAGAGATAGTATATGCAACCTGAGAACTGATCGAGATATAAATGGAAGTAGATATAGAGAGTGTGCAGTAAGATGTTATAGCCTTTTAGTTGAATGGATAAAAAGGTGCTTTATTAATATTAGATTTGAACATTGATTTTATCCAATATAGTTTGTGTAATGTTGTGCGTTATCCAGGTTAATCGCTGTTTAATGTTCCTGGTAGCTGGCGCTCTAGGTTTAAACCTGCGCTTCTTATTCTTGTTTGTGTTTAGTCTGTCAATGATATCCTGCAGATCTAAGTCACTGTCAGAATACCCTTCAATCCTGACATTTTTTGGTTTTCAATAAAAAATTACAACTAATAGTTAAACAAAGAATATAGTTATAGAGTGTAACGTATGTAGATTGATACGTGAACGAGAACTGTGCTGAAAGATGGTGTTTATTGAATATAATGTAGCTTATATTTATACCATTTCTAAGATCTATGGCTACTAACTTATGGAGCTTTCGAGTAGCCATGATACTTGATATAGTAACTGATAATCAGATCAATATCTGATATCAGTTTCCAGAACTTTTTTTGAGCATACGCTGGCGCCATTTAGTCACTTTCTTCACATTTGGCTTAAACCTAAATCTGGGCCCGATATTTTGGTAAGCGTGCTATTTGCTATGGATTATTGGTATTAGTTTTGCTTTCTAGTCACGCGCAGCACAACTAGGTTCATCACAAGAGTGTGTATATGCATCATTCTGAGAATGTTGAGTTATCTTAATTCGAGATGAGGAAGGATGATTAATACAAGGCAAATAGCCGGTGCAGGCAAATCTATGAAGGCTTATTCAAGTATGGATGTTGGATCATCAAGAACATACGACATGATTGCATCAGTATTTGGTAAATGTATTTAGGATCATCAAACTATCTTCAATTAGAGTAATTCATGTGAAATGTATGGGTACGGCTTGAGTCCTCGTATGGAGATTATTATTATACTGTACACACTTTATGACACCAGCACAGCATCACATCAGAAAAACAACGAAAGACCACCAACTTATAATTAGCAACACATTTGCAAGACTCTCGTCTTGCCAACATTTGGCCTTATTATCTAACATCAAAATTTATGTAAAATCAAACAGGCAATCGCCCTAAAAATTAATACTCACACCCAACAAAATCAACACTAAATGGAAAACAAGATAAGCAGCACATGTATCAACTCTCTCATGCCAAACTAGACATTTGGCAACGCATGTCAAGGATACATCATTATTACCCCCATATCAACATCGACACAGGTATAAACAACATGCCAAGAGATCTCATGGGCAACATTTGGAATTGAACAAGCAATTAAGTTACAAACTATACTAAAAAATTGAAAGCTATAAATAATCTTGACGTCTTGAATAAATGAACAGAATCTCATCTTTAGTAAGAAATACTTTATTTCGAACACCCTTAAAGCCTTTTCTCTAAATCTACATTTGACATCTCAATTTTTGGTACCTATTATTGTAAGTTGATTTGTTCAGTCGGCCAAGGCGCTACAATTGAACAGAGATTAATTGGTTGTCACCTTCCAGGTTTATTGATCTGAACCTTACCTGTTCCCTCCTTTTTGGTACTACCTCAACAACGTACTGGTTTATCAATTTTTGCCAAGGCAAATTTTATTTAGATAATTATGTTTTATTACTTGGATCACGTTCCCTAGCGTGATATACACTTTGATCTGTCTTTCCGATTGTTCAGGTATGGTCCGGTGAAGGATAGTATCAAATATAAATATAAAAAGCTCACATAAATACTCTTCAATAAACTCAACTTCATTTTATTATAAGTTTATTACTACCATACTTATTTGCTGTTCCTTACAGACATCCTTTCATCAACATAGCAACTAAAATACCCATAATAAGCCTTATTAGGTTATAGGTACATAACGGCTATGACATTTTAGTACGTGTAATTTCTTGTTAGTTACTTGACCTAATTTCGCTTTTTTCGACAGCTTATTTTATACGAAAATGTGCAAAGGTGGTGGATTATTCAAGTTGTAAATCTATATATTATCTGCTATGTCTTAATTGAAAGGGTTATTGTTAGTGCTATGTTCCAGTGCAATAATATATGTAACTGAGTGTTGTCTCTATTTGGGTTGTTACTTATCCGTTTATTTGTCGTGCTTCATATCACGTTTAGCCCAAGATCTAATCAGTATTTGAGGCTGGCATTGTTGAATTGATAAATTAGTCGTGGATCTGGATGAGATTGCGTCCTGATATTCGAGGATTACCATTTTGAAAAGTGAATTTGACTTTAGACTTTGATTTAAGATAGTTGCAAGTCAATTGATGTGGAATAATATAGATGCAATATTCAAGTGAGGTTACAACAATGGGATTGGGGAATTACTATTTAAACAATGAAATCGACTCACGAGCACGGGTACATGAAATTTGAAGGAAACTCAGTTTGGGTTATATTTTGATCAGGGCACTGACATTTGAATCTGAATTGAGTTTGGCAGGAGAACAACAACAACAATTACGAAGATCAACAACATGTATAAATAGTATTTAGAACTGCATCTTAATAAACATCATCCATCTTTCTTCTTATTACTGGAGTCTAGTTACTAGTGCCGATCTAGCACAAGCATGCCTGAAGAGTCCTTGAACTCATTTCTCATAAATATTGGGATAGTTTCTTACAGTCTTTCCATCAATAATACTTATATCTTGATTACCAAGTACAAGGGTAATCATTAAAGAGAGCTTGATATTTATCAATTTTATTAGCATTGTAATAAGTATATAGTCCTAAAAATTGTTATATATATACTATGAGTGTTTATGCTTTCGATAGCCCTCTGCCTTCACCTCATTTTGGTGAGAACCAATCTGCGCAGCGGCAGCTCGAGCTACTGATTGCCCTTGCTTATCTTATCAAAATACTGTTGCTTTTATGTTGAACCTCCACTTACACGTGAAAACCCTTCATATTATCTGTGAATCGGATTCTTATCTGGCGCTCTACATCCATATACAAGTAGCTACTTCATATACCGGCAAGCAGCATACTGATATCTCCCTTTTTTAGTCAAAAGTGTGCCTAATACAGCAAATTTAACTGCATTTGAGCTGCGTTTTCTTGCGTTCAAGGCCGTTTTAGATAGTCAGAATAGCGCCAAACAATTACTCTCGTCTAGCTCTTATTTCCTGATATCTTTGCTCAACTTTTTGGCGACCAAAAAAAACATGACCAAAATCGACCAAAAAGCATGAGGTAACCCTCATGGTTTTCACCGAAAATCAAACAATCGTGTTTTTCACCTTGATAATGAAGACTTTTTCTATGACATATATTAAATCAAAAGTTTTCTATCGATCTAACGTAACCCCTGAAATCATCTTTGTGGGACCTTGATATGTAAAAATTTGACTTTTTGGCCAGAAATCTCTTTTCATATTTTCATAAATTGCTCAATAAGTTTATTCAAAACATTTACTTTACTTGGTACTATTGGATGCGCCTTAAAAAGTACTACAAGAATGTATTAAGAAGCATGGGATGATTATCACACTTCATATAGTCGGATCTGCCAAAATAGCTCGATCAAGTCGAAAAACTTTCAGAACCTGGCCAATCTGGAGTAGACCGAGAGTCTGAGTTGAAATTAATTTTGGCACTGGCATACTCAGTGCCCTTTTACATTCAGGCAATACATTAATAGATGCTATTAAAGCGTATACAAAGTAGGTGATATATTATATAACACTATTACTAGCTATGCTATTTTTTTTGAGTCTTATATTAATGCCAATCCACCATAATATTGGTAAAATCAACTTCTTTCCTTTGTGAGGCTTTGAAAGTGTGTAGTAGGGACCATAAATTTATGATGGCATGATATATTGTATATATCATAGTATAGATGTTCTTGCTTGGTGAAGCAGTATGACCAAACAAGACATCCGCTCAAAACACCAATCCAAAAGACTTTCAATGCAAAAAAGTGTATGTATAACATTTACAGCATCTATGATTCCATCTTTTGTTGTACACTAAAGTCCTTGCGTTCTGGCCAAGATTTTAGATTAACATTTTGCTTCTTAAAATGTCCATCATTAAGCGTCTTTTTTTATATTTTACAAGCAAATCAGCTTGCACTCTTTTCGGAATAGCTTTTACATCCTGAATCGAAAAAGTTAGTAGTATTAAACCCAATCCAAACGTCTCAATCAAACGGCAGTTTTATGCTTTTCAGATTTAAATTAATGTGACACCAGACGTAGAGTGGTTTAAACCTTCTTTCATTGTGTGGTGTGATTCCGGGAACAGCGGCATAGATTGGGAGATGATCATGTCTAAAAAAACACGGCTACATCCCTTGAATTCAGAGCAAAACGTGCCAGATAGTTACAGTAAAATGATTTGAAATGGATCCGAGATCACAAAATCAAACAAATGGTGCGCGGAATAAACCAGGGCTTCCAAGATGCTCACATATCATTCAAACTCAAAATCGATGGTTGCATTTAATGTTTTAGTTTTTGAAGGTTTAAACCGCAAATGGCAATCTTTACTATTAGAGGAGATCCATTCTCTTACTTGGCTGCTGGTGTGGTGTCAGTAAAGGAAGAGCAAATTTCAGCTCTTGGTTTCTAATGTGATAATCTGTCAATATCCATCCTCATGTAGGTTCACTGCATCAAGCTTAATTGAGCAAACATGAAAGGGTAAAGTATTTCGCACTTTTCATTTCACGTTACAAGGTACAGACTGATTCACGTTTTGGTAAGACCATGGACATCGAATTAGAATTCTTTGACATACCTTGCCACATACAACTCAGAAGTGGAGCAGGCATCTCGGATAACGAATCATCTTTACTGTTCATCTCTCCCCCCTCCCCTCCCCTCCCCTCCCACTTCCTTCTTTTTCTCTCTTTTCCCCGCAAAATCAACAGGAAATCTTCTTCTTCTTCTTACCTCAGCATCTCCCCTCTTGCTCATTTATACATGTCAATTAGATTATAGACGCATAGATACTGTCAAGATATACATATACCCGACTCTTTAATTAGCAAGATACAAATAATACAATTTAATGGGCGTAGTTTGTTGTAGAGAAGAGCTTTTAGATCTGGAAGGCGAAGGTAAGTATATCACCCACCCAACACACGTGGATAGATAATTGACACTGTTCAACATATAGTGGAATTATCTCACTTTACCCTTCTGAGATCAGTTGGTAAAGGTGCGTTTGGCAAGGTGCGAGTTGTTCAACACAAAGGCACCAAACAGTTATACGCTTTGAAATACATCAACAAGACAAAATGCATCCAGATGAGAGCAGTTGAGAACATTATATCAGAGAGACGACTGCTGGAACAAATCAGCTGCAACTTGATTGTCAATATGAGATATGCTTTCCAAGATGACGATAATCTCTTTATGGTCCTTGATCTGATGCTGGGCGGTGATCTAAGATTCCATCTGGATCGCCTAGGTGTGATGCCTGAAGAATATGTTCGCTTTTACGCTGCTGAAGTGGCTGTAAGCTTACATTATCTTCACTCGCTGAATATTATTCACAGGTACTGTAATAATAATGTAATATTAGTGTGTACAACCATGCTAAAAAAAAGTCTTATATATATATACACACACACACTCTACACACTACCAACAACAGAGATCTCAAACCAGACAACATTTTACTAGATGAACAGGGCCATGCGCATCTCACTGATTTCAACATTGCAACCATCATCAACAATACAAAGCCACTCACATCAGTGGCAGGCAGTTTTGCTTACATTGCTCCCGAAGTACTGCAGAAGAGAGGCTACCTCACATCAGTGGACTGGTGGTCGCTGGGTATCGTCATTTACGAACTGCTATTTGGAAAGAGGCCTTTTCGAGGCAAATCAAACGATGCACTGCAACACGCCATTCTCCATGATAACGTGCACTTTCCAGAAAATCACAAGCTTTCACCTCAAGCAATTGATTTCATCAAGTGTCTACTTACAAGAGACGTCAAATCTCGCATTGGTGTTGGAAAACAAGGATTCCAAAGACTAATGCGCCATCCGTGGTTCAACGGCATTCCATGGGAGTTGCTTGAACCAAAGCAAGTAGAGCCGCCTTTTGCGCCCGATGTAAGTGCACACATTGATTGGCCTCTGCAGTGTCCTAAACTACCATTCAACAGAGTAAAAGAGCCAATTTTGATCCAACACACGAACTAGAGGAAATCCTACTCGAAGACAACCCGCTCAAAGTGAAACGACGCAACCCCAAACGTAGTGGAGCAGCTGCATCATACGCCACGTCATTCAAAAGCCAAGCAACCGATCCAAATATACCTGAGCAAAGCCCAGAGCGACAGCTGATGGAAGAAAAGTTCTTGACGTATGATTATACCAAACCTGATGAAAATGAGAATCGCAAAAAAATGATTGAACAAAGACATTGGGCTCAAAAGATGAACAAGACAACAGGCGAAAAGCATGGATTGCACCCAAATCAAGGGCATGGACCCACAAGAAAAGCGGGTGGCACCTACAAAGCAAGTGTGTTGGATTATCTCAACCAAAAGCCAGCGACACCACTGTCGGCAGGCGATATCCTTAAGTTGGAGGAATTGGCTAGAACAGCTCGATCCGGTAGTGCCAAAGACAAGGGAAATGAATGGAGACCGCCTTCGGGCTTGATGGGGAACAGCCCACCTGATGGATCTCCCTTGGATGCAGTTCAGGCTCGGGATAATTATATATTGCAGAATGGTGGTGTTCCTCCTCCATCTCGACCCCCACCTTTGCTGTGCCAATATAACAACAGCACTGATTTGAACCAACGTAAAAATAGCACAACTACGGATAATACGACACATACAACATCAACAACACCTACCAGTACGCATACGTCAAACCACAATTCACACAAGGCATCCCAAGAGTACTCGGATTATCAAGCAAGACGATCCTCAGACGAAAGCTATCGTCTCGCTTCCTCGCCTGATAATAGTGAGTATCCTCTTATTGCTTCAGCAGCAGCCTTGAGCATGGAATATCACGACCACCATCCCACGAATACGAGCCATCATCACTATTCTCAATCTGTAGCCACCACAGTGTCATCCGACAATCAACACCCACAGCAGCATAGTCATCCTCATCATACCAATACTACTACTACTACTACTACTACTACTACTATTACTACTACTACTCAAAATAATAACCCATATCCACCTTCTATTGTATCCACAGCCAGTTCAAACACGTTGAACGATGCTTCCAGATCCATGGTTACTCTCAAGACAAATTCATCATCCAATACAACAGTGTCAGCAGCAGCGCCTCGACCACCGCCTGCTCGCATTTCTAGCATACCTCGAATCCACGGTAATCTACTGCCACCACCTACCAGCTCTTTACCACCTATTCCATCTGAATTGCCACCTTTACCACCCATACCAAAGAATTATATTTAGAGTGTAATGAATAAAAAGAACTGTAATGTTAGCTAGCGTGTGTATTAAATGAAGAGCAACAATAATAACAACAGCCAGCATGGTTGCACAATGTGTTTATTACTATATCCAGTATTATGTTTTTACCAGCATAACCGTATCTGGGCAATTCATAATGGAAATATAAAAGTAGAATCCATCAATACAAGTATCTTTCTTTTTTTTTTTTTTTTTAACTTTATATACAACAACACACATAAAAGATGGCACCACCAGACACTCGATCAGGCACCATGTATCATAGCCATGGCATTGAAGTTTACCACAAGCCAAGAGACTTTACAGCGACAGATCATGACGCTGGATTCAATTTGCAAAAACTAGCATGGATCGAGCAAAGGGACGCTGAAGAGGCATTCACTCGGGTGCGAGTACTCAAAGACATATCGGAGGATGTGGTTTTGGTGGAGCATGAAGATCATTCTCAGGAACAACAAGTGCCAAAAGATCAAGTTTACATGATGAATCCACCAAAGTTTGATCATGTAGAAGACATGGCCGAATTACTGTACATGCATGAGCCCGCTGTGGTCCATAATCTGACACAACGATATAAGCGAAATGACATCTATGTACGTATACAGAGTTGTATATGTAATATATTACACAAAAAAGAAGGCTACTGACTCTGATATAAACAGACGTACTCTGGCATGTTCTTGGTGGCCGTCAATCCATACCGCAATCTGCCCATCTATTCGACAGAGATCATTCGGCACTATAGAAAAAAGAGACGCGGCGAAGTGCCTCCCCACATCTATGCGATAGCAGATCATGCTTTCTACGACATGCTGCATGACAAGGAGAACCAGTCTATTCTCATCACGTAAGTGTTTCATGAATGCATCCTGTCATCTCCATCACTAACAACTCGCATTGACAACCAGCGGTGAATCTGGCGCGGGTAAAACTGAAAACACTAAGATTGTGATTCAATATCTAGCATCGATTGCTGGTAACGGCAGCAATGGGTTTGGCACTGATTTCACACAAAAGAGCACACTGGAAACACAGATCCTCCAGGCCAACCCTATTCTGGAGGCATTTGGTAACGCACAAACTATTCGCAATAACAACTCTTCTCGGTTTGGCAAATTTATCCGTATCGCGTTCAATCGAAATGGTGATATTCGTGGTGCATTCATTGACTGGTATCTATTGGAGACGTCCCGTGTGCATACTCAGACCCTAGAGGAGAGAAATTATCATATTTTCTATCAGCTGTTGAACGCTGCAGACCAGAATATCAAAGGTGAGAGTCTACTGCAGTGTGAGTCAATGGAAATCACATACTAAATGTCTTTTACAGCACAACTCAACATTGGCCAGCACTGCCCTGCCGACTTTAATTACACCAAACACTCCAATCACACGATTCAAGGTGTTGATGATGCAGCTGAATACAACAAGCTGGTGCACTCGATGGATATCATGGGCATTGATGCAGCAGAGCGTCTGGAATTCTTCCGCATTGTAGTCGCTGTCTTGTATTTGGGCAACATTGTCGTCAACAGCAACTACGGCCGGGTGGATATCAGCAATTACGAAACTGCATGTCAACTGTTGGGTGTCACACCTCAGTTGTTCAAGAAGAATTTGTTGGAGCCACAAATCAGAGCAGGCAATGAATGGGTAAGCCAATCCAAATCCCCAGGCCAAATCAAGGACAATCTGGATGCGCTGTCCAAGGTGCTGTACGAGCGTAACTTTGGCCATTTGGTAAGCCGTGTCAATTCTGCCATCGATGGCCCTCAGTCCTTGGAAGGGATGTCTATCTCAGAGGGTGAACGTTTCATTGGCGTGCTGGATATCGCAGGCTTTGAAATCTTCAAAATCAACAGCTTTGAACAGCTCTGCATCAACTACACCAACGAGAAGCTGCAGGACTTCTTCAACCAAAACATGTTTGTACTGGAGGAAAAGGAGTACAAGAGAGAGAACATTCGCTGCGACGAGTCCTTTGATTACAGAAATGATCTACAGCCTACCATCAGCTTGATTGAAAGCGCCAAGAACCCAATCGGTATCCTGTCCTGTCTGGAAGACGAGTGTGTAACTCAAGGTACTGACGACCGTTTGCTGGCCAAGATTTCTGAGCAAAACAGATCCAACACACGCTTCACTCGGGACAAGTACAATGAAGGGTTCTCCATCAAACATTATGCGGGTGAAGTCAAGTACCAAACAGCAGGCTGGATTGAGCGTGGCAAGGACCCTTTGAACGAACATGTCGCTCGCTTATTTGCTGAGTCCACAAACCCACATGTCGCTGCTTTATTCAAGGATTATGCTGTCGATTTGCCCAAATCTCCTGTTCGTGCCTTGGATATCCGTAAGCCACTGAATCGTACTCGCAAAGGTGGCGGCAATTTCCACACTGTCGGATACAAGCACAAGCAGCAGCTCAGTATTTTGATGAACACGCTCCAAAACACACATCCTCATTTTGTGCGTTGTATCTTGCCCAATGACCGTAAGCGTCCTGGCGAAATCCAGCCACAGCTGGTGCTTCACCAGTTACGCTGCAATGGTGTGTTGGAGGGTATCCGTATCTGTCGTGTGGGCTTCCCAAATCGTCTGCTGTTTGAGCAGTTCCGTGAGCAATACAAACTACTTGCACCTGATCTCATCAAAAACGAACGCGACCATCGCAAAGCGTGCCAAATGTTGCTGGAGACAAGCCAACTGGATGCAAATCAGTTCCAAATTGGTCGTACAAAGGTGTTTTTCAAAGCAGGCGTGCTAGGTGAGCTGGAGGAGCAGCGTGATTTGAGGCTCTCTGAGATTGCTACCAAGATTCAGGCTGCATGTCTTGGCCTAATTACTCGTCGCAAGGTGATTCAACGTCAATCGCAAGACAAGCTGATTCGCACCATCCAACGCAACAGCCGCATCTACATTGATATCATGCAGTCAAGACTATGGAAGGTGTATCATCGTCGAAAGGAGCTTCAGTACACATTTGGCGCTGAAAATGCAGATCGTAAAAAGATTGATGATTTGGAGCAAGTGCTGGCTGTTTCTCAAGATCAACTCAAGGAGCTGTCTATTGAAAACCAACATCAACAAAAGACTATTGAGTCCCAAGAAGCAGCACTGGAGGAGCAGCAGCAAGAGCTAGAGCGTATCCACCAATCCTGCTTGTCGCTAGAGGAAGAACGCGATGATTGGGTCGCCAAATACAGACAGCTAGAACAAGAGCTCAAGGACACACAGTCAAAACTCGCACACACAGAGTCAGAGTTCTGTGCTACCAAGCAATTCAGTGAAGAGCAGGCTGTCATGCTGTCCAAGATCCACAAGGACATCCAAGAAGAGTCTGAAGAGAATGAAGCCCTCATGATCCAATGTGATGAACTGTGCAAAGAGAACAGCGAACTTCAAGAGCGAGTCCACTTTTTGGAGAACGACAAGACCATCTCGGATGAGCTACAGTCTGAATTAAATAAGCGCGATCAAGAAAACAAGCAGCTGATGCTTGAAATACAAGACAAGGAAACGAGCCTTCATACCAAAGAGGACGAAATTGCAGATTTACAGGATATGATTGAAACAGAGAGAAAAAACAGACAGGAAATCAATGCCGAGTTGAATGATCTGCGGAAACAAGTCTCGGCATACAAGGGCGAGATCCATGAAAGGACTATGGCACATCAATCGGTTCAATCCAAGTTTGGCGCTATGGAGGCGAGTCTAGCAAAAGAAGTCGAGGAGAGGAAATTATGTCAAAAGAAGAATATACAACTGGAAAGAGATGTAGACATGTTGACCAAGTTGGTGCAAACTGAAGCAAAAGAATCTCGTGCGAGAGCTGCCAGGCTGGAGAGCATGGTGGCGTCTTTGCTTAAAAGAAATGCGCTAGATTAATAGTTCCAAACATCATAACAGAATAAATGTATAGTCTCTGGCGCTTTTAATGCTTAGCAAGGAAGAGAATAGAGCCTACAGGTACACTAACATTCAATTTGTGATCTTCTTTTCATCATTATTAGCTTTAAAAAGCATCTATTATATACCTTGATGACCAGATACCGAGAACCACCAAAAGCCGGTTTAAACTCAGCTATGTATTTTTTTGTCTAGATTCGTCAATTTTGATTTAGTTTCGACTTGATCGGACTATTTTGCGAGATTCGACTATATACATTGTAATGATCTCTCCATGCTTCCTTATACTTTCTAGGAGTACCCTTCAAGACGCTTGCAATGGTGTCTAGTAAAAGAAGTGTTTTGAACAAACTCACAGAGCAATATTTGAAAAACGTGGAAAGAGGGTTTTGACCAAAATGTTTAAATTTTGCATACCAAGCCCTCACAAAAGTGGCTACAGGGGTTGCGTTGGATTGAGAAAAACATTTTGATGTGATATATGCCCTAGTAAAAGTCTTCATTTTTGCGGTCAAAAACGCAATCGTCTGATTTTCGATGAAAACCATGAGGTACCCCTCATGGTTTGGATGCACTTTTTGGCAATGTTTTTCAGGTCTCAAAAAACTTGAGCAAAGGTATCAGCAAGTAAGTGCTAAATGAGAGAAATTGCCTGGAGCTGTTTTGGTGGTTTAAAAAGGCTTGTAGCACGAGAAATTTAGGCTTAAACGCACCGACATTTCCTTTGTATTTTACAGCATCTTCAGTATAAAACTGTGTTGCAAGTAAGCTATCTGCCGGTGTATGAGCTACTTCCATATATACGGATGTGGAGTACCTGATCAGAGTCAAATCCACAGACATAGAGACTCCCATGTGAACGGGGAAGACTAACACGAAGCGCATATTATTTTCATGAGATGAGCAAGAGCAATTGGTATAGGGAAAGCTGCTGTCGCGTAGTAAGTAGGGTTCTCACCAAAGCGAAGCAAAGGTAATAAACCATCCAAACCGTAGACACACCCGTATTATAAATAATAAGCAATTCATCTTATATAAGCACCATGTAGTAAATAAGCTGTTGCTCAGTGACGAAATGAATCAGAAACACATGCCATTCTTTCTTTCAGGGACGACACTCGGAACTAACAATATTCTCGGCTTTGTAAGGGATAGTATGACCTGGATTATCTACAAGACAGCTGATACGGTTGGTCATGATCCATGTGCAGCCCCGGAAACCATGAATTTCTTGTTGTGAATGAGACACCCGACGCTACTAGGAGCAAAACTTGCGAACATCAATTGACATGCATACATGGATACTAAGCAGCATGATTCGAATGTATTTATGGTCCTACACCCAAGGCTCCACATCATCAATTGGGATCTAATGCAAAAGGGTACATGTTTACATTCAAATATCCAATTTAATACACGAATCAGAACAGCAACAACAACAACATTCGGGATATTGGTGATACATCAAGAAAGCGATCTTCTTTTTTGATAATGCTGCTTTACAAAAAATAGCAACATCTCTTTGAATGTGTAACCTTTTTACTATATGACACATGATGCCTTTTTCGCTTATTTCGTAAAAGGAAAGCCATAACAACAATGAAGCTGTTTTCTCTCTCTTTCTCTCTTAAATAGCAACCTGATTGATCATCGTTTTCCCCTCCTCTTTTTGAATCATTATATATTTTTTTTGTATTTGTTGCTCTTTTCTTTTATCTCTGTATATAAGCACGCACATACACTTCATGGCCCAACAACCTCAACCACAGCAGGTGCCAACACCGTCCTCTCCTTCGATACAAAATCAAGCGCAGAATCAACAACAGCAACAGCAGCAACAGCAACAACAACAAGCAGCAGCAGTGGCAGCAGCAGCAGCCGGGTTGTACGGCCCTGGATTCATGGAACCTCAAGGTGGTCTATTAGATATGGTGAAACGAAAATTTCGAGAAGTAGCTGGATACCGAGGTATGGATCCTACAGCGATGGCCATGAGTCGATATGCTGGTGCCGGTGGTGCCGGTGGTATGATGGGCTTAGGCGGTGGCATGATGCCCGGTATGATGCCACCTCAGATGGGTATGCCATTGATGAATCAATCCAATCTGGCCATGATGGGCATGGGAGGCGGTATGGGAGCCGGAATGGGTGGCCTTGAAGAGCTCATGCTTCAGCAACAGCAACAGCAACAACCCTATCAATTGCAACAATTACAACAACAACAGCAAATGCTACAGTTACAACAATTACCTCCTCAACAGCAACAAGCACTGTTAATGGCCATGATGATGATGGGTGGCGGTGCTGGCGGCGCCACATCCGGAACTGCTGCTGGTATGATGATGAATGGTGGTCTTGGTGGTACGTCTGGTGGATTTTATGGTCAACAACAAAACCCAATGTATCAAAGCCTATTAATGGGAGGAGGAACTCCAGGTGCTAATATGATGATGCCAGGCGCCATGATGAGTGGCATGGGCGGTATGGGTGGTAATAATTTCATACAACAACAGATGATGATGAACAGTAATCCCTACCAACAACAGCAAATGATGGGATATGGTGGTGGTGCAAATGCAATGTACGGCCAACAGCAACAACCATTGATGACAGGATATGGCGGAGGTGGTATGGGCGCCAATGCCATGTACAATGGTGGAGGCTATGGTGCTTATGGTGCCGGAGCAGGAGGCTATGGTGGAGTGGGTGCAGGTGGCGGCTACGGCAATGGTGGATACGATCAATCATCGAGCTATTACTATGGCAACCCTACAACACCGTATGCGTCTACTGGTTATCAACGAGGCGCGATGGATCCATACAGTAGTTACAATGATCCATACGACAGTTATGCTTCAAAGCGAGGTTATTTCTAAATTTTGTATACCTATAGTCTAATAATACCACAATAAAGTCTACCTTAAATCCACTGCTGCGTGAATCGACATGTTGTCCTTAGTGAAGCATAATGAGCGTTGATAGATCAAGTCTGCTGCTGCTATGATTGGCATAAGCGTAGATCCAAATTACATCAAACAATAAGTAATGGTGATGAAGAACAAGAGGGAGATGACGTGCAGCAGTGCAACAACAACAAGACGATACACAAACACACACACACCTTCAATACAGATACGGATTTGCACACAAGACCTGAAATTAATTTATTTTTATATCTCCCCCATATTCTCTTCTCTTCTTCTCCCCTTCTTCTTTTTTTTTTTACACAGAAAAAGATGGACTCACAACTTATCAAGACAGGTAACGTATATCTCGTCAAAACAAACAGGCACATAGCATTATCTTGAACGGCCGAACTTATTACAGCCTTCTTGAAACTCTTGTAACTCACATTCTCCCCCCTTTTTTTCTTTTTCACAGTAAACAAACTGCAAGATGCCTTTGCTACAGTGGGAGTGCACAATCCAGTCGATTTACCTCAAATTGCAGTGATCGGTTCTCAAAGTAGTGGCAAAAGTTCAGTGCTGGAAAACATTGTTGGTAGAGACTTTTTACCTCGAGGCACTGGTATTGTCACACGTCGACCTCTTGTAAGTTGGTTTTCGCACTTGGCTATCATGTCAGCTACTGACCATGCAACAGATCCTCCAACTCATCAACCGAGCTGCATCCAGCAACACACCTACTTCACCCAAAAATGACCAAGTGCCCTCTTCTGACGCCCAAGAAAACCAAGATGAATGGGGCGAGTTCTTGCATTTGCCAGGACAAAAGTTTTACAACTTTAACAAGATTAGGGAGGAGATCGTGAAGGACACGGAGTTGAAGACAGGCAAAAACGTTGGCATCTCACCACAGCCCATCAATTTACGTATTTTCTCGCCCAATGTGTTGACCTTGACCTTGATCGATTTACCTGGATTAACAAAAGTGCCTGTGGGAGATCAGCCCAAAGACATTGAAAAGCAAATTCGCGACATGATCCTCAAATACGTCACTAAACCCAATGCCATCATCTTGGCAGTTACTGCTGCAAACACTGACTTGGCAAATTCAGATGGCTTGAAATTAGCCAGAGAAGTCGATCCTGAGGGTTTGCGTACAATCGGTGTCTTGACAAAGGTGGATTTGATGGATCAAGGTACTGATGTGATTGATATCTTGGCTGGACGAGTCATTCCCTTGAGGTTGGGCTATGTTCCTGTTGTGAATCGTGGTCAACGCGATATCGACAATAAGAAATCCATCTCCAAGGCATTGAGTGCTGAGCGGGAATATTTCGAAAATCATGCTTCCTACAGAAGTAAAGCTCAGTACTGCGGTACTCCATTCTTGGCACGCAAATTGAACATGGTAAGTGAGGAGGCACTTCCAAGAGACATTGCCAAGCACAGACACACTCATGCTTCCTACTCATAGATCTTGATGCATCATATCCGTAATACCCTTCCTGAAATCAAAGCCAAGATTCAGGCTGCTTTGACAAAATACCAACAAGAGCTATTGCAGTTGGGCGATCCTTTAAGCGATGGATCCAACTCTGGCCAAGCCAATCTGGTGCTCAACATCATCACTGAATTCTGTACTGAATTTAGAACTATCATTGATGGTAACTCGAATGATCTCACAAGCTTTGAATTGTCTGGTGGTGCAAGAATCAGTTTTGTCTTTCATGAACTCTACTCGAACGGTGTCAAAAGTGTGGATCCCTTGGAACAAATCAAGGATGTCGATATCCGTACCATTCTTTACAACTCTTCTGGTTCTTCCCCTGCTCTGTTTGTCGCAACCACTGCATTTGAAGTCATTATCAAGCAACAAATCAAACGTTTGGAGGAACCCAGTGTCAAGTGTATCAACATGGTGTATGATGAATTGGTTCGCATTTTGAGTCAATTGTTGAACAAACAGTTCTTTAAACGATTCCCTGCTCTTAAAGAAAGATTCTATCAAGTTGTGCTGTCCTTCTTCAAGAAGGCTCTCACGCCTACTAGCAAGTTGGTGACTGATCTTGTTGCGTAAGTCAATGGTTGTATTCATGCTGTTGTGGATTAAAAAGTATTTATATAATGTCTCATGTTAGTATGGAGGCTTGTTATATCAACACGGCCCATCCTGATTTTTTGAGTGGACATCAAGCTATTGCCATCGTCAATGAACAATTACAAGCCAAAAATCAACCTGCACAAATTACGGATAAACAACACAATGGTACAACAAACGGTGTTAGTAGACAGCAGCAATTAGCTGCTTTACAAACAAACACTCATTCCAGCGCATCTAGCTTTGACTCTAATTCCGATCAAAATGGATCCTTCTTTGGCAGCTTCTTCTCTGGCCCTAAAAAGACCAAAAAGACGGCAGGTGCATTAATGGAAGCTGTAAGTATCTAACAGAGAGGTGACGGTAACATGGGAAAGAAGACTAAACGATACCACTTGATAGCCTCCTGCTACTTTGAAAGCTATGGGTGCTTTATCCGAACGTGAATTCATGGAGACCGAAGTCATCAAGCTTCTAATTCAATCTTACTACAATATTGTTAAACGTACCATGATTGATATGGTACCCAAGGCTATCATGTTGAATTTAGTTAGTCATGCCAAGGAGGAACTTCAAAGAGAGCTCTTGTCTGAATTGTACAAGGCAGAAGTATTGGATGATTTGCTGCAGGAATCAGAGTTTACTCAACAAAGAAGAAAAGAGTGCAAGAAGATGATTGAGGCTCTACAAAAGGCAGATGAAATTGTTGGGTCTGTTTAAGGTGATTGACTCTACTACTACCGCAATACTTGATCGTTGTTAAAATACCAATTCAGCTTATAATTTAAGAAAGACCCTACAGAATAAACTAGTTTTTAATATATAGCTGTATACATCTTGACCAAAGAGACGCTTGTCTAACTCGAGCCTTGCTCTGTTTCGCTTATAAATATATACTCTTTCGAATCGAGCTCTTTGAGAAGAGCTATGTTGGAGTTAACATTGATCTGATTTAACGATTCTATTGTTGCTAGCCGTAACTCGGCGACTTCTATCAGTTCCTTTTGTTTAACCAATGTTAATCATGGCCTTGCTACAACCTTCTTCGCTGGTCATTTGAAAGTAATCTTACAGATTAACATCTCCCAATAAAAAAATGCAATATGTAAAATCTCTATATATGATAGCTGAATAATTTGAGGATATAGCAATATACAGAATGTATATGAGCAAATAGTTTCTCAGCATCAGTAGAAGAGGTTGCGTTTATGTTCATATTAAGGCATAGTGGCGTATCTGGCTACCAGTAAAATACATACATACCATTTACAAACAAAATAAGGAGGGTGTGCCTTATTTGCACATCAAAATAGTGATTGAAGATCAAAATACAAATTGTGTTCAATAGTATAATAAGTCTTTGATGCCTGACACAGCCTTGACACAGCCTCCATAGCCTTCTTATGCCATAGCTACCAGCCCTTATTCTATCTTTAAATACCGCATCACTATCAAGAGGGTAATTCACAAAATTTTTAAATCTTAAGAAGCATTCTTCAACAGGATTCAAGAAAGGAGAATAAGGGAAAGAAAGTCAGGCTTGAGCTTGTTGTTTCTTTGCTGCAAACATTCGCGAAGACCAGAACTGTAGCCATTTATTACAAACACAAAATTATATTAAGTGACAGATCAATAGGAAGTCAACTATTTATAGACCTTTTCTCTTTCAACTCCTCAGCCAATCAAGTTGCTTGAAAACTCCGCTGACCTAAAAAAAAATTTGCGAGGGTTTCCCCCTGTTTTGATGTGAGGCAAAATTTTAAGCTCCGCTATATATAGCAATATAGCTGTTACTATCATCAAATTTCCCTCTGATGTTAGAGCATGCCTTACTTACACAACCTAGCTTTAGATTCTGGTGTTGAGACCCTCAATCATCACTAAAGTAAGTAGTGATAACCAAGTGGAGGCAGCCTATCTACCTCCTAGCCTCGGATAGAGTCTTGTTGAGTTTCAGGGATAGGCACATCCACACAACGTAAAAAAGGTACGCTTCAAAGAAACATAAAAATAAGAAAAGAACATATTACTATAAGAGTATAGTAGTATGTAGGCAAAAAAGGAACACACACATAAAAAAGTGAGTCAAAAGAAAAGCATAACAACAAATACAACATCAAAGATGTTCAGAACAGATCGTTGTTGTTGCAACAACAAAAATGCATACATGAGTAATGTGCATGGTAATAGTCGGATGTAAAGCAACATCAATCTGCACAATTGCAGGAGCAACAGCAGTATTATAAATGCGCAATACAACATAATGACTATTGCTGTTTCATGTGAAGCGACAGAGGCAACACAAATAACAATCCACGGCCATATACCAAAGTAGTATTCCAACGGCAATACAGATATAGAGCAGCACATCATGCTTGTTGTTCATACATACGAAGCAACAACATTGCAAGCATCCGTTGAGCTGATCATATCACAGCCAACAAAAGAAGAAAAAAACAGCGTAACAATGCAAACATTATAAATGCATTATCACAAGAAAGGAAGCAATAATACAAACGTCCAGAAAGGCTTTATATCATTGCGACCACAAGAAAAAAAGATACCTACCACTTACCACACCCACGGATATGCCAGAAAATAGGCAATTACCAGAGATAGACCAGAGAACAAGTGTATAACAAAGACAATAGACCAGGAAAGACCATTTTAGCAGCAGCAGCAACACCAGAAGCAACACCAGAAGCAACACCAGAAGCAACACCAGAAGCAACGCCGGAAGCAACGCCAGCAGCAGCAACAGTAGCAACAACAGCAGTATAGTAAACCGAACAACGAGCGACACCAAAGACCAGACAAAGATTAAAGAAGCAACAACCGCCAGAGATAGAGACCAAAGAAGTAGCCACCAGACATAATAAGCCAAAGATGCAGACAGCAGAGGTAGCAGAGAAATAATAGCAGCAACACCCATGTCAAACAGGCAAAAAAATTATCGAAATCTAATAAACGAATTCGATTAGTGTTAATTCTAGGTCTTCCAATACTCGTTATCGAATGGCACCTATTATATTCCACTTCAAAGAAGCAGTATCAAGTCTTTCTAACAGTGCAGGATAGTGTTATCAGAAGCTAGTGTTATTATCAACCAAACGGTTCCAAAACGACCATGGTTTGATGCTAAACGCGTTTTGCAAAAAGGGAAAAAAAAATGGGGTATGAAAAAATGCGAGGGCAACGTATCGGACGTCACCGCCTGTAGATTTAGTCTCTGCCTTGTACCGTGGCAGTGGTAATCGCGGCCATTTAATTTGAAATTGTGCAGCGGTATTTTCGTGTTCAAACTTGACTTGATTTGACATTCTTTGAATGTTTTTACCAAATTAACAATGAAAACTGTCGTTGTCACATTCAACTTCCTAATACATTTTTGGAAATCTAAAAAAGCTGCATCGAATGATGCTAATTTCATTCAGCTTTTAGACCGAAAATAATAAGAAAATTGCAAAAATAGGAAAACACGTCTTCTGTGACTATGTCAAATTCTAGCATATAAAAGTCTCATATAAACAGCTTCTAGTGTTGTGTTGCATTTTAGAATTAATTTGAACTAATATATATCATAGGAAAAGTCTTCATTTTTGGGGTGAAAAATGCGATCGTTTGATTTTCAAGAATTTTCCCTTACTAGTACATATGAAAATCATGAGAATTTTTATGGATTTGCAATGACCTAAAAAATTTTGAGATAAAGCATCAGTAAGTAAAGCGTGGGCAAGGAGAGACATTTGGCCATATTCCGAGCGTCCACAACGCTTTGTAGCATGAGTTATTCGTGCTTGAAAATGGCTAAATTTAAATAGAATATGACCAAAAATAAAGCAGAGTAGGTTGTGTTGCCGAAGAAGTAAGTAAATCACAGTTCTGTCTGATGACCCCAATGTTCTGCATTCTACTGAAATCAACGTATAGACAATTAACGCTTTTATTCTACTTTTGAGGTTCAGGTCTTTCTTTTTGAAATGCGCAACTACTGTGATATCAAATGTCATAGCAAGGTCTCACACTAAAGGTTTTAGGCTATTCTTAGGTCCTTTGGGTAAATCATGCTAATCATGATTTACAAATCAATTGTTGCGTAGATAGTAAACCTATTTGCATTATAGTTCATCATCATGCTGTAAACCCTAGCATAATGAAAAGTATATAAATGCATCCTTGCGATGCATTCTCAATAAAAGTGTAATTCTTTGGCAGATTCAATTTTACATTGTATTTTGACATAACAACTACAGTGATTTCATAACTTAAGCGACAAAGATATCATGCAAATTTGAATCTGACAATTTGCTCGGATTGAACGAGATATTTATCAGCTTAGCAGGACACTTTTGATAATTGTCCACTACAGAGATGCCATATCTAGCCGTGAAACTAGACTAAGGTCTATCCACGATTGTGGAATTTGAGGATTCATAAGACCTGATTCCACGAAAAATAGAAGAATAAAAAAAGAATAAAGTCAACTTGATAAAGGTAGGTTTAGTATTGATAAGCACAAAGAATAAAAGAATTATTATTTGTAGCTTATAAAAAATGTTCGATATTATAAAAACAAGAAAAGACTTATTTGAATAAGATTAGACACAAAAATTAAAGATTTATTGATGAAGACAAGAGTTATTCTATTTATACTAAGTTCTGAATGCCAAAGTAGCAATTCATCTTGTGCAACGCTTATCACATCTGGTGAACCTCAGCATCTAGTAGATAGCTGCGATGCACTTCAATCGTCATAGCTTGTCCATGTTGTTGCACAACACAGACATATCTACACATCAAGAATACCTTAATCTTTATAGACAGTTGTTGCCCTTCTGGCACAACAACAAGTATCAAACTGACAGGTGTAAAGTAAACTGAAGTATCTCTACTGGCCAGGTAGATGATCGCTCTTATATACTATAACAATGGATGAAAGTTTTACTGATTTAAGTGAACATACGGTATAATGCAACTCAGATTACCTAACGTCTAATCATGTTATAAGACGACTCCAGCAAGCTAAGCATGATCTACCTTTGCCTGGATGAATAATTAAGCTCTCATCCGAAGTACCCTGATCTATCCTTTGTATAAGAATAATTAATATCGATCTAGTAGCATGTATCCAATAGGTACAGTCTACTTAGTCTATATCAATAGTACGTATCTGAGTGTATATAGCTAAGCATACATCGTTAGCATGTATCTGGATATATGGCATGTCTATAGCATATCTCATATATAGTGCAAGTCTGTAGTACATAAAGTATCTGTAGATTGTATCACGGATATAAGCATGTGTCTTATAGCGTGGATCATAAAGTGCACATCTGAAGCAACAGGTTCATATTGCATTAATCTTCGTGCTTATCCATATATGGTAAACATCCGTACCCAATGTCGGAATACAAGTATAAGCCTATAGCGCCACCTATGTCCATGGTGCCATCTATAACCTATATCTTATATAGTATGAATCTTATAGTACTAGCGTATCTGAAGTCCATATCTTCTTATAGTATAAACCGGTATCGTACATCTAATCCAGTGCACATATACCGTGACCTACAAAACTGTCCCAATGTTTAGCAGTTTTTACTTTCAGACCTTACCACCGGACGGGAAGTTATCCAATAATAATGAATTTGATATTTTCTAAAAGCTAAAACTGTTTTCTTTATATCGTTTAATTTTTATAAGCACATAGCTGTAGAATCACAAGCTGTGATTGGCCAAAGTCATAAGGTACATTGGGACAGTATTGTGAGATATTTGGAAAAATTAAGTTTTATTATTTTATAGGACTTTAATACTTTGTCCATTTCCTTATTGCTTTGACAACGGCCGCAATACGTTGAGGCATACTTTCTATAACCTTTTGGCACTCCTCCGGCTTCATTTGGTCATACCAAATCTCAGTTACTCGCTCATATAATTCATTCATACCCTTGGTTGCGGTTTCATACTCATTGAGACGCCTTTTCAACAAAGTCCACATGTTTTCGATAGGATTCAAGTCTGGAGATTGTGGGGGCCACTCCATGACCTGGTATGGCTGTTCCTGAAGATACTCCTTGACCAAATTTGAGGTGTGTTTGGGATCATTGTCTTGCTGAAATATCACTTGTTCACGGCTGAAGCCCAATTTCTCGATGGAAAAAGTGATAGTCTCTTCCAATTCGTCTTGCAGAATTTCTTTTTAGAATGCCCTATCCATGTTACTATTTATCTTGCACATCCAGCCAACACCAGCATACGTAATGGCACGCCAAAGCATGATACTGCCACCACCGTGTTTTACCGTGAGCTTGACATGGTGGTTTTGAAGCTGTTCACCAGATCGAATTCAGGCCCACTGTCGCCCATCTGAGTTGAAACGGTTAATTTTGGTCTCGTCTGTCCAAATAACGTGTTTCCAGTCGTCAACAGTCCAGTCTTTGTGCTGCTTACACCACGCAAGTCTCTTCTTGACATAAGCGTCACTAAGCAAAGGCTTCTTTTCCTTCTCGATAGCCCCCAAGCCCGCAGTGCGGAGTGCTCTACGAACGGTCTCCGGGTGAACCTTTATCTGGAAATTCTTCTCAAACATTTTTGTGACCTTGACGGCGCGTGAAACCCGTTCCTTGGTTACCTTTCGAACACAATAGCTCTTGTCGGCTTCAGACAACACCCTAGGACGACCACCTTTCGAGGTTTTCACACCCGGACAATGCTCCGTTCTAATTAGCCCAATAGTAGACTTACCCAAAGACAGTTTTTCAGCAATTTTCCGAATCGAAACACCGCTTCGAAGCATTGTGATTGCAGAATTAACCTTGGAGACAGCAATGGCTTTCATGGCTTGATAATCAACGTACCTGACATTTAGAGCTCCGAGATGGATAATGGAGACTACTTGCACTACATGAGGCTTTCTTATACGAGGCTCTGGAGGTTTTTCCAAATTGTGGGTTTGAGTTATCACTGAATTTGTGATTTTTCAAAAGATCTCACAATACTGTCCCAATGTACCTTATGACTTTGGCCAATCACAGCTTGTGATTCTACAGCTATGTGCTTATAAAAATTAAACGATATAAAGAAGACAGTTTTAGCTTTTAGAAAATACTAAATTCATTATTATTGGATAACTTCCCGCCCGGTGATAAGGTCTGAAAGTAAAAACTGCTAGACATTGGGACAGTTTTGTGGGTCATGGTAGTTTATATCTAAACCAGGTATCTAGATGAACTGTCCGAATACTGATCAGAGTGGGTGTATTCCACAGAAACTATACTATTATATAAAGAATTGAAAAAGAAACAGAAGTTATTAAGTTTGAAGCTCTCGTTCACTTGGTAAAATCTAGCGGTATGGCCCTTTGAAAATTGGTCATTTGGAACATTTTCCGTCATTACTCATTCGCATCGCCTTCTATAACCCTACATAAAGCATGTCTCAGCCCAAAGAAATTTTCTCTACAACTTTCACTACACATACATTCCACATTCATATAGTAATTTAAAAACTTTTACTGGCAGCATCTATTCAAAATTAACTATTTTCTAAAATCTCTATTTTATCAACAACCATGCTACCTACACAAATTTGGTTTGCACCATCATTTAGAGGACAAGAGCAGGGTTCCAAATCGGAATCCGAAATAAGAATCGGAGTTCGAAAAATACGTTCTACCAAAAAAAAAATAGACACTTTGAACAGCTTGGTATGATTTTTTATATAAGCTATTGAGGGAGGATAGAGGAGATGAAAATGGGCGCGCTTTCATGTGAGGTTTGGGCTAGTAACCTAATAGATGGGTAGTTTTTTTAATTATCACGTTCAGTGTTTTGGATGCTAAAATATATCGATTACTAATCTCCGTTGTTGTTCTAATGATGGTTGATTGTATTAGCGTTAAGCAGCCAAGCCATCACCACCGTTGTTAGAAATATTCTAAGGATGGCTGACCTGGATAGATGTAGTATCAAGTGGTTCAGCATGTAAAGAGCTACCACCAGCAATAATTATTAGGGTCAGGTTCCGATTGAGTTCGTTACCTTTGATTCCTAGGCTTTTATTTTTCGGATATTAACAAACAACTTGTTTCTCATTTTCCATGTAGTGTCTGTAAGATAATACAAGCAACAAATGGTTATATTTCCAATTTTGGCGACGCAAGCAGCAGTTTTTAACTGTAATCAGTATGTAACATCTCGAATGATAAAGGATCAGTGAAAAATAAAGAAAAAAGCTTTCGTTGCTGCTCAAACAATGATCTCTTTTCACTATTATTTGCTTCCTGATTCCCGAAGAAGGTTAGTCATACTACCATTGACTGACACATGAATAGTGTATCTCAAGTACCTTCTCCAGCATAGATAATGCCGTTTTGATCTCCATTGTGCGAAACTCGAGTTCCTCCTGCAGTGTGGTATACGGTTTGGGTGCCATAATTAGATCATCTGTTGATTTGGAATGGCGGTATAGTGAGTCTGACAATCTCTTGTGCAGTGAGATCCTATACATGGTATTAAAACGACATGAGAACAGTGCATCTAATTAACAGAACTTACAATTCAGTAGCTGCCTCTTGACACGATTGAAAGTCCTCGTGCCATTTTTGATTTTGCATTTGTGCATGATCTTGTAATACTTTGATCTGTTCAGCCAGTGACAACTCTGCCGTATTCATTTTCGATTGCTTTAATGCTTTCTTTACAAGCCCTTTGATGAGCCTAACCAGGAGCGTATCATCCGAATCTATGTCTTTTGAAACTGATTCAATCAATGGCTGATGTGATGGTGATGGATCCACAACTAACAGAGATTCAAGTGAGCGTAACTGAAGCCCTTCGAAAGTGGCATCTTTTTCATAGAGTAACGTAGTCAATTGCTGATATGAGCGCTGTTTGATACTCTTATCATACAAAGACTCCAAATCCTTGAGATAGCTTTGAGCAAATGTGATTTCGTTTGTCAGGAAACTTGCATAAAGCGGATATAATACACTCTCCATCGCCACTCTCGCCAAATAGGGTCTTAGAACATCCTTCTCCAGTTGCTCCAATTTCTTGGTCGTCTCCTCCATGTCTGCTGCATATTTCTCTGTTTCTGATCGTAGGATAGGCAAAATTTGTGGCAGCGAGTTGAGTCTGGCTCGATCACGCTCAAGAATTTGCATTTTTGCTTCAAGTCCGCTAATTTGTGCATTGAGATCCATAATGTCAAACTCACTTCTACGGTGTTGGCGCACTGTGGCATCAATGATGGCATTTGTATCGTCTATATGTTTGTCGACCAGCAAGGATTCCCATTCTTGCAGTCTACGCTTGATTTCCTTGATGAGTTGTGCGTCTGATTTCAAGTAGGGTGTGTCGCTGGCAATGGTGATGGTCTCGTCTAGGTCTCTATCTTGGGTATCTTTTAATTGTGAGTTGTATAGTGCAATTGCTTCTTGTGCAGCAGCGAGGTACTAGGTGGTCGTTAGTTACTGAAAGAAGGCAATGCTGTTGGATTGGTACCTCGTCTTCAGCTCTCTTCAATTGGGCTTGTTCATGCGTTTCCTCTTGTTCAAGTGCTTGCAAACTTGCCTCTAAGTCTGCAAGCTCTTGTTGTAGATCAGTCTCCGTCTTTCTATTGCCCATTGTTATGAGTATTGAATGCTGTCCATACTAGTTAATATACATACTGTAATATCCCGTATTGACTGTTGAGAGTATCAATTTCTGTAACATAAGGATTCGGTGGAGTTGGCTTGATACGTCTGCAGGGTATGAATGTCTGATTTTTTTTTTCTCGTCAAAAATCTGCGATGGGAATGCTTACCTGTTGGATGAAGCAGCTGTGGAAGCTTCTCTCTCCCAAATGTCCTCTTCATCGTCGTCGTCTCGGTATTGAGGTGAATGCGATTTTCTTTTTCTTGAGTCCATGATATATTCGAAAGAAGAAGAAAGAAATTAATAAGATGTCTCTTCTCCCTGCCTGCCTGCCGTCAATTTGCTTACTTTCAACTTTTTTTTTTTTTTAATAGAAAATATCAAATGCCTGAAAATTTTTTTTACCTGCTCTTTCTTTTTCATTTGATTGTACTATAAAATATTATAATGGAAACGCCTATAGAAGTATTACGAGTGGAACAAAGTGGAATCTCGAAGGAATTGGCACGTTTTAGAGCTTGCGACACTGAAACGCGTAGTCTTTACTGTCGTGAATGGGCTCAATTTGTATATAAAAAACACTTTGTTTGGAACGCAAAGACGCAGGAAGAGGTCCCTGAGGGTCAGCAACAGAATCAGCGTGGCGGTTTACAAGCTGGACCTTATCAAATTAACTTTATCAGCGACGAGGCAGCGGGCGGACAGGACGATGTCTATAAAAAGGAGCGTTCAGCATTGATGATTGACAAGTTTATGAGTTTGGTGGACTCCTGGACGACGACACCTGCCCGTGCCGACGAAGAGAGCTTAATCACACAAATTGTTCAGGCCTGTAAACTGTGGACAACCTTGCCGAGTGGATACTCTGGTTTGCCTGATCTGTTTGAGCCTGTTGAATTCAACCCTTATCCCGATGCGATCCCTCTTGTCGAAGATCCGAAAGATCCCTCACAATTACTGGATCCACTCATCATTGAACGACAAGCCCTGTGCTTACCCTCTGATTGCTTTCATTTATTGAAGAACTTGACTGGCGATATCCTGTTGTCACATACCACACCGACATGCAACCATTCAAAGCCTACAGCAAAGACACCAGCCGATTTGGACCTTGACAGAAATATTTTCAACGAGCACGAAGCAGTAGCTGTCAAAAAGGCATTGGCTGAGCTCAAGATCGCTTTGGAACAAGCATGGCACCCACTCAACAACTTTTTGGGCCAATTGGCAGATTTCAATAAGAGACGATCCAAGCTGATGGGGAAAGGATGTCAGGAAACCATTGACGAGTATTACGCTAGCCAAAAGTTTGTTTCCTTTGTGGATATTTGGGCTAAACAAGCGGCTAATTTCAAAAATAAAAAATCGACTCCTGAGGAAATTGCCAAAGTAGACTCGCTTTTCGAACAGCATCTTGAGCGCATGAAGGAACTAGTGCATGAATTTATGACGGTGTTTGCAGTGGCTCATCTAAAGGAGATCCATGTCTTGACAAGCAACCTGTGGAAAATGATTGTACCCACCATATACGAATTGGGAGAGCGCATGGCAAAGCATGAAGACCACAAGGGCAACAAGAACGCCAATGCGTCTAAGATTGGGGAGTCGCTCAAGGCATTGGATATCGATTCGCTAAAGAAGATGGAGTCTACCAAGGAAGTGGATGCAGCACAAAGCCGTATCCTTGACAGCTTAACGGCAAAGACAGCCGACTACATTAGCGACATTGACAATCTGCTCAAAACATACCGTGAAGGGCGTGGCAATCTTAGTGGTCGGTTGGAAAAACTCAACAATAAGGATTTCAAAAAGAAGATCAAGAAGGTGGAGAGCGGCTATTACACGATTCGTCAGACCTTCCGTTACGAAGTTACCGAAAACATCTTTCCTGAAGCCTTGTTCTGTAAGTTTTCCCTGGTGTGCTTGGAGCCCCTGATGCAGGAAGGTGAAGTCATGGAAGCTGTTACCATTGAAAAGGAAGTGAAGCGATTTGTGGAGTCTCACAAGGACTTGTTGCAGCAAAAGTGCCATTTGTTGAAGGAATTCGAGCAAGGTGTTCAAACCGGTCGTCGTGAACTCGCTGGTGTATTGGGAAAGCTATTCTTGAAAGAAGGTATGCGTATTCAAGGTGACAATTTGGCTTTGAAGAGACAGCAATCACTGCTCAAGTCCATGGGTGTTGAGCCTGATGATCAGCCAAAGAAGAAGAATAAGAGCAAGAAGAAGTCTAGCGCTACTAGCAGTGGCACAACTACACCTGCCCTAGTTGAAGAACTTGCCAAGAAGGCGCCTGCTGTCAAAGAGAAAGCTCCTGTCAAAGAAAAGACATCTACCAAGGAGAAAACTGATACCAAGGAAAAGGCTGCTAACAAAGAAACAGCTGATGCCAGGGAAAAAAAGGCTGCTGCTATTCCTACTGAGAAGAAGTCTCCTACTACGGAAAAGAAGCCTGATATTGTGAAGGATGAAAAGTCCAGTATGTCTAAAAAGGAGCCTATCGTGGATTCCAAGTCTGTGGTCCCTGAAAAGGAACCCACTGTTGAAAAGAAGAAGAAGCCTACTGCCCCAGCGATGGAACCTACAGTTGAAAAGAAGAAGACCGCTGTGCCTGACATTGCACCCTCCGTGCCTGAAAAGAAGACTGTTGCGGAACAAAAGCCTGAGCCTGTTATGGAAAAGAAGAAGCCTGTGGATGTTGCAGTAGGACAAAAGGTCAAAAAGAAGAAGGAGAGCAAGTCCGTAGCTGTTGAAAATGAAGATACAAAGGTAAGCTCTCTTTGATGATTCCAATTTGCTTCACAGGATTTATTCATTGCAACTCTCGCAGACATCATCGCCTGCTATTACAGATCAATCCAATGACGTTCAAGATTGGGACACAATTAGATCCTCTGTTATGACTGCCGAAGCAAATACAAACCAACTTGAACCTGAAGTGCAGGATTGGGAGACTTTAAAAGCTCAAGTCATGTTGTCAAACGAAAAGAAGACTACTGCGGTTAATGTGCCTAGTGGATGGTCCTCTGTGGCTGCTGCTGCTGCTGCTGCTGCTGCTGCTGCTGCTGTAAGCCCTGTTAGCTCGCCATCTCCTGTCCAGCCATTACAAAAGAAGTCTACACCTATTTCATCAACTACAACTACCACATCTATCACGCCAACTTTAGATCAATGGCCAACAGCACCTGCTACCACCAAATCGCCTAAATGGTCCAATGTTGCAGCTGCCTCTACATCAGCAACAACTGCTTCAACTGATCATGGATGGTCTAATGTCGTAGCTTCTTCTTCCAAGGCTGCTTCTCCTCCTAGCGCCAACAAGGAAATAAAGAAAGACGTTAGTTTGGGCGGTTGGGGCACTTCTCCTTCTTCTTCGTCTGCTAGTGCCAGTGCTACTCCATCTGCCTGGTCCAAGACACCTTCAACTAGTTCTGGCTGGAACACTGACAAAAAGTCCTGGGCTTCATCTGTTGGCGAGAAAAAGAAACAATCAACATGTTCTGATGACAAAGCGTCGAATTTATCACTTGGTGGATGGGAATCTCCATCAAAAGCTGTTGGTGGTAGCTCTTCGGATGACAATTGGCGTGCTGGCCCCAAGATGGCCACTGCTGCTGCTGCTACTGCTGCTGCTTCTTTGCCTGCTCCTAGCTGGGATAATGCTAAATTGCCTTGGGATGATGAGCCTGCTACTGCTATTGCTGCTTCCTCAATGGCTACTACCCCAATTAAGGAAAATGTCAAGAAGCCTGCTGTAGCACAATCGCCTGTTGTGACATCAAGCCCTACTACCAGTGCTACTACTGCTTCCAATCATGGCGCCTTGAGTCCCACAACTCAACCTCCTCCTGGTATGATAATGTCCAACAAGGTGGCTGCTGCTGCTGCTTCTGCTTCTGCTTCTGCTCCACCTCCGGGGATTCAAGCGCCTAAAGTGATGCCACCTGGATTGGCCGCCCTTACTGCCCCTGCTGTTATTTCTCCAACGATCAAGAACAACAGTAGCTTCAGCTCCATTGGCATGTCTACTATGGCAACTGCACCACTTCAGCCTACCTCAAATCAATTGCAAGAGCCATTACCTCATGATCTGGAAGAGATGAGTTCCGACATGTTGCTATTGATTGTCAAAAATCTGCACCGTGAAAATGGAAATCTCATTCAATCCGTTTACAACATGCAACAAGAAATGGGTATGATGACCAATCGCTATGCTGAAATTATTGCATTAGCTAGAGAACGTGAAACACAAACTTTAGCCTTGTTTGAAAGTCGCAAACAAACGGAGATGGAGGAAGCTCGCCGATATGTATTGTCTTTGGAAGCACGTGTTAAACAATTAGAAGAGCAAAGTCAACAACAGCAGCAGGCAAAGACGGGCACAGCTGGATTCGGCAACCAGGATTTGTTTGCTGGCTACAGAGAGGAAATGGCGCCTCAACAGCAATCATCGCAACAGCATCACAATCAAAACCATCATCGTTCTCATAGCAGAAAGCTGTGGCAAAAGAACACGGTGGTGCGTTGTAGCAATTGCGGGGAGATAGGTCATGCATCGCAGGAATGCAAGGTAAATATTGTGTGTGTTTAAAGAGATTTTCATTATATTGAACACTTTATGAATAGGGAGTTTGCCGTTATTGCGGTAGCCTCGAACATCTCTCTGATGCTTGCCCATTAAATTAAATAAATGCATGGGTTCAATATGTATATCTAATGTTACAGTGTGCAAAATTAAGCTTTTTTTTTTCCTTCTTCTATAATACAAGGTTCTAAACAAGATCTGCTTGGACGACCGACCTTGGAATCATGCCATTTTCTCTCATTTGTATATAATCATATAAATTTCATTGATGTGTGAAATAAAAGGAGGTAAAACATTAGTGTGTATGTGCTTGTACTTTTCTTTGTAATGTATGTCTAATATTATTTACAAGGTGGCTTTTATTTTATGTAGTGAGAGAGAGAGAGAGAGAGAGAGAGAGAGAGAGAGAGAGAGAGAGAAAGAGAGAGAAAGAGGCAATAAGGGGGTGGGATTTGGGGGGGGGGGGAGAGTGGACAGGGATAAAGGGGCAGTGCAGATACAAAAAGTGTGTTTGTGTAATTTGATATTCTTTGTCTCGTAAATTGGTGTTGATGGTTGTTGAAAAAAAAGAAGAGAAATACTTGTGCAAGAGAAGATTGAAATGAGAATGGTATGTGTTGGGAATCCTTTTTTTTTTTTTTTTTTTTTTTTTTTTTTTTTTTTTTTTGCAGTTGAATATATAGAGATGCGAGAGAGCGAGTATGTTGAGTTTAAGAGCTTTCAAGACACAAGGATCGAGGTATCTTGACGATATGTATCGCTCGCTTTTGAACCGAGAATACTGAGGTCTTTATCTAAATTAGTGTCGCCTACAAGCTGGTGATTTTGACGTTTTAATGAGTCAAGTTGCATTCTCAATTGTTTGTTTTCCTCTTCGACAGCATTTAATCTATGCAATAGCTGTTCATTTGCTTTCTTATGATCGTTCACTTGGCCCTCTAATGTAGTTATGTACTCTATGGATGAAAGATCAGTACACACACTCTCTTTAATCACACAACATATATCAACCTACCCTTTCTTCTCACTCGAAAGTTGCGCGCAGAAATCTTGTTTCTCAGTTGTCTTCTCTCTTTGGATGTAAGCTTCTTGATATCGATACCACCTGTTTCAGCATAAGCTTCAAGAGAGATTGGGACCTCTGCTTCGTGAGAACATTCGCGTTTTGAATTGCCAAGTGGTGTGTCTTCGGATTTGATTAGAGATTCAGGTGAAACAGTGTCTGGAATGTTTGTAGTAGTAACATCAGCAGCAGCAGCAGCAGCAGGAGAGGTGCTACTGGCAATTGTGGTTGTTGTAATTGTAGCTGATGGGGCGGTGGTGGGGATTAAAGTGGATGTAGAATGCGTAGTAGCACTGGGTGAAAGAGTCGTGTCTAATGCACTGCTGCTACTGCTCTTGTATAGGTCTTCAATCTTGATCAAAGGCTCCATGGGTGCAGCCAGCATGCAATTGCTGATAGTAGTGGTAGGTGGTGATTCGGGCTCTGGTGTAGGTTCAGCAGCAATGATAGGATTGCTAGCACCACCACTTGCTGCCAGCTGTTCACGAAGAGCAAGTTGTCTTTTAGCCAATTCAATCAACTGCTTGATTTGTTCTGTGGTAGGCATGACCATCATGTCTTTGGCATCTGCGGCATCCTGCACAACAAGCTGATCAGTGTCGATATGTTGATTGCTAAAAGAATGTTGATAATCCATATTGAAATCCTCATCTTTGATGAAAGGTGGAGATGGCAAAGAGGAGGAATCAATGGTATGACTGTTGAGCCACTCCATATCGACAATGTCTTCAAAGTCCATGTTGTAAAGAATAAGCTGTTGGAAAGTAAGAGTGAAAAAAAGGTTGAAAAGAGACAAAGAAAAAGGCAAAGTCTTTTTATCTTTCCATGCTATTTATATACGTTGAGCATAACAAACTATATTGCAGCATTTCATCTTGAAAACATACCTCCTTCTTTTCTGCGGCATCTCAATTCGCCCAAATCAATGGAAAATAATGGATAATGAGTGGAGAAATCCTCTGCCCTCTCTCCCTCTCTCTCTCTCGCTCGCTCGCTCGCCGCATCTGAAACGCTTGATTATTCCAAGCAGAGCTAAATGGAAAACTTGATAGGAAATTACACCCCTTATTTTGAATGACTGCAACAACAACAACAACAAAGAATTACTCCAATAAGCCACATGCATAAATATGATTTTTGGAGCGCACAAAATGTGCTACCTCAATGCAAAACACGCACTACACACGGGCAAGCAGGTAAAATACAACATTTCACTCGTTATTTACGTCATTCGCAGCACCAGCGACGCAAAAAAAAAAAAAATCTATCCTTACCTGATTTAGGTTGAGATTATATTATTTTCTTTTTTTTTCCTTACCCTCCCACATCCCAACAATGTCAAATCGGATGCTTGTTTTAGTTGGTCTACCAGGCTCTGGTAAAAGCACCATATCCAATAAGCTAATTCAATGCCGAAAGGTAAGAAAAAGAGCTCCCCTGTCTAATCTAGATCATTGAACCATAGACATGTAGGATTGGCAAAGGGTAAATCAAGATGACATGAAGAGTAGAAAAGCATGCGAGATGTATACCAAAAAGTACCTCGATCAACGTCAAAATGTCATTGTCGATCGTTGCAATTTTGATCGCAGTCAGCGAAAAACGTGGATAGACATTGCCCAGCACTACAAGGTGCCCATTGACTGCATTGTGCTCACTGCCGGTCAACAAGACTGCGGCGATCGCATCATGGTGCGAGAACAACATCCCACTGGTGTCCATGGAAGAAATGGCGTCCATATTTTGCGCCGATTTGTGAGAGATTACCACCCTCCTACATTGGACTTTAACGAAGGGTTTTCTCGCATTCTTTATTTAGATCCTAGTCCAGATACGGTATGTACCGTAGAACGCATCGATGAGATTTTTGCTTTATTAGACCAGTGCCCGTTACTGTTACCCCCATTCTCCTCAGACGATGCGCCATCTCAAGTTCGCTATGAAAAGCCCCAAATCACTGTAGATAGCGATGGCTGGTCAACCATTCCTGTTACATCAAAGAACGATCCTCAAGAATAAAATTGTGTATATTAAAAAACATCATGTGTGCGTGTGAGTGTGCTTGATTTGATCTTTTGTTGGCTTTTGACATTAGTAGCATATAAACAAAATAGGTAAATTAAACCGGTGATCTGTCTATCGTTCAAAATCACGGCTTTTGAGAGCCCAAGAGAATAATGTAGTAATGTGTGTATCATGAACCGTAATTTAAGGTTATTTGTCAGGTTAGAAAGATTAAAGTTTCGCATTAAGGATTTGCTTGCTATATGTGAAATTCAAAGAGGAAGAGTTGTGTCAGTCCATACATTAGTAATACAACATTTGGGGGGGGGGGGAGGAGATGAGAAGCGCATGAATGAAATATGATACCACGGCTAATGTTCACCAGCCATTGGACTATTTGAGGGACTTTCATATCAATGTCTAAGCTGTCAAAACTACATGAAGCTGTACAAAAACCTGTCATAACATCTCAATTGCAATCTGGCCTTTTTTTTTATACGCCATGTCAAAGCAAACTAAGCTAATCCTGAAGTCATCCCTGAAGTGGGCCCCTTCTCTAATGATTCAACGTCAAAGAAATCTAGCCTCTCGGCCAAAGCACATTTACCAAGTATCCGGAATTGTGAAAGTGAGGGATTCGTTTTTTTTTTTACTCTGAGATGGTGAACACCCTGTAGATTGTTTGTAAGACAGAGCCACGTATGTGTTTTTGATTCTGATGCTACTCTTGCAAGCATTTTTTTTTACAACTTCATTGTGCCTAAACATTCGAAAAAGCAAAATACATTTGGCGTCCATTGAGAAAACATTTGTGGCCAGATACATTTGTAGGATGGTAAAGCTATTTTGAGGATATTATACGTGATTACAATTGCTGCTTAATATTGTAGTGCGAAACTTCTCGACTGACTGCCAACCCATTCAGTCTAGTTACTTTTAGAGGCCATTTACTCGAGAAATCTATCGTGTTGACACATCCAAGATGATTGAATACGCTGATATCGAGTCTCATAATATGTCATGTAGTAACTAACGTGGGATAACCTGAGCTAAACTTGCGTGAATCTCTGTTGATGCATGAATCTAAGTCAATTGAAGTGTCCTTAAACGCAAGTGATGAGAGTAGTCCTACAAAAACAAATATCCAATCAATCCATCAGCTAATTTTGCAAATGCAGTTATAAAGAAACTAGTCGGTCGATCTCGCTACGCTAGATGACGGTGTCGCCCTGTGGGCTCTTGCTGAAGACATTTCACATCAAAGATAATAAAAGAAGTAAGGTTGTATCAGAGCCAGGAGGAGGGGGTAGGTATCGCCCTTGCCCTTCCTCGTTTACTACACACTGATATCAAACGAAAGCTATTATTGAGGCGATGTGAAAAAGAGTTCAGCATTGGTATGCCAGATTCTTCGTTCCTAACACATTTTCTGGCAGTGGAATTGTCATACCATTCGCTGGTGTTGCTCATGAGATGGTGACATAAAGCTGGCTTTGCGTTTTTTCGAGAAATTGTCATTGCAAAAGACGCCTTTATTATAGGAAAAAAAAATCCCAATAAAAGCAAAAAAAAAAAAAGCATTCAGGCTAAGCAATTGCCCTTTCAATTCTATGATCTCAATCTAATCAGCATCGCAATCAGCATTGTCATCACCAGAAAGGCATTTAGATCAGCCAGCAGCAAACCGCCGCCAAAATTGATTCAAGCTCAGTTTATCTTTTCTGTTCAAGATTGGACAGATTTCGTCTTTCTTCGACTTCTTTAATCTATTTTATGGTATCCGACTATATAAACTGTAATGATCACCCTACGCTTCCTAATACTTTCTTGAACTACTTTTCGAGGCGCTTCTAATGATGCTAACTGTCATAAATGTTTTGACTGAAATTATTGAGCAATTCAATAAAATTTGAAATGAGGCTTTTAGCGAAAATAGCCATATTTTGCATATGGAAACCTCATAAAAGTGGTTTCAGAGATTGCTTTGGATCGAGAGACACATTTTGATCCAATACATATCATAGTAAAAGTCTTCATTTTCAAGGTGAAAAATGCGATTGTTTGATTTTCGATGAAAACTATGAGGGGGTACCTCATGCTTTTTGGTCGAATTTTGGCCCTGTTTTTTGGGTCCTCAAAAAGTTGAGCAAATGTGCCAGGAAGTTACTGCTACTCGAGTACAGTTGTTTGGCGTTATTCTGGTGGCTCATAAAAGTCTACATGTCAAGATATGAAGGCTTGAAAGCTATCAAATTTGCTTATATTTTTGCTCTATAGCTTTTATTTACATGGCATGAATCACACCTCTGGTAGCTGTACTTTTCTGGAAGGGTAGTTCTGTAGCCTGTGCAACTTCTATTTCGAACAGGAAGCATATTGATTTTTGTAGAGCTGATTCATGCAAATTTTGATGTGTTGTATTGTTGGTAAGCTTATTATTAATAATAGTAAAGAAAAGTCGAGTTTGCTGCTTAAATACTATGGTCTTGCACCTTTGTTTCGCTACGGTAAACCCCTCTTACAGGTTAATATTACCACATGTTGAATTAGATAGGTTATGCTCTTGCAGGAGGGGCTTCTGAAATCTGACTGGGCTTTCCGATATTTTTTTTTTCATAGTTCTCCAGTATATTTGCTAGAGATACCTTGCTGAATACGAGATGAGGAGAATTCTGTGCCATGGACAGATTTTGTGGTGACATGTAGACGAGAAACTCACGTGTTTCACAATGGCATCGTGGATGAAGAGATCTTCAAGACTTAATGGACCACAAGGACTGAGCAACTCGCAGATCAACTTGACATCACGCTGAAAACAGAGGACAAGAACAATTGGCATGCTATACAAAGAGCGCTTGCAATTATTTCAGCAGCTTGCGAGATATCATTATCGCCTTGTTTATCCCTCTGTATGTCTGATACATCGGATGCTGATATCCCTATTTAGTGATACTAAATGATTAATCAGCCAAACTGTGAAGAAAATAAGAAGAGGGGCATAATATATCAAATAAATTATCAATAGAAAAAGATGCTTGATGGATTCAGCAAATATTATACATCACTTTTAAATGTAATTTTGAGTAAGCATTGGGGTTGTCATAATACGCACACGATGAAATACAATATGGGTTGTGATTATATTAGCGCTTTATTACAATTGGAGTATATAAAGATTAGATGGGGATTTCATCGGGGAAGTCTTTTACTTGATTGTAAAAGATGGCACGGTTGTAAGTGGTACGAGGGAGAAGGAATGGAAATTGAGGGTCATCCTTGTAACAGACCTCCAAACGGGACTCGTCCAACACCCTTTTAGCTACCAATAAGTTTTCAGGTGTAAATGGTTTTAAAAAAACCAAACAAATTGCTTGATCTTTTGTCGTGATACTCGACTTCATTTTAAATACTATAGTATGATATAGGTTTAAAGGAGAGAAAAAGTAAAAAAAAAAAAAGAGAACTTGTACTAAAATTACTCACATTTATGTATCATTTTGATGGCATTCACATGACATGACATGCCATGGCTTTGCTTTTTAAGAATGTATGTTGTCAATTGACTTTTAGCATTGATGCTTGCCCAATTGCACCCAAATTTTTCTGTAGCCAAAGATAACATGTGTCGGATTTAGTGATATGAGGCATGTTGAATTGTATTCAGCTGCAATACATTCGCAAAATTGACATTATATTAAAAGACGCCAAAGCTTACAATAAGTGAGGGAATCATCTTAATTATATGTGCGGTATCACAAGCAGTAGTTGCCACATTATCTTAGTATCAATGTATTCCTGTATATTTTGGTAAGCACCGCAACACAGCCTGTTGATTACATTTTTCAATGGGAAATGCAACCTGAAGAGATAGAAGCGTAGAGAAATCTATCGTTGAATCGAAATCTGACAGTAGTCATATTTTAATGAGCACACTGTGCCACTCAGCGGTTGCTCACATAAATATCAAATGGAATTCACCTCAACCAATTAATAAAGATTCTATATTATTAGCCAGTTTGAATGGGCATATTACAGAACATTGATCGCGGCATTAATACCAATCTTACCATATCCAATAGCAATTGTCGGATCAAATAATATCCTTTGACATTTTAACCCAGATTTAAGGTTATGCAGTTCGTGATCTAGGTACAGGACCTTGACCCTGAATTGTTTCTCCAATAAGTTGTTTGTTTATTTGAAAAGAGCATCTTTGACAGAACAGTACATGACAGGAATAGCAATCACAATTGAAACCAAAGAGATGAAATAGAGCTTCCATGATGCATGTCGGTTGGTATAATTAGCTCGGAATAGGTCACCTGAGAACAAACGTACATACGCAAAGCCGGGTAGCAGAAATCCTAATGAGAAGAGGATACAAACAAATAAATAAAGCATGCAAACCTCATAGTTGCTATACCAAAACTTACCCAATACTGTTGTTGAGAAGCCACCAATGACATCAAATACCTTTCCTAGTGATGTTAATGTGGCACCGAAATATAACACCACCAGGAATACCCCAACAGTAACAGTGTAATGCTGCTTTTTGGTGGGATTGTTTATATGAATGCCAAACATCAACATCACTGCTTCTCTACATGGATGTATACAAAGCGGTATGGTGAGCACCATAAACAGACCCAATGCTAGTTTGACTAAGCGGATACCAGGGTCGTTCTCCGGGAAATTGAGCAAAATGTTGGCCTGTACATTCTTACCAAAGCACATGTAAGCCATGACAGCAAATACAATATTGATTATAAAGGCAATTGCAATTGTCATAAAGCACACTTGTAGCCACTTGGAAGGTTTTTGGTTTCTTGTTGTTGTATAGACACCAAACAGATTTTGAGCGCAACCGAATGATAAACTGATGATGGCGAATCCTTTGAACATGTCTTCAGAAACAGGGACGACTTCCAATTCGATGTTTTGATGGGCAGGAAGGTAGTACGGTACGCGAATCAAGACACCAAGTAACATCAACATGAGCAATAAAACAGACATGGCTGACCATTTGACAAATTTGGCGGTTGAGCGAGATAAGCTGAGTGGAAGTGTCTAAATGTTGGTGTATTTAATAAATATTTTGATAATGGCGAATGACCTTAAGTGACACCTACACATAGCAATCCAAATGCTAAAATGACATTTTTTCTATCTGCAAAAAAGGCAACATTTGGGAACACAAGCACCAGTAGACCAGGTAGTGTATCCCCCAGCACTGATTCAAGGCTGTGAGTCAATCAAGCTTGTTCGCACACACATACACACACACACACACACACATACTTACACAAGTAATAGGAGACAGCTGTTCCTGCTGTGTGAAAAAATATGATAAAGTTTACTACATGCGAACCAATACCACCTATCAGTTTTTCGCACAGGGCAACCAGACTAAATGTTTGTGTCGCGAGGCCGCACAAGATGGTGATTTGCATAGTAAAGCATGTTAGGTAGGCGATCAAAACACTGAACAGCAGCCCTACCCAAAAGCCACATAGATGCAAGGCCAAGGGCAGGCCAATGATACCAGTGCCCATAATGGCGTTAACCAGGTTAAGCGAAGACCCCATGGCAGAGCTACCATGGTCCAGATGCATATCATCATCTGTACATTTGTAGTTGTCTAGAGTGATTGCTGTTATGCTGCTGTCTCTATCACTGCTGAGACATGAATCATAATGAGTGATGATGCTACCATCAATGAGCAAAGAGGAAGCCGTGTCGTCTGTCAGATCATGATTGAGTTTCATGCTATAAAATGAATAGAAAGAGATGTGTAAAAGACAAGAAGAAAGGGAGAGATAAAGAAAAAAGTAGTGTTGTCTTTTATTTATATTGCCCTTCCTCTCTCTCTCTCTCTCTCTCTCTATCATCTTGATTAATTATACAAACAATTAAGCACCCTGCAAACCAATCATCAAAAGTGGAACAAACAGAGTGAGCTCTTAGGATGAGTAGTATATATCATGGCATAAAAGAGAGGGTGTTATAAGATCCTGTAGTCACTGGTGCTAATTAACTATATATACTATCTTCACACAACGAAGGCAACATTAAATATAAAATGTCGGTTGAAATAAGCTCCAGCATTGCTTGGGAGCACATGTGCCCCCCCCACAATAATCTTAATGACTAAAAAAACAGTAATACATCTGTATATGTCCATGGAAAACCGGATTTGCTTAACAAGCATTTTTATTTTGAGGGCTATTCATATCAATGCATCAAGTGATTTTCATTTTTAGGGTAGTGGTTTGTGAACAAGTAGACTAGTAGATCCACTCCAGTACAGAAGTGTCGTTATGCTTTCTTTTGATTACTTTGGCCATTTTGGCAAGAATGTCGTTGACCTGGTTTGCAGCTTGGTTTTTGGCTTTGGAGTTACCATGGTTTTGACCGACAAAATGTAAAATCACCTGCTCACGAGAAGTAGACGGTCTAAGCTTGCCATCCCAAAGCATTGTAGACAATCCGACCACAAAGCGACGCACTTCTTCTTCTGAGAGCTTGGCTTGGCTATCGTGCTTTTCTGACAAGGCATCTTCAGCACCTCGATCTCTTTTGTAAGCCACATTTAATGAGGAAGCCTATCAATTATACGAATTATTAGTAGATGCACATTATACAACACCAGGGTTTATACTTACAGATCGCGAGGCGTTTCTGATAGTACCTTTGACAACTGACAAAGGGTTTGTAGGCTTGAATGAAGCAGCTTTCAGGGCAGTGTTTCTAAACATATTGATTTATGAATCGATTTTTTGATGTTGCTTAAAAAAAAAGCAGAAAAAGCGACTTTGGTCTGTTATTTATATAAAAATGAATGTATCTATTCATGTGGGAGGGTCAAGCGGGAAATATCATGAAGAAAAACACATGTACCCTGTATCAAAGAGCTCACTTCATCAGTTCTAAAAGTATTTAAGAGCCCAATTGATCTCAAGTCAGGATAAAAACTAAATTATTTCAAACAGAACCGATGCTATCAGCGCTTGATGCATATCCTGTTGTCGTAATAGTTTAAAAGCCATCAAAACCTCACATCAGGAAAACATTAATTCATTCGTTTTGCGTTTCAAGCATGTCCATGCTAATGTAACATAGACATTCAATGATTTGTATGCACACTCGCCAATGCTGATATTGCAGCATGGATCTATAAGCTATTTTAGCTGAAATTCATCATTTTATGAGTTGGATGCACAACCATTGAGCTGAGTATATTTGAATGCACCTTGTTATTTCTGCCAATGCTCCAACTCGCATTTAGTCCAACTCGCATTTAGTCCAACAAACGCTGCAGTCTTAATTCTCCTATAGGTATATTATGTATGTTGGTGTGATTGTATGGGGGTACTATTACACGATTTAAAATTTTGCCGAGTCCACAGAGGCCAAAGGGGGGGGGGAGAGGGAGGGCGGATGTTGAGTACAATGGTCAGGCTGACATAAGAGAAGCAAGCAAAAAATATTTGGCGTTTTATGCAACGCCATTCCAAATGCTTGGTCAATGTAGATCTTGAGAGCTATTCAATCATTGAACATTTTGCTCATTACAGGATGCGACAATCCACAACTATAGGCTGAAGATGAGTAGACCAGTTCGAATTTGTTGTAATATGTCTGGAATACTATATTAAGCTTGAGGCATATGTATCATTCTGTGAAGAACTCAAGTCGTTCACAGCCCCGCATTGTATTTTGTAGATGAAGTTGGGGTTATCAATATGTTTCAATTCAAATGACAATCAGTTTGCAGACTTAAGCCTTTATTTCAACATTTGATTCTTGCCATTGAGCGGACATCTTCTAATTAGGGTAGATCCGAAAGTGGAGCTAAGTCTCTTTATAAAGAAGTGGGATATTCGCTGTTTGGTTAAATGTTTGATACAACATAGAAACAAAATATCAAATTATCTAATATATATACTGTAAAACATTCAAAAAAAAGCAGACAAACAAATCATATCCTTTCAAAATTTAAAGAATTGTGTGCCGTACAAGGTGAATGAAGCCGGCATTGGGGAGAGGGTTTGGAGGAGATGCTAAGCCCATCCACCAAAACATAACGCATCTAATTCAACATTTGGTAACATTGACCTATGAGGCAGTTTTACCGTAGCGAAACAAAGGTGCAAGGCCATAGTATTCAAGCAGCAAATTCGGGTTTTTTTCATTTCCATTATTAATAAGCTTACCAGCAACATAGTGCATCAAAATTCGCAAGAATCAGCTTTACCAAAATCAACATGTCTCCTATTCGAATTAAAAATTGCTCAAGCTACATAACTGCCTTTCCAGTAAATTGCTGCTACCAAAGATATGATTTATGCCGTGGAAATAGACTCTATAAAGCAATGCACAACCAATTTTGACAGCTTTCAATCCTTCATATCTTGACATGTAGACTTTTATGAGCCACCAGAATAACGCCAAACAACTGTACTCGAGTAGCAGTAACTTCCTGGCACATTTGCTCAACTTTTTGGGGACCCAAAAAACAGGGCCAAAATTCGACCAAAAAGCATGAGGTACCCCCTCATAGTTTTCATCGAAAATCAAACGATCGCATTTCTCACCTTGAAAATGAAGACTTTTACTATGATATGTATTGGATCAAAATGTGTCTCTCGATCCAAAGCAACCTCTGAAACCACTTTTATGAGGTTTCCATATGCAAAATATGGCTATTTTCGCTAAAAACCTCATTTCAAATTTTATTGAATTGCTCAATAATTTCAGTCAAAACATTTATGACAGTTAGTATCATTAGAAGCGCCTCGAAAAGTAGTTCAAGAAAGTATTAGGAAGCGTAGGGTGATCATCACAGTTTATATAGTCGGATACCATAGAATAGATTAAAGAAGTCGAAAAAAGACGAAATCTGTCCAATCTCGAACAGAAAAGATAAACTGAGCTTGAATCAGTTTTGGCGGCGGCTTGCTGCTGGCTGATCTAAATGCCTTTCTGGTGATGACAATGCTGATTGCGATGCTGATTAAACTGGGATCATGGAATTGAAAAGGCAATTGATTAGCTCAAATACGTTATTTGGGGAGCTTTGCCTCATGAAGGTGCCTCTTGCAATGACAACGTCTCAAAAAATTCGCTGTAGACCTTACACAAGTCCTGTATTTACTTATGACCAGCTTTATGTCGCCATCTTAGTAAGAGCATCAGCAACAGCGAATGATATGACAATTATATTATCAGAAAATGGCAATTTTGATGTACAAATGCTGCATAAAACTTGAATTTTCTTTCATATTGTCTCAATAATAGGCTTCGTTTGATACCAGTGTAAGCAAAAAAAAAAAAAAAAAAAAATGCTGAGGGAGACACCTCCTGGTGACTCTAATATAACCTTTCTTTTACTAACTAATAATCGATTGTATAAAATCTACTTGATATACCAAAATTCTATTATATCTGATTTGGAATGTCTTTGGCGAGAGTCGGCAGGGCGACGCCGACATTGAGCGTAGCGAGATAGATCGGTTAGTGTTGAAGTACTGCAAATCATGACAAGGAAGTTGCGATTACATATATTTTAGTGGTAAGCCAGGCTGACTGGCGTTTTCAGATATTAAAATGCTCAACAAAAGAAAGAGAAAAAAAAGTATTAAGACTAAGCGATTGTGCTTTCTATTCCATTGTCCCCATTTAATCAGCATCGCAATCATCATTGTCATCATCAGAAAGGTATTTGGGCCAGCCAGCAGCAGCGCCACCCGCTGCCAAAATTAATTCAAGCTCAGTATATTTTTTCTGTTCAAAATTGGACAGATTTTATCTTTATTCGACTTCTTTAATCTATTCTGTAAGATTGGATTATATAAGTTGGGATGATCAGCCTGTACTTCCTAATACACTCTTGGAGTACCTTTCAAGGCGCTTCCCATGGTGCCAAGAAAAATAGATGTTTTGATTGAACCTGCTGAGCATTTTTAGAAAATATGAAATGAGGCTTTTGGCCAAAATGTCAAAATTTTGCATATGAAGACCTGATAAAAGAAGTTTTAGAGATTTCTCTGGGTCTAAAGAAACATTTCGATTCATTATATCATAGTAAAAGTCTTGATTTTCAAGGTGAAAAATGAGATCGTTTAAATTTTGATGAAAACCATGAGGGGTAACCTCATGCTTTTTGGTCGATTTTAGTCGATAATTTTTTGGTCCCTAAAAAGCTGAGCAAAAGTGCCAGGAAGTTACTACTACTCGAGCACAATTGTTTGGCATCATTCTGGTGGCTCATAAAGGTCTACATGTCAAGATATAAGGCTTGAAAACTGTCGTATTTGATTACGTTTCATACATTTGCTTGCCAATAGGCGCGTTTTGTTATTACATTTGGGCGTAACGACACTGTACTCATTAATCTAAATTCAGAGAGCATGCTGTTACATTCAAATATTCAGTTAAACATACTACATTGAGTGGCACTGTTGTACCACTGCTTCACAGCACAATGATGTAGTGTATTAGCGAGGTGGTAGCGACTAAAAGGTGCGCTAAACACTTGGACACATTAGATAGTCTGCATCTAATATAAATTATAAGCTTTGTGTATGGAACATTCTCAGACTAGTTTTAGAATTAATTCTTGGATAAAAGAACATGTTCCTGAGCGTATTCGCTCTCTTGGATCAAGAAATAGATGCCGTTATTGGTGCATTAGAGTAACACTCGACTGAATTTTCGCTATATTGTTGTTAGTTAACGTATACATATTGATCCTACTACAATATTCTTATGAATACTGCAAAGAGCACAGGGTACATCCATTGCTAGCTCAACTTTAGGAGTGCACCTGGCAAAATCAAAGTAATATCATGTAATAAACATATTGCTCAAACTATTTTGTTATTCTTTAAATTTTACATATAAAGATGAGTAGGAAGTGAGTACGCCTTGAACTCCTTTATCATTTATTGCATCTCGTAACAAGAGCTTATTCTTCTCATCAAGATGAAATTACATTCAAGCAACGTAAAAATGTACTATATTAGCTGCAGTAATTTGATTTTATTGTGCCATTTATATATATATATAACTTATTTGCCTCCACTAGGATTCTCTTGATTTGCAATCATCTCAGAGATATTCTTTTGCAACAGACTCCAATCATCAGGCTTGGGGGTTGCCACCTTTAGTACAGAAACAATGTCAGTCGTTCATCAGCATGATCAAATAGAATGACTACAGCAACTTACCTCGCCAATATCATAAACATAGACATGACCATCACTGGAACCGATGGCCGTCTTTTTACCCTCCTTATCCCAAGCCAATTTGTTCAATGCTTTACCAGAGCCTACTTGAGTGCTGACAAAGGGCTCTTCGGTGTCTGCATTCAAGTTCCACAAATCAAACTGGCCTGTGCCATCTACGGTACCAAACAAAGCAGGATGTGTAGGCGACCACTTGACATCGTAGACGTAGTCATCAGCATGTTCAAACGAGTACAAGGGAGGAATAGCAGATGCTTGTGTCGAAGTTTTAGAGATGGACTAGTATGGGTAGTGAGCATAAAGCATCAATCGAATGATTAATTGCAATACTACCTTGGCGCGCCACAATTTCACTGTCCAATCCACAGAAGACGTCAGATATAAATCAGAAAAGTCGACAGGGCCATGCAAAGGATGGAAATTCAAGCCTGTGACCATGCCATGATGACCACGATACGTATCGTATTGATTGATACCCGCTTTACTACCTGCACGATCATATCTATTTGCTTGATACACATTACCCTCTTCAGTACCAGCCCAATAAGCCGTCGTTTCATTATCAGGGAAGCCCATGCACGTAACCGATACTTCATGCGTCTTATTATGAGCAGGATGAAGCAACTCTAAATAGTCTTGAGGTTGCGCCAGCATATCCAATTGCCATGAACAAACAAAGCCATCTGTACTTGCAGAAATCAAGTTGTGTGCATTCTGGGTGCCTACCATTTCAATGCTGTAGACGGGGTGTGTATGACCACCAGCAGAAAGAGGCGTCTTTAATACGGGCAACGACTTGGCTCGTGTATCCCATAGTACAATTTGACCAGAATAGGTACCGCCGATAATGTAGTTTGGATGAAACTTACTAAACATGACACTGAGCACATCAGACTGGGAATGAAAAACAAATTCAGGGCGATCCAGCAAATGTTCGTTCCAGACAAGAGCAACACCATCTGGCTCGTTGGGTGCAAGTGGGTTCTTGTTATAAGAGGAGACGACCAACTCTGGGTACTGCGAGGGTGGGATTTATTCAGTATGCTAGCTCAGCCTGTTACTACGCAATAGCAACTTACTTTAAGAGACCAATTAACATCAGTGACAGATCTGTTCTTGCACCATTTCTCATCCCAAAATTCGCAAACAAATTTAACATGTTTGCCAGAATTTTCATCGCTAGGAAAAGAGAGGGTCAGCATCAATAAGGATATACGCACGTTCTCTCTTACTTTTCGACATCAATGCCAAGGGTATAATCTTTCATGAAATCGTATTTTTCATTCAGGGCTCTTTCTACTAGTTTTGTAGACACATCGACAAATTCAGCAAATTCCTGGGACTTTTGAATGATTTTTGACTCCTCCTCAGTGAGTTCTGCGACAAGAATGATGAATAACACTGACGATCAAATGCATGTCATTTGCTAGGTACCTCGAATATCCTCTTGCTTCTCTTGCTCGGCTCTCTTGATCTCCTCTTCCAACTGTGCCATCTTGATCTTTTCTCTTGCTTCAAATTCCTCCATAATTTGCTTTCTGATCTCTTCTTCTGATATCTCGGGCGCTTCCATGGATCCATCTGTCGTTTGAATTTCTTTGCTGTACACCACTTGTTCCTACAGAAAGAAGATTCTGCCTTAGAAGAGCGCCGCTTTCTATATTACTACTCGAGTACTTACCAGTGGTGGAATGTCAGCAATAAATGCTTGTGATTCCGTCAATTCTGCCACATAGTGAGGCGTGCTGCCCTGAGGAGGCGAAGAAGAATTCGGTTGAGAGGACATGGAGAGCATAGAAAGACGAGCTTCGGCTCTGCAATGTAACATTAACATCCTTTCACGCACATGTTTTATTTTTTCAGGCACTTACTGACTGATGGGTGTTCCAGGCACAGAATAATTAGCAGAAGCAGGACGTGAGTTGGAGAAATCTGAGCCAGCATCTGAGCGATCACTGCCTGCTGCTGCTGATGCATTTGGTGTGGAGGGACGCTCGCCCAATACAAGGGCTACGAGATCATCAATAGCTTTTCTATCTCTGCCAGTAGTCGAAGTTGTGGTTGTCTAGTCGTCTTTGAGATGAATACAAGCACAGTACGGTACACACAGAAACACTTACAGAGGAAGACTGTGTAGATTGACTTTCCAAAAGAGCTCTTCTCTCCTCTCGAGCACGACGAAGTTCAGCCAACTTTTGTCTCTTTTTCTCCAACTCTTCTTTTCTACGATCCATGATAATGAATGATGTGTTGGAAAAAAAAAAGGGGTTGTGTGTTGCAAAAAATGAAAAAAAGAGAAAGAGTTGTGTCTCAATATAAGCTGACCATTAAATCATATTAAATTAAGGGTGTGTTTAATAGACACAACATTAGGTGATGGATATGGATATGCTCCCAATGTGACGTTTCAGCTTGATGTGCAAGAGGTACGGAAGCATAGATAGTACAGTAAGGATGCACTTGCTTAAAGGTGGTTCCGGCGGAATGGAATGATGAACAGGGCTGCTTTCACTCGCTTGATTTGAGCTGCCTCTAGTCCAGGACAGACACTTGCACGCCATTCTCAGAGAAGCACACGCCCAACGCACGTCGCGCTTGAATTTGCATAATCCACGCTGAAGACTGCGAATACTGGGACGTATTTTATAATTATGAAATCTATCAATCAATCATTGCTTTCTTTCCACTCATTCAATTTCTCATGTGGTTTCTCAGTCGCATTATAGGCAACGCAAGAACCGACGCCAAGATATGTGCTCGATTTAAACCGAACGATACCTATGAAGTGAAACCAAAAGGCAGCCAAGGTGAGCTTATGATGCAGCAGTGTCCATCCCATTGACTCACCTCGAAAGCATAGACAGGAACAGTACAGTCAAATTTCGAGTGTCAAGGTTCTCAGAGGCAGATGTCATCGGTTCCAGATCAAAACCTGATGTAATTCTTTATAGAAACGGCATCAGTGTAGTGGTAGACGGCCAAGTTGTCACTGAAGACGAAAAGTACTTACATGATCAGCAAATCCTTCATATTGGCAAAGGAAATAGTGCATACAAAATCAGCTGGGAGCCAGTCAGCATTTACCACGACAAGAGTCAGAATCCAGATGTACATGCGAAGCTGATTAAGCAAGGCGCACGCTTGGGTTTCTATGTGATCAACAGCATCAAGAGCAATTACGACAAGCCCACACATTACTGCATCTCGATCAACCCGGAATTATACCAACTCTCCACATTTGCCTGCCGTGCATTAGCATCCAACAATGTTTACTTTATTCGGCCTGAGTGGGTAGAAGCATTGAGTGAAGCAGATAATAAGCAGCTTGATATCAAGGCTTTCAACGAAAAGATACAACCCATCACGGTAGACAAATTTGAGGGATTTGAACAAACAGCCATCTTTGGACCAGATGAAAGGCGCAAAAGGCTGTTTAAGAGAATGGAATTTTGGTTTTTTGATCAACAGCAGGTAAATCTGAAGGAACAGCTGGTGTGAAAGAGAGAGAGAGAGAGAGAGAGAGAGAGAGATCATAGACTTATGTGTTTTGCACAGTTTAATCACTTTGCAAACCTTATCAAACCAGTGGGTGGAAAGGTAGAATTAAAGACGTGTGAGCAAGTGCTTGAGTTAGACATTGAGGGAAATCCACTGTTTGTCGCACCGCCCGATTCAGACATGCTGCCAAACTGGCCTGCTGTTCATGAAAAGTATTGCAAAGAGATGGACGTCATCCGTGTCTTATTTGACAAGGAAATCATGTATGCCATCTTGTTTTGCTCTACCAACGTGATGTGTAATCCTGCTTCAGCACCCTTGGAGCATATGCACCCTGATAGCGCCGTGTATGCCTCCTTTGAAAGTGCATCCTTGCATCCCACCTCAGTCAAGCTGGAATCGCTGGATCCAACAATGCCAGTGACCTATCCGCAAGATGACATGAACTACAATCATCACTATGAAGAGCGAGATGACGGTGACTTCATCCAAGTCAAGCCAGAGCCTATGGAATCCACCCAGCACAACAGTGTTAGATTAGAACAAGCAGAGCAAGAGAATGATGAACAACAACAACAGCAGCGGGAGGAGCATGTGCGTCCTAGAAGAGTAATCAAAGAGGAAGTGCATGAGGAGGATCAAGAGATGCAGGAAGCTCATAATGAATCACCGCAGCAGCAGCAGCAGCAGCAGCAAGATGATCTTCCAGATACTGTACCTGTGTCAATGTCACCAATATATCACAGCTCTCCAGCATTTACAAGAGAATCACCTATTTCAGCAGGAGCGCCACCTTCACTACCACCAGCAGATGAAGTACAAGAAGAGGCTGCGTATGCCAACTCGCCGCCACCCATGTCGTCGCCAAGCATCAGTCAGCAGATAGAACCCATCAACTCTATTCCAGCATCTATAGATCTAGGATTGGACGTCGACGCTCTTCTGGATAGTGCTTTTGACAATTTACAATCGCAAAAGAAGAAGGACAAGGAAAAGAGATTGCAGGAAGAGCAAGCAGCAAACAAAAGGAGACAAGAAGAGGAAAGAGCAACACAGGAGAACAGATGCAAGGAAGAAGAGCGACAAAAGCTGTTGCAAGAGCAGATTGTGAAAGAAAGAGCCGAGTACGAGGCACGGTTACAAGAGCGAACTGATTACAATGCGGGTCGTGGTGGCCATTTGTATCGGGATGCTATGATAGAGGAGTATGATGAGGACGATACACACGATCCAGAAGAGGAGGAGGAGGAGCCACTTCAGGCACAAGACGAGCACAATGACCAAGAAGCGCATGAAGAAGAGCAGTATCTTTCTGCACCTACAGAAAGCCATCTAGAAGAAGCACCTCTGGGATATCACAATGACCCTACCGTGATTGGCGTGGTGGAACCAAATCCAGATCAAGGCCAGTTCTCCAGAATCATCTACAGAAATCTAGAGGTGAATCCTCGTCCACCACCACCGGCGAACGGCATTGTGAATTACAAAAAGTTTAAAAAGGTCAAGCAATTTGAAAATTACAGTAGTTTTGAGCAAAGCCAAGTATCCACTGCTCCAGGAGCAGCAACATCATCATCACTAATCAACAACAGACGTCGAGCAAGAGGTAAAACTGATATGAGACTATGATAAATGGGCAACTTTTTAATGATTCTTTTATTTTTTAGACGTCTTTCATGATACGGATCCAGGCACGCTGGTACCTGAAGACCCTGATATCGTCATTCGAGTAAATAGACCTCGACGTCGTTAATCAGCAGCGTTCTTTCTCGCCATCCTTCTCTTTCTTCTAAATTTACATTTCTTGCACATACATGTACCATCTTCTCTATCTGTTTCTGAGTCTGTAGAACTGACCATAATAAACTTTCTCTTCTTTTTGGCTGATACCAACACGCTTTGGTTGTTTTCAAAACTGCTATTACTGCCGCTACTACTGCTACTACTGCTGGAAGTACTACTGCTACCACTGCTGCTGCTGCTGGGTGGTATTTGAGGTATATATTGCGTTGCTTCTAAGGATTTTGCAACATGAGCGTATTTTTCAGGTTCATATTCGCCCAATTTTTGAATCTCTCTATACAGCTTTTGGCCAAGCTTGGGTCTACTATGTCGTGTGGACAGATACACATACTCGGCATTGGTCGATGAGCAAAAGTTTTGTGTGACAGCAGCTGTCAAATCCAGATTCATCACCACATGTGGCCATCCGCCAGGCACAAAGATTGTCTCCCCTGGTTTTTGCAGTACTTCAACCATGCCCCATTTCTCTCCCAATGTCTGTCCATCTGCAAGCCGTCTCTTGAATCGAGGATACACTTGATCAAACCAAGATACGCCTTCATGGTCGTAAGGTTTCATGGGTGGATCGTAGAGTTCTTTAGGAGTGTTGGGTGGAAATAAGCACCATCGTTTGTGTCCTTTCACTAGCGAATTCCATGCGGATGTGCCAAGAGGATCTTTGTGAATACTGATGGTACATCGTTAGTGTCACTTGTATAATTGATCTGTTTTTTTTTCTTCTTCTTCTTCTTACCCTGTACCACTTCGAGCCCCTCCAATAACCAGCCATCGATAAGGAGGTCGTCTTCCACCTGTCAATTTGAACAAATCTTCTTCAAAGTACTTTGGCACTTGATAATCGTCTAGTAAAGAGTTCTTCTTTTTAGATCTTGATGCCTTGTAGAATCCGCTATCAAATATATAAAGAGGCGAGTCGTCCTTGAGTCCATCATGACTAGAGTAGTGCAAGAAATGCTTCATTTTCATGTAGACATTCTTATTGTCATCGTCATCTCCTACTTTAAATAGATGGGATCCATAGTGCTTCAACAAGTACTACATAGTACATGGCATCAGTTACAGGCAGAGTATGCTATTCTGTTAAATAACATACCTCTTCTGTCCAATGTTTGTTGGCTTTCCAGTGATCTGTGACATGGGTAATCATCACAGGTATGTTTTTTGTTTCATACTGCTTGACGAATTCTGACTTGGATGTGTTTCGATAATCGATTCGTTTGAGTGTATCGACGAAAGAGTCAATCCAGTAGTCGTTTTCATGGAATTTCCACTTTTGCCAATTGAACAAGTCGAGTTCTGTAGTCAATGGATTAGTGTCAGCTATGAAGGATGCAATTATACATATGCATTAGGCATACCTGATCGGCATTTGTGCTTGATACGATTGATCTTGGCATCATAGCGAGCATGTTTAGATTGCTTGTACTTTTTCTGCTCGGATTTCTGCGCTGATACTGATTTAGACACCATGATCAACAGGTGTAAAAGAGAGAGAGAGAGAGGGGAGAGTCGTCAAAAGTCTCGGGAAAACTCTTTCATATTACTTGACTGGCTTTTTCTCGCATATTCTGAATGAATTGACTGTAGTGCAATTAAATGTCTGCATAAGGTCCAATCTGATTATTTATTGTAGCGAGTATATGTTATTCTAATTCGATGACATGTTCAAGATCTTGTATGTTTGGAAGCGGTTCCATCCTTTAGACAGCTGCTCTACATGCATCCTGGCCGAGAACAGGATCTAGCCGATAATTTATCCTTCATCTGCCCCCATGTACACGCAGTACAAGACACACGGCTGAGCAGTTTGTAAGCTTATCACCAAATAGTACCACATTATATAGACACAGATATGAGTAATTCCACCATTGATGCCCACAATTTAGCAATTCTAGCCTTCAAATTCCGCATCTTGAACAACATTTGATATATAAAGCCTCCACTACTCACTTTTCTCCAGCATTTTTTCTCTTCTCTTTTCTATATTTAAACATGTCTGCGTCCATCACAGTCAGAAATCAAGATCAAACTACAGCGCGTTTAGTCGTCGAAGAGGGCAAACTGGTTATTCAAGCTTTAGATAATAAGAGCGATGTCAAAACGATTGATTTGGAGTTCATTTACGGCATTGATTACCATGAGGATAAGATAGATATCCATACAGCAATGATCCAAGACACTGCAACCGAGAAAATCGAAGCAAATGCAAATCAAACCTTGACCAATATTCGTCCAAAGGATGTAAAGTGGATTTTACAGACACTGCATTATCAAACGGACGCTGCACCAACAACAATGGAAGCATCTTCTTCCTTATCCGAATTTGTAACACAACTCAAAGCGCAGGCCACTCCTCATCACTTGACATTTCCTGATACAGAGGTCATCGTCGTGTTAAATCCAACCTCTGGTGCTCAACTGGCAGAGTCTCAATGGACTAGCATTGTCAAACCAATGCTCATCACTGCAGGATTTGCTGAATCAAACCTGAGCAAGATCGCAACAGAACGAGACGGCAAAACTCGAGCTTTGGCTGAAGCACTGGGCCAGCGTATCTTGTCTACCACAGCCTCAGGCAAACCTACACCGATTATCATCAGTATGGGTGGTGATGGTACTTTGCATGAAGTTGTGAACGGACTATCAGATGCTGCTGCTGATGCAAGTGACTCTCAGGGGCATTTCCGTTTAGGTGTGATTCCTGCTGGATCTGGAAACGCATTTGCGCTAGGCCTCAACATTGAAAGTGTCCAACAGGCTACACTCAAGATCATCAAAGGGTTGGAGGAAAAGCCCTTTTATTTCATGGATGTCAAGTTTGGCCACAGTGAACACGACAAACAATGGCAAGATCATGTGGTATATGATGAGACTAGAAAGCCCGTTCGTCTGCTGGTTGTTCTGAGCTGGGGATTCCATGCGCAAATTGTGTCCAAGTCAAGATATCTTCGCTACTTTATGGGTAACAAGCGTTTCTCTTTGGTGGCCATGTTTCTGTTGACATTTCTACAGCAATATGAAGGCGAACTTGTGCTGAGGGGTTCCAGGACCTACAATAAGGACGATGGAGAATTTGATGGACCACCGCACACCATGTTTTTGGAAAAAGACGATAAATTTACCTACTTTATCGTCAGTAAACAGCACTCGCTGGAGAAGGGCTTCAAGATTGCCCCGTTTGCATCGAGTCTCTCGGATGATATGGACGTGGTCATTTTGCGAGAAGCGGATAAAGACAGCTTGACAAAAGCAAGCATCGCTGCTTTCCAAGGTGGCGAGCATGTCAAGTTGCAAGGTGTGGAATACTTCAAGGCAAAAGAGCTTCTTTTGCGAGTCCAAGACAAGGCCGAGCTCTGTCTGGACGGTGAAATCCATGATGTGCCATCCAAAGGCATTGTTCACATGAAAGTAGAAAAATCTTCTACTGAAAAACTAGCTTTTACCATCTTTGTCTGATCTGTATCTGTAACACCCCTTTAACATCCCCAATACCAATTTGAATAAACCCTATGTATTCCTGCAGCCATGACATTCGCGCTTGATTCAATTTTTTGATAACTTTATGAGTATGTTTTCTTGAATAGTATCACATTGGATTATTTCAACTCTTTTTTTTTTTGCCATTTTTTTTTTTAATTCTATAACATATAAAAAATCCTTTACAAATCATCGCGAACTCTGAAGCCAGGGCCATAGGGTTCAGCATTCAATGTAGTATAAACACCAGGAGCATATTCACAAGTATGACGTCCGCTTTGAGGTCCAGGTGTGATGGGCTTATCAGCCTTTAAGTTTTCCAAAAGCTTCTCAGTTGTCTCTGGTGTCAAATCCTCCTACAGGATGAAATCATCTTAGATGCTGTGCATATTTACCGATCTCTGCAGAAAAAAAAACTTACGTAGTAATCATCGTTGATGGCCATGACAGGAGCATTGACACAAGCACCAGCACACTCAACTTCGACCAAAGTAAATTTACCATCCTTGGTGGTCTCACCAACTTGAATACCGAGGTTATCCTTGACAGCGTTCAGGATCTTTGTTGAGCCACAACCACCCAATTGACAAGGAGTTGTTGTACAGACTTGGAGGAAATATTTACCAACAGGTTGACGGTTATACATGGTATAGAAGGTGGCGACTTCGTAAACACGCATGGGAGGAACTTCTAATAAGCGAGCAACTTCGTTCATGACAGAGATGGAGGTGAATCCAAGTTGTCTTTGGCCAAGATCCAAAAGAGGCATGATGGCAGCCTTCTTGTATTGCTCAGGATATTTCTTTAAAATTTCGCTAATGCGCTTTTTGTTATCCTCAGTGAATTCAAAAGGAACGTTGGCATTGTTCTCAGGTGTATCACGGTGCTGTTACATGTGTATGTAGGTGAGGTTGTATTATAGAGTGGTGATGGTAATGTATATAATGAGGTGAGGTGATGTGTTGATATTGGATGGAAATAGCATAAAAACGAGTTAGATTTAAGGGCCTCAATCACTAGACATTATAACATCTTACCACAAAGAGAGCATCTGAGAGAGAGGCAGGTGAAGAGAAGATGGTACGCTTGGCAAAGGCATTTCGTGCAAGTGGCTTGGCAGCTTGACGAACAAGAGAACGCATAGAGTTCATTGTATGTTATTAAAAAGAGAAGGGGGGTGAAGGTTTTTGGGAATTAATGGATAACAAGAGAGAACAAAAACAAGAATAAACAAATTTTTATCACTTTACCCCTTCACACACTCGCCCACCACCCCACACTCACTGTTTTGTTATTCAAACCCAAACTGAAATGTACACCTTACAATTCGTGACGTCAAACAATGGTTGAACCCTTGAAAGCTTGGACATCCTGACCAGATATCACTCAAATGCAATATGCCATGTCTATAGAGATGGCTCAAATCAATGGAATCGATCAAGCAACACTCACAGAGTGCATCTGTTGGAATCTCAAATAGACTGAAATGCGGGCCAGTTTCTATTTCATCAGTGGGATATTGAGACGAGAGAAATGTGGTCTAATCGCACTACATTGTGCCTGTATTTGTTGTTACATACACGGCAGTTTATTGGATTGTCTTGTGTGATGTCCATTTTACTATACTGAGTTGCTAGAGCAAGACGCTAAACCAGCGCAGAGCACAATGATAGCTTATTTGACCGACACTTGACAGATCCTGCTAACTTGACCAATTAATTCGGCATTACCTTGTGGGGACCGCTTACAAAGGGTTTGTAGCTGCCGATCTAGCTACTCTACAACGCTCCGCGTCTGTATCAATGAAGACAATTCGCATTTGGACAGGCAGCATACCAGCATTGGCTCTTGTTCCTCAAAAGTATGCGAAACACAGCGAAATTCGAAAGCATTTGAGACATGATTTCTCGTGCTAGAAGCCGTTTTAGACTGCCAGAATAGCACCAAACATTTTCTCTTGACTATCACTTACTTCCTGATACCTTTGCTCGACTTTTTGGGGACCAAAAAAACATGGTCAAAATTCGACCAAAAAGCATGAGGTACCCCTCATGGTTTTCATCGAAAAACAAACGATCGCGTTTTTGACCACCAAAATGAAGACTTTTACTATGACATGTATTTAGTCAAACTATTTCTGCCAACTCAGAGTAGCCGCTAAAACCACTTTTATAAGATTTTTATACGCAAATTTTTGACAATGTTGCCAAAAACCTCATTTCGCATTTTGTAAATTTACTCAATAATTTTATTCAAAATATCTTTATTACTTAGCACCATTCGATGCGCCTCGAAAAGTACCCTAAGAAAGCTTAAAGAAGTGCGAAATGGTTTGCACTTTCTACATAGTCCAATCTTCCAAAACAGATTTATTGAGTCGAAAAGAAGCAAACTTTGACCAATGCGGAGCAGACGTGTAGCGGAGCTTAAATTGATTTTGGAGGCTGGCTCTGGTGATCAATGCTATTAGAGGCTCATAAGCAGCGCATTGCGATTAGAATAGTACAATAGCTTAGCTTGGCTGTTGTAATTTGCTTTTGATTGTCTTTATATCCGATACATTCGCTTGATTGTCGTAAACTACTCATCCAAATGTGAAATGCAACGCTGTCACCTTGTTCAGAAATGCACTTTGAGTGTAAACCCTAGTTCATAGGCACCTGAAGTTAGAACAGACTACCATCAAGACTCATTTTCCCTTTTGATACGCAGAAGATATTAAATGTCGGATCAACAAAATAGCAAAATGCTTAATAATCCAAATGTTCTTCGTGCGACGAAATTAATATTGAGTATTAACTTTTGTAATGCGATATGCCTCGACTGATCGATGCGAACCAGCTTCTATTTTTAACGCAGCTTACCGGATTGAAGGATAGTATCTGCATAAGGTTCAATGTAAGATCTCGTGGTGTAATGTAATGCCAAGCTAAAAACGGCATGTGCACAATGACAGGATTACGTTTATTGCTACATTTATCCATAATCTCTCGATCTGGTCAAAGAATCTAGTAGATGATATTTTGAAAAGCCCATGCCGAGCATGAAATATGGGGAACCATTTTGCTTTGTCACGACAATTGCAATTTCAATACGCTGATTTATTGAGTTAAACGAGAATTCTTTTGCTTCAATTGATGGGCGGCTTGGTTGGCTTTAGCATGAAGCTTGTAATGAAGCTTTGCTCCAAATTCGTACATTCCCCAACAAAATACACCAGAACCAGCAAAGAAAGCAACACGCATGGGCAAAGAAAATTCAGCCAAGAAAGGATATGCCCAGAATCCGTTGACCTGATAACAATACCAAGACCAGCAAAAGTAAAAGGCAGCAAATCCATAAATGACTCCCACGTGTGTATTGGACCGCTTAAAATCAACCTCAAATGCCAAAAAATCGATCCATAAAAACACAGCAGGGAATAAATGAAGCGTGCAATCTAGTAAAAGTGGGATGCCTGGCATATCCTTGGGGATCAACAGATGTGGGTCAATCAAGATCATGGACCAATACATGACGCTAATGAGGCCTTCCAACTAGATTGAAATTAGTAAATGGCACAGATTTTAAATCAAGATGAACTTACTGGAGTGGCGATATTGGTGACAATTTCATAAATAACTGTATGGATCAGAGTTAGTCTATACCTGAAACAAGCCTGTCAATATCTTGCAGTACTACAACTCACGAGGTGAAAAACTGGGTATAAAATGTCGAATGATTTTTAGGCCAAAAGCGATAGTAGCAGTGGACAAGCCAAGAATAGTTAAATACTGCTCACAACACGTTTATTTCGTCAATTTGGGCTTGTGTGTCCATTCGTGATTAGCACAATTTTCGTACCTGATATTGACCACCAAATCCAAGGGCATATGGGTTTTCAAAAGCAGCTGAATTCATGTTTCGAAGAGCATAGACATTGGAGCAAAGACCAATGGTACTGAACACCAAACTTAGAGTATGAGGCATTGTTATTGTTAAAAAGGGGAGTGATGTAAACAGGAAGAAAAAGAAGGAGTCAGACGTAATTGTATCGTTAGTGTATATACTACTCCCCCCCGGCCCTATATTTCTTCCATATACATTTACCTACAAACAATGTCAATGTTCTCCATTCAAAGCTTCCGTGACTTATTAAATCAAAGAGGAGCTTGATGCGCTTGACAAACCAAAACCCTCTTCCTTCTCTTGTTGATACTTTTATATTTACATTATATCATATGGCTCTACCAAATCTTTGGAAGATTTATTCGTCATTTCGCACACCCGAGGAAGAAAGACAGTTTTCTCGATCAGCCTTCTTCAAATTCAGCGGCTACATTCTTTCTTGCATTGCGATGACTGTATTTGCTTCACGTTACAGCAATAAACACAAGCTCATCTGTTGAATCCATTCGCTTTTTCTCCAAGAGCCCAAAGGCAGTTAACCTCTGTTGGACAAGAAAATGAGATATCACATTCATCGCTGCTACTCCGCTTAAATCAGAAAAACTAATTTGATTTCAATGCTATTAATATAAATATCGAATCCTGATTTCCATGTCAACTCTTCCTTCTTCCATTTATATATACATACACTCATTTAAAACTAATAAAAAAAAATGGCTGCTCAATACACTTCAGTTGAATTGATTCCCTCCATTGTATCTGCTCTTCGCAAAGAATTCAATACGGGTAACATTTTGACATTGTGCTGACATGTTAATCTTTCCTCATCATCCATTAATCACCTTCAAATGTCCCAGGTCTGACCAAAGATTTAAAGTTTCGTAAGCAGCAATTGAACAATTTGCAACGTTTCTGTGAAGAAAACAAAAAGGCGATCTGTGAAGCTCTTTGGAAAGATTTGAGAAAGCATGAGATGGAGTGCGATGTTGGTGAAATCTCTCCCATCGTGGATGAATGTAAATTTATGGTCAAGAACTTGGACACCTTCAGTAAGCCTACACACACATCCAAGCGTTATCTTATGAATGCTGCCGACAAGACGTTCATCAGAAAGGAAGCCAAGGGCGTTGTCCTTGTTATGGGTAAGTTGCATTGATGATGCGCTGTTTGGCCAGCAGACGTTAACCTTTTCCTGTAGGTGCCTGGAACTATCCTGTATGTAGATTTGATTGTATGCGTCAGTGGACGGTTTACTAACAAGGATTCATAGGTCAATTTGCTCTTGATGCCTGTTGTTGGTGCAATTGCTGCAGGTAACTGCGTTGTCATCAAGGTGAGCATCTAGAAGAAAAAAAAATCACTGTACAACATTGTACTAAATCTTATATTCATTGCCGTTTAATAGCCCTCTGAAGTATCTCAACACACTGGTGAATTGATGGCCTCTCTCTTGCCAAAGTATTTGGATCCTCGCGCATACACTGTTGTATCAGGCGCTGTTCCTGAGACTACCGCTTTATTAGGTTAGTTGGAGAAAACCCAGATTTGCGGGCTCCTTTTAACAGCGATTCAATAATAGAAAACCGATTTGACCACATCTTCTACACTGGTAATGGCCAAGTTGGTAAGATTGTCATGACTGCTGCTGCAAAGCATTTGACTCCTGTTACACTCGAATTGGGTGGTAAATCGTAGGTTGAATATGGTACTTGTCCTACGCAGCATATACTAACACATAATCTGAATAGACCTGCTTTTGTCACTGAAGATGCTGATGTGAATATTACTGCTCATCGTCTCTTGTGGGGCAAATACTTTAACAATGGCCAAGTAAGTTTGTAACATTCAAGCGCATATTAGATGTGTATAATTGGAATGTGCCACAAAACTAAATCATCTCGATATAGACTTGTGTTGCGCCTGATTATGTTTTGTGCGCAAAGAGTAAAGTTGATTCGTTGCTAGAGGCATGCCGCAAGACCATCATTGAATACTATGGTGAGAACCCTCAAAAGTCTGCCTCTTATGGTCGTATTGTCAGTACTCGTCAGTTCGACCGTCTCAAGGGCTTGCTCGATGGATGTGATCCCTCTCAAATTGTCATTGGCGGTGAGACAGACCGTGATGATCTTTACATTGCTCCTACTATCGTTAGTCCTGTGGACCCCAATACTCACATTTTGATGGAACAAGAAATCTTTGGTCCTATTCTTCCCATCATCCCTGTCGAGAACATGGAAGAGGCTATTGCTATTGTCAATGCTAGGTATGTGTAGATGTGTACTGCAAATGCATGTATCAATACTGACTTTGATGACAGAGATCAACCTTTGGCACTATATGTTTTTGCTGGCGCCAAGTACAATTACAACAAGAGTAAGTCTTTTCCTGCAGTGTGTGTGTATAAACGAATTTGCATGACTAATCTGATATCGTCTCTAGTTCTCGACCATACCTCTTCTGGCGGTGTCCTCGTTAACGATGTCTTGATGCATCTGCAAGAGCTTTCATTACCTTTTGGTGGTGTCGGTCCATCTGGCAGTGGCAACTATCACGGTGAAAAGTCATTTGAAACCTTCAGTCATCAACGTTCAACCATGGTCAAGGATTTGATGTCTGAGCCTATCTCTGCCGTCAGATACCCTCCCTACAATGAGGATAAGGGCAAGGTCCTTAACGTTTTGGTTTACGGTTTCCCTCCTCAAGTCGGCGCCAAGATCACCACATTCACTGGCTTCTGCAGTGCTTTCTGGAACTTTCTTTTCAAGAAGCCCGAGCACTATAGCAAGTTATAATCCCAATTGACACAATTGGCTACTGCACTCTTTCACTAGCCTAAAATGCACTCTTTACCTACTTATTTATGCTTATTACCATCAATACTTAACCCATATTACATACTAATTCAATAAAAAGAGATTATATCGTTTTAAAATTTCGAGGTAGTCGATAATTAGTAGATCAAAGTTGATTTTTCAACATGAAACAGAATCTGGTGCTATTCCAAGCGGGAAGAGAGCAGCTTGGCTAGTGCCCTTATTTATAAGGTTAGTGGCAGTTGTTGCATAAACTAGGAAACGCTTGAATAGTTTCTATTGATGCGCTACACGTTTCACCGAAAAAAAAGAAGACTGGTGCCTAGTGATTGCTATTTGTAATAGTATACTAAACAGTATTAAGGTATCGATGAGCGCCCACAATCAATGCAACCAAATGATGACTCCTTGATGCCCCTTTCCCCGCCCCCTTAAAATGATGCGCCATGCGTCCAATTTTATACTGATTTCGGTTTTCAAGCAGAAGAATGATGCCACACATGAGCCCAGGCGGAATCTTGCACGCTCTTATCATGTAACCAACATCTGCCAAACTCAGGAGAACCCGTTTTATTCGATGCAACGCATAAATAAATAGCTTAATCTTGTTTGCTAGTGCACTTTTTTTTTTCTTCTCTCCTTCCCTTCCTTGTTTCTAACAAACAAACACAACATGTCTATCATGGGCTTCAGAGATGATAATGGTACTTTGGAAGATGACTATGATCTCTTCATGAATGAAAAGATGGATGTACAGCGTAGGGCATTAGCTAACCGACTTGCCAATGATGAGGGGTTACTGTGGACGGACCAAGATGTTGATTTACTACTGGATGAATTAGAAATTGAAGTTGGGGAAGGCACGAATCAATTTTTGTATCAAGATGAGCGCATCGTCTATTGCCATCACTTATCACAGACCATTCCCTTTAGTCAACACAAAACCCCAAATCAAGTCCATGATAAAATCATATGGTTATGGACAACTTGGGAAGCGATAAGCCGAGCTACGGGAAAATCTTGGTGGTTTATTTCTGAGCGAGACAAAGCTCAGCTGTCGCTCATGTCTGACGATAAAGGTATGGATATCAGGGTTCTGTAATAAAAGGAATTAAAGTTTTGTCTATTTACTAGATCAATTACTCAAGGCTAAATTCAAATATTTTGATAAATGCGACCGCATATTTGCATATATAAAAAAAGATGAAGGCGAGGACGATGATAACAGCACAATATTGGATAATTCAAATAGCATTTACTATTAAAAATCATGCGCTTTTATACAGTCTGTATAGCTATTACGTGAGAAAAACATTAAACAGAGAAAAACTAGAAAATGCATGCAAGGATTGAAAAATGTTGGGGGGGGGGGTTTGTGAGGTTGTATGTGTGCGTGTTTACGATAATCCAATGCTAAGGGTATTAACATCCTCGTATTTTGGAGGCTGAAATTGAAGAGAATCGCGATGATTGTTATGGCTATCAGTCATGATAGGAGAACCAAGCATGACAGAAGGGACGGGACTAGGGGGCAAAGGTGTATTCACTGCCGTGTCAAACATGTTGGGCGACACGGGAGCTGGTGAAGGGCTATTTGATGTATCATACATGGACATGGTCACATCAGGGGTTGCTTGCAGAGGATGTTGGAGTGACATGCTGTTGCTGTCCCAATTGTGTTGGTCATTTACGAATTGCATAGGATTATAGGCGTCATTATGATAAATCTGGTGGTCTACGGCGGGGGATGTGACGAATACAGTTAAAGGGCTGGCAGTATTTGAGTGATTATTTGAATGAACAGTTGGCGACTCAAAATGATGCTTATTATCATCTGTCATTTTGGCGGTTAATCATTGAGCATGTAAACATTACATAAACAAAAACTTACTTTGCATTTGAAGGATATCATTTTGACTTAATCCTTGTCTTTCAGCCAGCTGATTGATGATTTGTTGTTGTTGAAATTGTATCTTTTTGGTTTCTTCAAATCCTTGCAGTAGATTCGAAAAGTTGTCTTGTAAAATGTAAAATTGTTGAAGTAAATCTGCTTGCGACATTTGAAGCATCGCAAATGAAGCATGAATATCGCCCGTTTCACGTCTCAAAAGTTCAGAATCCATGGCTTTACGCTTGATCTCCTTTAAAATGTCTGAGCGACCGTGTTGAAATTTAGGATGAGAAAACTCCCAAATCTCATTCTCGTTGCTTCCTCTTTGTCCTCTTGGCGACTTATTGATTTTGTGGAAGCCATACCTACAATGCACAGTTAGGCTCAACACAACAGATGCGCATCCACTACGATCCCACCCAACTTACATGTTTAAGAGACGCACAAAGCTAGAAAAGTTGCTATGCTTGAAATATTCAGGTAGTACTTCTTGAGCAAATTGAGTAGCGTTGCAAACAAAGAATGATGTTCCATTCGGGTTCCAGGATATTAAATTTTGATGGCGGCCATCTTCCACCATCGTATACAGTTTGCTAATGAATGTGCTGACACCCTTCTTTGAAGGTCTACGTTGAATGGCTGCAGATTGATTTTCATTGAACGATAAGAAATCAGACGATGGCTCATATGGCGATGACATGGAGGCACCTGAGCGAACTGAGGACATGCTGGCACGCTTGTTGCGGTTGAATGTATTAAAAGAGTCGTTTGGATCTGCAGAGTCAGGAATGGAAATGTGTAAAGAATTCATAGTATAAAATTTTGATGAAAACGTTCAAACAAGTTGACTAAATCGTATCATTCATGTGTGTTTATATAGCCAATTTTGGCTTTTAAAAATACATTTTATGAAACATTTTTTTTTTTTCAATCAAGGAAGCATTGCTACTGGCAATGTTTCTCCGTGTGCAAAACAGAGAGTGATGTTGGTACAACCACAACAATGGTGGTCAGATCAAGCACTACCAAAAGGGTAAACCTGTCAATTGCATGTGTCATTGACATCATATTAGCCTTATCAGAGACAAGATCATTGCATCTTATAAGCTTTGCTTTCCTTTATCAGCCTATGCAGTGCTCGATCACTCATCCCCAATACTGAATACTGCCCAAAGCTCTGCCTTCAATTCCTTCAAAATAGAAACCATCTCCGAAAGATGAAACCATACTATGAAAGAGGGAAGAAGCTTAGAATAAAGCTTTGTCATGTAGCTAAAAATGAGTACAATAGAGAGTACATGTACGAGTAGATTTGACAGATTAGATGTACGAGAAAACGTATATGAAGTGCTTTGTGCGGTGCTGGAGACGCCGTTATCAAATGGGATGATTACGATTTGTGGGTGGGAAATCATGCTAAATTCGGGGAGCTTAGCTCATTTGGACAGAGTGGATATCATTGGTGAGCATCTACATTGCCTGATTGTACGACAGATAAATCTGACAGATTGGGCTATGAGTATATTGATACTCTTTCCGTGGTGGCTACAACTTTTCTCGTCAATGGAAGGCTTCAATCACTAATGATAATCATCAATTGCAATTGGCCGTAGCGTGAATCAAGAAGCATGTTAAAAGGGTCCTAATTTTGTCTCACTTTGGTTGGGTTAAAATGACATGATATATAATACATTTCGAGAAAAGGCACCAGACGCTAAACTCTTTTGTTGCTGAGATGATTCTGAACAACTCGGAACCTCACAGTACGAGTCAAATTAAGCATTACAGACCAAGTACCATGTATGCCACTGCATCATAGGATACGGTCTATTTCATGCAATCATCCTATTTTATACGTCAATTACTGCTGAGCAATATTGCCTATATTTAGTCGGCATGGCCATCATGTCTGCCTCCACTTCAGAACAGTTTTGCTTGGCTTTGTACTGAACTACATTGAAAAAATGTTTAATATGATTTAAGCAATAAATAAAGGTTAAAATTGGACCCTTACACTACGCATCAAATCCAATCATATCAAGCCTGTAGATAGCTTACGAGTATATACATACAAATGGTTGGGATACAGTGATTTGATCAGACAAATACCAAATGACAATGCTTTTGCACGGTCAATTTACTTGCTGTAATCATCAACTCCTACTACTGAATGATGAGATAATTAAGCAAATCAAGATGACTGGATATGTCTTTCTTCCCCTATATTCCAAAGTCGAATATAGTTTTACAAAAGTATAGATTGTCCCGGTGTCTCACTTATACTCAAATGATATCTGCATTAGTAAATCATTCCAGCCGGGAAGACACCCGCTCTTTTTGAAGCATGCGCAACATAAGGCCATTTGGATGATTCTGTTGATCGATAATTTTACTGCACAAACATAGCATGTTTCATCTAGCCAATCTGACCATACCATCCTAAGATTTTGAACTGTGGGATCATGTCTCTACTCTCCGAAGCTCAGGTTTTTTGTGGTGAAACCCATTACTTGTTGCTCATATGCCCTCTCTCAGTATGGTTCCTGAATGTTCCATTGCTGATTAATTGTCATGATCGTTGGCCATAACAGCATGATACAGGTGAGATGTCTTACGGTAATTGCTACTGATGAATACAAATTCGCATGTCAGTAATGTGCAGTAGGCCGATGCTTAATCATAATATAATAAATGTTCAGTCCCTAAACACCTTTACAACCTTAATATGGAAACTGAGTTGCCAGACATTTGTCAGGCATGGCTCATATATGATCAGAGATCTTATATTAATTCAGTATCAATCAACAAACAAGTTTCTTCCAACATTTTAGCTATTAATTTTGCAATATTAGTCAAAGGTCTGCGGCAGCGCAAGCCACCTGAACATAGGTTGGTTTCCTCCAAAGCGAAACGTAGGTCAGGAAACTAATTGAAGAGTCGAAATGCTCATCGTAACGTAATAAGTTTATGGTCCCTACTAGACACTTTCAAAGCCTCAAAAAGGAAAAAAGTTGAGCTAACAAATAGCGTGGCTAATGGTAGTGATATGTAATTTGCCACCTACTTTCCATATGCTTCAAAAGCATCTATTACTGTATTGCCTTCATAGTAGAGAGGGCGTTGAGTTTGACAGCCGGCCCCACCAGCCGCCAAAATTAATTTAAATTCAGACTTATTGTCTGTTCTAGATTGGCTAAAATCTGATGATTTTCGACTCGATAGAACTATTTCGCGAGATTTGACTATATAAAATGTGATGTTCTTCCCCTGCTTCTTTAAACTTTCTTGGAGTGCTTTTCAAAGCGCATCCAATGGTACCAAGTAAGGTAAATGTTTTTAATAAAATTATTGAGTAATTTACGAAAATATGAAAAGAGGTTTCTGGCCAAAAAGTTGAAATTTTACATATCAAAGTCCCACAAAGATAATTTCAGCGGCTACGTTGGATCTATAGAAACATTTTGATTCAATACATACTATAGTAAAAGTCTTCATTATCAAGGTGAAAAACGCGATCGTTTAATTTTCGATGGAAACCATGAGGGGTAACCTTATGCTTTTTGGTCGATTTTTGACCATGTTTTTTTTGGTCCCCAAAAAGTTGAGCAAAAGTGTCAGCAAGTAACTGCCAGGTGAGATCAATTGATTGGTGTTATTCTGGTGGTCTAAAACGGCTTCTTACCCGAGAAATCACGGCTCAAATGCGCCCATATTTTGCTGTATTGAGCACACTTTTGATTAGAAAGGGCGGGATACAGTACGCTGCTTGCTGGTATATAAAGTATTTACATGTATTCGGATGTGCAACATCGCATAAGAGTCAGACCCACAGATAATATGAAGGGTTTTCATGTGTAAGTGGGGGGGGGGTCGAAATGAAATTAGCAGTATTTTGATAAGATACGCAAGGGCGATTGGTAGCGCGAGCTACTGCTGCGCAGGTTGGTTCTCACCGAAGCGAAGCGAAGGTAGAGAGCCATCCGAAACATGAACACTCGTATACATAGTGAGTATCCGTTCTTTGTACAATCAGCTGAAATGAGTAAATGAGCTACATATGTATTCGCTAGGATTTCTGCTTGATCTGACATGGCTAATCTCGGCTGGTTATGACAATCGCGATTGACTGATAACCTTAAAATCGATGTACAATAAACCCCTTGCTGTGGCGATCGTATTACAAAGACTGATTTGTTTCAATCTAGTTTAATAATAATACCGAATTTACGGTACAATTCTACACTCAATTCTGTAGATGGATAACTGACCTACAAATGCCATGGTTCTTTTCATGCTTATATATGTACAAAATGCATTTCTTTATTGTTTTAAAGGTTTTGTCATCAAAGAAATCATTTAGCGTTTCTTTTTATTACGCTTTTTGGATGTTTCCAATGCTTTATCTACAGCTTGTAAGACAGGCATCAAAGTCTATTGGCATAGATGTTTAGTAGCCTGCCATTTCAATCAAGGGTATCATTCAATTTACCTGTTTACATCTTTCAGGATCACCTTCGTAGCTTGCAACAGTTACCAATATTTCTTTTAGCTTTTCTTGTTGCTTTTTCAAACCCTCAATCATGCGAAGATTCTTGTCTGCTTTGTAAGGTTCCCAAGAGGACCAGAAATGACGAAGAATTTCATTCGTTGCCGAGTGATAACTTTGTATCTTTTGCTGTACTTGTGGTGGTAACTTGACGTCTACAAGGATCTTGTTAGCATTTTTCATGTACAAACACAAAAAAAGAAAGAGAGGCACTTACCAGCAGCAGATCTATCGTCATGCCTAATCTTCTTTTTAATAATGTTTGTTAATTCCACACACACTTTGTCTGCTGCTCGAGCATTGATAATATCGTTTGTCATTTCAGGCTGCCACCCTTCAAACTTTCGCTTGTACCCAACTAGTAAATTGATTGTATCATTCTCGCTCAACTTCATCTCGTCTAATCCTCCTGTTTGACTTTCGAAATAGCGTCTGGTATCTTGGATGTCTAGAATAATCTTCTCGGGCGGTTTTTCATCCAGTAGGTCTGTAATGATGATGTCTTTTTGAATTTCATCTTCAAATGTAGGTTCGGGTCGTTTGTTTTTCCTAGTGACAAAATTATTAATCATATCGCATTAGTTGAAGGTAGTCAACAAACGTACGATGGTGCTGTTTCAAGTACTCTGGATGAATGCTTATTGAATCGACGAATCAAAGGCAACGACTGCGCTTCTCTACCAGCCTTCATTGTAAAATCCGGTGCATTTCCACTTTCTAAGTGATCTTCAGCTGTAGCAGACAAATCCAAATCAAATCGAATCTTGTCCATGCGAGACATGGGTGGTGGTTTGGAGTTTTCTGCAAATTAAATCAAGTCAGCTTATTTGGCAAAAGCATGTACAAATCTATCGATTACCATCATCTTCTTCCTGCAAACACCTATCGAAAATGTCGTCGTAAGGCGTCAACTGAGATCTTCCACCTGTACGAGATCTGTGAAAGAATTCTGACGCTAAAAACCGTTTCCAAAATGATTGCTCTGTCATCTGCGTGTAAGGGCATGTGTCAGTTTGAAAGCCTACTTCTCGCTAGTTGATGAAATATACCTTGTCAGGTACATTGGTGTCGTAGGCTCGTTTCACTAATCAATCCTCATCAGTAACCTATATCTTGATACTTTTCTTTCTCCCGCATACCTGATGGGAACTCGGTAAAGATGTTGTGTATGATCTGGCTCGTCAAAGTATACTTGATGTCTGATCCCTCTTGTTGACCTGGCTTCAACTCTACCATACGAGAAGATTTGCCCTTCTGTCTACCTTCTCTCGACACGGCATCTTTTTTCAATTTCTGCAGAACCACATGAATATCACACATCGCAGTGATCCACACAGACACTTTTTACCTGTCGAATACGTTTGACATACGGACTAGACCAAAACTCTTCCTCATCCACACTTCTTCCAACAACAACCAACTCTTTGTGTAATGTCTGTAATTCTTTGCTTGATGTAAGCAAAGCTCTTCGGTCTGCAAACTCCTCTTGTCTCCATGATTTAGGGCTTGCTCCATTCGTGCTGGGCGAAGGCGTGTTATTCAGTGGAGTCGAAGGTCTGATGTTGGCAGCTGCTTGTTGTTGCAATAAGGGCGGCGCAGGTGATGCCGTTGCTGTCTGCGGTGTCGATGGAGACGGTGAAGCTGCTACGGATGAAGGTGTAATCGGCGCTGGTGTTCCTATAGCTGAAGAAGAGCTAAGGCCTCGCGCTCGAGCTAGTAGTTCTGCAATTTGTGCTTTGATTGATTCCCTTTCTTGTATATTCTTTGCCGAAGTAAATTGAAATGTATAGTCTTTCGATACGGGCGGTTTTGCTGAAATCTTCAATAATACTTTTGGCGAGGATTCGGGTGTTTGAGCCAGACCTATAATCAGAGTATACATGAGCGAGATGTGAGGTCAAGAGACTTGGTACATACCACCAATATCATTGTAGTAGATGGAAGGTGTTAACTGAGAAGAGCCTTGCTGTTGCCAAGCCACTCGACGAGGAGTAACAAACAAGGTGCCTTCATGTTTTTTGTAACGAACAGCTGCTCGCAAAAGTAACTGTTCGTTGGGCTCCCACATTGTATAATTATCACGAGAAATGAAAAAGAGAGGGATAGAAATAGCTAAATGCAAATGCCAGCTCTTAGCTGTTTTGTCTACGCATTTGTGACTCCCGTGAAGCAGCCATGTTACACTCTACAAGGCGGGATGCCGACATTGTACAGTGAAGCTAGGAAATATTGGTTTAGAAATATATGAATGGTGATTGTAAAAAAATAATTTGGAGAATACTAAATTTCAATTTGACTCAACTGAAAAATAGCTTTGGCACTTTTAAAATTGGAGCAATTTGTTAAAGGTGAATTTTATCTCGGCAGTAACTGATATGTCGCTTAGAATGGCTGCAAAAAGCACAAAGTTCACTTACACGAACATTGTTGCAGGCGTCAGCAATTCTTTGAGATAAAGTCTCTTCGGTCACTAGGTTTTCACGCTTCATCTTGCTCTTTACAAGAGCCCAGAAGTTCTCAATTGCGTTCAGCTCTGGAGAATACAGAGGCAAATACATGACTCTGTAGCCTCTGCATTCGATCTTTCTTATCATGGGATAGGATTTGTGAATGGTGAAGCTATCCATAGCAAAATAAGAACCCTTTAGATTTTTGTCCAAATCGATAATGTCAAGCAGTTCGTTCATAAATTTTTATAAAATGAGCCGTGGTAGTGGCTTTAGGAATAGGTTTGTTGCTTTCCTTGTCATCAAGGCTGTCAACCTCAACATACTCTATGTCGGGTTCCTCGAAGATGATTTCACTTACTCTTTGATCTATACCTTTCGCAAGTTTCTTCTTCTTCGACCTTTCACTTTTGCTTGTCGAAGGATTTGCGGCTTTTTCTTTTTTTGATGGAGGCTTTTTCATTGCAACATGAATGACACTAGAGGAGTGAATAGCACCGATGATTGTATGTGATAGCGAACGAGTTTTCTCAAGCTCTACAATGGCAGGAGTACCTATAACTGACCTTGCCCAGCCGTTTCTCATATTGATATTGAAGCCGGCCTCATCGATAAAAACACAATTTCTATCAAAATCCAAATCCGAATCTTTTCATTTCATAATCCATTCATATCTCGCCTGCAAGTTGTCATCCGAGTTTCTTATCTTTGCTTCGAAGAGTGGTCTCTTTACGGTAATGAACATATTGTTTTTCAAGTGATGATTCATTTAAGATTTAGAAATCGAAAAATCAACAAATCAATAACCTCAACAGCACAAATTTGTGGATTTTTTTCGACTCATTCTTCGGTATGCTGCTCGTGCTGATCAGTGAAGGTACTAGGTCTACCTACATTTCTCTCAGATTTTTTTATAGGGCCTTTGGCTAATATCCCAAAATTAATATAACTAAAATGTTAGAAAAAGAACCCTGATTGTTGATTGATATATAATCACTGATCGTATGGGTGTTTATGCTTCGGATGGTTCTCTACCTTTGCTACGCTTCGGTGAGAACCAACCTGCACAGCGACAGCTCGAGCTACCGGTTACCCTTGTGTATCTTATCATAATACGACTACGTTCAAGCTGACCCTCTACTTACACATGAAAACCCTTTATAATATTTGTGGATCTGACTCTTATCTGATGCTCTACATCCATATACACGTATCTACTTCATATATGGGCAAGTAGCATACTGGTATTTCCACTTTTTAGTCCTTAGTGTCCATAATACAACAAAATTTGAATGCATTTGAGCTGCGTTTTCTCGCGTCCAAGGCCGTTTTAGATTGTCATAATAGGATCAAACACTTGCTCTCATCTGGCAGTTACTTTCTGACACCTTTGCTCAACTTTTTGGGGATCAAAAAAAAACATGAACAAAGTTCGACCAAAAAGCATGAGGTACCTCTCATGGTTTTCATCGAAAATTCAATTATGCACTTCAAACTGAAGCATTATTATATCTACAATTATGACTTACACATCACCATATATGACCTCTTTGCCACCATTATGCGTACTATCTGGAGGCACCATTATCAACAGTTTTACAATCTCATCCCCTTTAATGCCATCAAAGTCTGTCGCCACATCCGCACAGAACTGTTAATAAGATTGTCAAATCTTAGGCAACTCTCCCATTAGTTTATTACTCAAGATTTATATATGGGCTAGTCACTTTGTCTCCATACACTTGTCCATCTCTTTGATGCATTTGTTTTATTTCTAATTACTATTCTAATAAAACAATATCATCCAAAAAAAAAAAGAAAAAAAAAGTTTTCATCGAAAATCAAACGATCGCGTTTTTCACCTTGAAAATGGAGACTTTTACTATGGTATACTTTGAATCAAAATGTTTCTATCAATCCAAAGCAACCTCTGAAATCATCTTTGTGGGACTTTGATATGTAAAATTTCGACATTTTGGTCAGAAACCTCTTTTCATATTCTCATAAATCATTTGATAAGTTTTGTTGTGCCAGAAGGGCTACAACTGTCTATAAAGATTAAGGTATTCTTGATGGATAGATATGTCTGTGTTGTGCAACAACATTGACAAGCTATGATAATTGAAGTGCATCTCAGCTATCTAAATACTGAGGTTCACCAGATGTGATAAGCGTTGTACAAGATAAATTGCTACTTTGGCATTCAGAACTTAGTAGTATAAATAGAATAACTGTTGTCTTCATCAATAAATCTTTAGTTTTTGTGTCTGATCTTATTCAAATAAGTCTTTTCTTGTTTTTATAATATCGAACATTTTTTATAAGCTAAAAATAATAATCCTTTTATTCTTTGTTCTTAACACACATTATTTTACTATTGAATAATGAAGGATTTAAATTGTATCAATATTTGGATACATTTTTATTACAAATACAAAATTATAATACATGACAGATCATTAGGAGATTAACTAGCTGTAACTCTTCGTTGTTCCAACCTCTTAGCCAATCAGATTGCCTGAAAACTCCGCTGATCTAAAAAAATTTTTGCGAGGGTTTCCCCCTGTTTTGATGTGAGGCAAAATTTTAAGCGCCGCTATATATAGCAATATAGCCGCTGCTATCATCAAATTTCCCTCAGGTGCTAGAGCATGCCTTACTTACACCACCTAGCTTTAAATTCAGGCATTGAGACCCTCAATCATCACTAAAGTAAGTAGCAATAACCAAGTGGAGGCAGCCTATCCACCTCCTAGCCTCGGATAAAGTCTTGTTGAGCTTCAGGGATAGGCACATCCACACAACGTAAAAAAGGTATGCTTCAAAGAAACATAAAAATAATAAAAGAATGAAGAAAAGAACATACTACTACTACTATAAGAGTATAGTGGTATGTAGGCAAAAAAAAAGAGGCACTCACACGAAGCGAGTCAAAGAAAAGCGTAACGAATACAACACCAAAGATGTTCCAAAAAGCTCGTTGCTGTTGCAAGAAAAATGCATGCATGAGCAACGCGCATGATAGTAATAGTCGGATGTAAAGCAAAATGATACAAATACGCATAACTGCAAAAGCAACAGTGGTATTATAAGTTCGCGATACAACATAATGACTAATGTTGTTTCATGTAAAGCTACAGAGGAAACACCACCAACAAAAGAAAAAGAAGAAGAAAAAAGCGCAACAAGGCAAACATCATCATGAATGCATTATCACGAGAAAGGAAGCAATAATATAAGCGTTCAAAGAAGTTTCATATCATTGCAACCAGGAAAAAGAAGATACTTACCATTTACCACCACCGTAGATAGACCAGAGGATACGCAATCACTGAATATAGACCATAGAACAAGCATACAACAAATACAGTAGACCGGGAGAGACCATTTTAGCAGCAGCAGCAGCAGTAGCAGCAGCAGCAACACCAGCACCATAGACAAACTAAAGAACAAGCGCCATCAGCAGAGACCAAACAAAGACCAAAGAAGCTATTTACCACTTATCTCCATCACAGATAGACCAGAGGATATGCAATCACTGAATATAGATCAGAGAACGAGCATGCAACAAAGACAGTAGACCAGGAGAGACCATATTAGCAGCAGCAGCAGCAACACCAGTACCATAGACAAACCGAGAAACGAACACCACCAGCAGAGACCAGACAAAAGCCAAAGAAGCAATCACCAGACATGGTAAACCAAAGAAGCAGGCAGCAGAGAAGACAGAGAAGGAATGGCAGCAGCACTCACTCAAACAAGCAAGATTTTATTAAAACCTAATAAACAAACTGAATTAGTGTTAATTCTATGCCTTCCAGTGCTCGTTATCGAATGGTACGTAACATATTCCACTTCAAAGAAGCAGTATCAAGTACTCTTAACAGTACAAGACAGAGTTATCGGAAGCTAGAGTGTTATTATCAATCAAACGGTCTCCAAATCCACCATGGTTTGATACTAAAACGCGTTTCGCAAAAAGGAGAAAAAACGAGGGGTATGAAAGAATGAGAGAGCGCCCTATCCGACGTCACGGCCAGTAGATTTGTCCTCAGTTTTTGTCGTGGCAGCTCTAATTGCGGCAATTTAATTTGAAATTGTGCAGTGGTATTTTCGTGTTCAAACTTGACTTGATCTCACATCCTTTAAACGTTTTTGCTAAATTTGACTATGAAAACTGTCGTCGTTACACCCAACCTTCTAATACATCTCCAGAGGACTAAAGAAGCCGCATTGAATGGTGCTAATTACTTTTAGCTTTCAGACCAAAAATAATGAGCAATTTTTAAAAATATGAAAACATGTTTTTTGCCCAAATGTCGAAATTTCACATACGAAAATTTCATAGAAAGAGTTTCAAGTGCTGCATCCAGTCTTTATGATCAATTTGATCTTATTTGTATCATAGAAAAAGTCTTTATTTTTGGGGTGAAAAACGCGATCGTTTGATTTTCAAGAATTTTTCCTTGCTAATACTCATGAAAAAAATGAGAATTTCTATGAATTTTCAATGACCCAAAAAAAAATTGAGATAAAGCATCAGTAAGTATCGCATGGACAAGAGGAGTCGTTTAGCCATATTCCAAGCGCCCAAAACGCTTTGTAGCATCAGTTATTCGTGCTTCAAAATGGCTAGATTTGCACAGAATTCAACCTAAAACGACGGCGTAGTGGGTTGTGTTGCCGAACAAGTACGTAAATTACAGTGCTTTATAGCGGCTGGGATTTTCTGCATTGTACGAAACTCAATTTCTAAGTGATAAGCTGATGCATTTCACACCACAACCCATCATATTACACCTGATACGACACAAGGCCAACATCTCATCGGTTTCTACATGCATTACAAAGCATACAACAAACTATAGTCTACACGCGCAACAACAGGACATATCAAACAGTCAACTAGTTGGATTACTATTACTGAAACAAAACCATTTACTTTAATGACAAGAAGAGATTACAACTACATCTATTTCTAGATTTTCTACACATATTATTTAACACAATCTACTCTATCGTCACACTTGAATTTACATCTCAGGATCTGACATTCAGAAAGATACAAAAAGGACCACCATACATATCATTTATGTGATATGAGTTATCCAACGCTTTGTTGAATGCGTTTTATCATGAATGCTTTTATATTCTAGTCCTAAAGCTCATCAGGTCTTCCTTTTAATTTTTAAATCCGCGGCCACAGTAATTTTAAGACTTGAGCGTCAATGCTATTTTGC